CCCCCCGCTTTGCTTCGAATCATCAGCCGCTGTCCGCGCTCCCAGGCTCCCCGCCAAGCGGGGCCGCCTTGGCTCGCTTCGGCGCGCCGCCCTCTTCCCCAGCCCCACCCGCTCTTCTATCTTCTGCCGTTTGTGCCAAGCGGGCGTTAGTCTCGTTCTCGCTGGCGCCAGCACTGCTACTGCTGCGGTCGTCGAAAGCGACTTTTCTTGCCGAAGCAAACTCTGAACGAAGAGGACTCGGTTGCGCCGTCGAGTTGGCACTGGTGTGGGCGAAATGGGCCGAGTTATTCGGGCTGCTCATGAACAACAACGAATCCACTGCGTCCATTTCCGCTTGTTGACTCGGGAGTCTGAGAATGCCTGCGGGTCGTGACTTTCCTGTAGGCGTAGAAGGCACGCCGGCATCTGTAAAGGGTCTCGATACTCCTTGCGCAGAGAGCATAGGTGGTGCACGATTCGAGCTCGAGCGGCGGTGACGACGCGGAACGATTTCTACAGGCGCTGCCAGACTAAGCGTTGAAGATGCAGTGCTGCTAACAGTCGACGCGGTTGAGGGGCGTATGTGAATCTCAGGAGCCACCATGTTACCTGTACAGTGGGTTAAAACTCAGATTTCTCAGTTTGCAGCAGTCGCCGACATCTACGCACTTGAGTATTGTCCCAGTGCACGAGAAAAGGTCGAAGGGCTGCTGTGCCCGGCGGCTAATGGGACCGGGTACGGGTCGGACGACGGAGAGAAGCCGCTCGACCGCCTTGGACGATGATATGAACGTGGCGAGACTGTCGTGCTTCTGGACTGCCTTGGGGCAGACGTTTGCAAAGATGGCGAAGTTCTTTGAGATGCCACTGTCTCTAGCTCGTCAATCGACTTTTGCTCCCAGCCATTCTGGACTTTCACCATCGCGTAAGAGAGGCGTGTCTTCAGTTCTGCGGACAACTGCAGAACTGTCAGTCTCGCTGGGAAAACGCGTCGAACAAGTCACGGCAGCAGTAGTTTCTCACCTGCCCAATTCTGCTCACGTTGGAGTCGGAGCTAGTGGTCCTCGAGTGGAGGCCGCTCAGCAACCCCGTCTTCCCCTGAGAGCCGACAGTGGCATGCTTCACGGTCCCACTGGCCGTCCTTTTCGAGCCTTGTGTCAGGGTTGGCGTGTCGACGGACATGGGGCTGGTGATGGCGGACGCGTTGGCGACGGCATCCCTCGGGGCGGTGTCCGGTTGAGGGGTAATAGGTCTCGCTACGCGCGCCGGGTCGTGAGCGACAGGAGTTCCGGGGCCGTGGTTGACCTGCGAAGAAGGCTTGGGCTGAGCGTGAGAGGCATTTGACGTCGCAGGCGAGGTCAGGTCGGAGTCAGCGACCGACTCGGTGGAAAGGTTGCTCCCCAGGGAGGGCAGACGCGGCGCGGTGCTCGCGGTGCTCGACGCGGAGACGTAGCTCTCCTGCGAGCCGGGAAGGGCGTCGGGCTGGGTCGTCGTGGCAAGGCGGGCTTGATCATGGCGGTTTGCATCTGCTGGCGCGTTGGCATGGCCGTGTTTGGAAGTTGGCCGCTCGACGCGCGGAGTCCGGGGGCGCGGGCGGGACTTACGTGTGGCGGGGTGGAAAGGCGAAGCTCGTGCAGCGGAGGCGGGCAAGGCGACGGCATCTCGGGGCATGGCGGCTACGGCCTCGTGCGCTAGGTGTGCCAATGCCTCCATTCTCCGCGCTGCTGCTGAAAGGGACGCGGGCGCTGTTTGTGGCCGTTGGATGGTTCGCGATGACACAATTCCGTCTGCGCGACGCCTGCTTGCCCGTCGCTCGCTGATCCAGCTGACCTGTGCGTCAGACGCGTGTGTTGGAGCTGAGCCGAACACGACAACGAGTCGAAGCCGAGGAGGCGGCAATGGTGGTGCTGCACGCGCCGACGAGGCTTTCACGACTCGAGCCGGAGGTGCGCAGCGATGCAAGCAGCCGCAAGTCTCTTGTGGACAAAGAGTGGTGTTCGAGGTTGCGTGTGAGGCCGAGCCGCGGAGTCGCGCGACCTCGTGATTCGCGTCAGCCGCTAGCCGCGCGCGACACGGCCAAACATCCTCCAAGGGGCCTGGGGCGAACCTTATCGTTCGATATGTAAAAAATAAAAAATGATAAATAATGACAATCAACGTGAACGCCGGCCAGTGGGACAAAACTCTCTAACTACAAATGCGAAATAAAATGGATAGTAGGTGCGGCCAATGTCGCACACACGATCAACGCCGGGAAATGCCTGTCAACATCGAGATGCACCTAGCCGCCCCCCAGAACAAAGACACTATGACCAGCTGTTCGTGCAAGCCCCGGAAAAAAGTGACCGCTCACCTCCTCCGCTTCGCGCTGCCCCCGCCAGCCCCCGCCTCCGCCGCCTTCCGCTTCTTGCCCTCCTTGGCCCAGTACTCGGCCTTCTGTCGCTTCTGCTTCTCCGCCTTTATCGCCTCTTCCTCGGCCACCTTCTTGCGGTGCGGCTCTCTGCGTTTCTCTTGCGCCTCCCTGCGCTTGGCCACCTTTTCGTTGCGCAGCGTCATGACTTGCTGCATCAAGTTGCGCGCCATCTTCTCGTCCTTGTTCGCCACGACCGCGCGCTTCTGGAGGTAGGTTTCCTTCTTCTGCGGCTTCATCTGCACAGGCTGCGAGTTGAACGGCAGGTCGGCAGCCAGCTTCTTCGGGACGCGTAGCGGGTTGAAATGACGCGTTTGGCGCTCAATGGTTCGGTAGGCCGAGTTCTTGTCCTTCGGCGTAGGAATGCTCATGTCTCGCCGTACTTCGCCAGTCAAGCGCATACCCTTCCACTTGCTGTCTTCGCCCTCTTCGCCCTTGCCTGGTGCTTCAAGCAAGTTGGTGACCGGGTTGTAGAATCTGTGAGGCTTCACCGGGTACCACGCTCGTAGGAAGACGATATCGCTCATAAGGATTTTGTCTTCGAAGGTGGCACGGAAGTGGCCCTCTGGCTTGCTAAGCGCCTTCTTGATCTGACCACGAATGCCAGATACAGTCCGGATGCTGGCTCCTTCAAACTTGGCAATCTCCAGGGAAGTGCTAAACATGTCCTTTATGAAGGCAGTGTTCTTGAAGATCTTGTATGGGTGACCGGTGAGCTTGAGTTTCTTGACAATTTCAGTGCTCTCATCGACGTTCAGAACGACACCAGTAGCAGCAATTCTGAAACCGGGAGTCTTGTTTGAGAGGGACTGTACGCAACAGAAACCAGTATTGGGGGCGATCAGTGGACCGTAGAAAGTGCCAAAGCAGTGCATGTGCTCGGGCGTGTACTTGAGCATACGGTTGCGCGTACGTGAATCCGAGATGCTGTAGACCGGCATCGTTTGGAATCTTCGCCAGCCCAGCGAGAAGATGAGAGGATCGTTGGTCTTAAGGATCTTCTTGTGCCAGCGGTGTCTCTTGATACGGATCTGAACGAAACCAAATCGATCCTCAGTAGGCGTAAGCCCACCTATGATGATGGGGAATCGAGGGTTAAACCCAGCGCAGAACTCGTAAGGCACGTTCTCCAGAACAATACGAGCATATGTGCCGGCTTTGTGGCCTTCGACCCGTACGCGGGAGATGTCATCCATCTGCTCGAATTCCGCGCGATTGATGTCCAACTGCTTCTGAATCTTGGCCTTTTGGGCATCGTACCAGTCATCCTCGCCGAACTCTTCGTCATCGCCACCCTCTTTCCGCTCGTTTGCCTTGTCGTTGCCAAATCCCTCCCGGTCTTCTTCCTCGAAACGAAGTTTCAGTTCTTCCTTCTTACGGGCGTTCTTCGCACGCTCCGCTTCAAGCTTGGCAGCTTCATCATCCTTATCCTCTTCCGGAGCTGGTGCGGATCCTCCGATCTTTTCGCCTGTTTCGAGATCTTCGAACGCACCATCGCCCTCGTCATCTTCGTCGTCGATGCCCTCAAACTCTCCTTCGGATCCCTCATCATCACCATCTTTCTCACCAAGAAGGTTTGCCGAGGCGAATCTCCTGCGAAGGGCTTCCAAGTTGTCCTCATCCGTCCACTTCTCTTCGAGTTCGGTGTAGTCGTACTTGGGAATGGCACGGTCCTCCTGGTCCTCGGAGACGTTCTTTGAGGTCTTCTTGAAGAAATCTTCGTCGTCGGAACCAGCCTCGTCTTGCTCAGCGTCCTGGTCCTCTCCACGCCATTTCCTCAAGACCTCAGATGGCGTCATTGAGTCGTTGTACATCAATCGGGCGAGCTCCGCTGTGCGATACGGTGTCTTGTGGCCATGAACCCTCTTTGCGTTGTTAGCAAGGTTGTCTTTCCACCGCACCTCACCATCTTCGTCTGAGTAATCCTCCTCCTCGTCCTCATCCTCGTCCTCATCCTCACCGTCTTCGAGCTCTTGGTCTTCAACTGATGATATCGAACCCAAATCGGAATCACTGTCGGCAAAGGCCACGTCGTCATCCCCGTTCGCCTCCGCCTCTTCGTCCTTACGGAAAGCACGGCCTAACCGACCCTTTGGCGCACTTGAATCTTCGAGGTAACCGTTGTTGTCCTCATCTTCCCCTTCCCCATCTTCCAACATCTCCTCGTCTTCCTCATCATCTTCGTCAAAGTCTTCGTCGTCTTCCTCTTCGACGCGATCCGTAAAACGAGCATGACGTTGAGAGGTCCTGCCTTTATCTTCAGTGTCCTCCTCATCAGCCGTCTTGTCGAGTTCGCGGCCATTGCTAAAAAGCTTCAGGCCAGCATCAGCTTCGCCAAGCATGCGCCTCTCTCCTTGCAGGCCGACGACCAACTGTTCACCCAATCCTCGCGTCTCGTAATCATTGTCTGGGTCGAATGTTGACGATTTCACATCAATGTACACAGCGTCCTTGTCGACCAAGACACCACCGACGTCCGACATGGGCGCAAACAGCAGCTTTTGCTTTTCTCCCAGCCTTCTCCGTCCAGACTTGCCAGTTGCTTTTGCTATAGCTTGGTCCTGGAACGGAGTAGGGCAGGGATCCGGCAGCGCCTCGATCATGGAGACGTTGAGATCTCCTACACCAGGAACGTGCACCCTTGCGCCTTGTGCCGGAAAGTTCGTGCCTCGTAGGTATCCATACAGAGCCACTGTCCTGTCGCATTTGGGGTTTTCTTCGATTTCCGTGGGTGGCGTAATATCCAAGAAGCGATCCGCCATACAGTAAGGATGCGAGTTTCGCCATACGAGCGGACGCGGATTCTTCATGACGGAAAGGAACCTCGACAAGTTCAGAACTTCGCGATCGGGGTAACGTCCATTGACCACACCTGAAAGGTAGAAAAGCTTCGCTCCTTGGTACAGCTCGCTCCAAAACCGGTGTTTCAGCCTTTTCTTTTGTGTCCTGAGCGCATCCTGCTTCTTGAACAGATCCAGATGCGTCAGGATGCCGAAGACGTTACCCGGCATACCCGTTGCGCTCAGGACGTTGAGGAACTCCATAGTCTCCATCTCGAAGCCATAGTTGCCGTCAATCATGAGCAACACTATGTCCACAACTTTCGCAATATCAATCATCGAGGCGAGGGAGTCGGCAGGACATTCTATGAATGTGAGACGGCGGCGCTTCGAGGTAACGACCGTAAGCGGACCGGCAGGCTGGGAGATTGTTTGCTTCGTGTAACGGCGAATCAGGGACTTTATCAGCGTAGTCTTTCCGACTCCCGGAGGTCCCACGACGGCAACAATGATCGGTGGCGCTTCCTCCGGGAGACGGTCCACCAGCGGAACATGCAGTCGTTTCTCTTTGACCTAGAGGGTATTAGCATATGACCATTTTGTTCCTGGTATATTTGCATACATCGTGAGAGCGCGCTGCCTGTTTCTGAAGCCTGCCCGGCGCGGCGAAAGCGAATGCCTTGGGATTCGTTCCTACGTTCTGGTCAGTTCGAAGCCTGTAAGAAGGTAGAGGTTACAACATACCTCCAGTGGCGGGCTTCTTCTTCTCTTTCTTCGCGCGATGCGGTCTATTTGCCTGGTCGGCCATTGTCGTCAATTATGCCGCGTCTCCGCAGATCAGACCGTGAAGCTTCATAGAAATTTTGGGCGGGAGTTTTCAAATTCCGCGCTAGCTTCCTTGGCGTGGCTTATCGATAACTTTAAGCAGATTTACCGGGGATATGCCGTATGCTCTTGGCAAGAAGCACGCGGAAGATGGGTGACGATAGCTCAGCATCGCGGTGAAACGCTTCGCTGTTTGACGTCTGAAGATCTGAGCGGACTGTATGGTACAGATGAAGCATTTCGCGTGTCGACTACACATCGCAGGCTGTAGAGCGCTCGCGGCTTTACTCCGGATCATCAGACCCCGGACCCTGAACACTGCGGGCAGTGTACTTTCGCAGCTGGCTTCGCAGCTCTTCACCACGCCGAAGCGTTCTATCACAAAGGAAATGGTGATAATTGCGCAAGGACACGAGAAATGGTTCAATCCGCGTGGCTCGGAATATCTATGCGGCTATGGCGCGCAATGAATGGCCGCTTATCGGCTGACTCCACACGGCCAACGCAAGCCAACTCACGTCATCGAGCGCCGCCTAAACACGGGTGTCGAGCGACCTAGCGTGGTGGGGGAGGGGCAGCAGCGCGATACCTACATAAACCTGCCCTGCCACTCCATCCACCTCCCACTCCTACTACATTTTCATCATCTACCATACCCACCTTCAGACCCCTCACTCGATATCTACACATACCCCGCAAAATGCCTGCCATCAACGTCACCCTCAAGAACGACGCCCCTCCCGAGAAGTTGGAGGAGTAGGTGCCTCCTGTCTCCTGCACCTTTCAGCCACCTTGCTTACGCTCAATGACAGGGCCAAGAAGAACGTCACCGACCAGGGCGGCAAGGTCACCCACGAGTTCAAGCTCATCAAGGGCTTCACGTACGACTGCTCCATACTACCTCCCCATTCTCCTGATACACGAGGCTGATTATACCTGCGAGCAGTGCCGAGTTCCCCGCAGACACCGTACACAGCCTGGCCACGAACGACCACATCACCGTCGAGGCGGACCAAGAGGTCAAGACTCAGTAGGCTGCGTAGAGGCGTCCAAGCCGATCGGTGCCCGCGATGCTGCCGTACAACGTCTCTCTAGAGATCCCGACCTTGCATATGTTTCACGACAATACCTGATTTCGGATAGAGGATGATGACGACGTTGGTAGCCGTATTGGCACATGATTAGATACCCGAATGAAGTCATTCTTATCATGGCATGAAACATACTAGTCGGAACATACGGTGATTGTATCACGAGCAACATGATAATACATGGAAAAAGAGTTCCAACCTATCAAATACCGTTGAGTTACCAGACTTATGGTCTTTAAAATGTGCTATCCTTGTTTAGTTGTAGACACTCTGCTTGAGAGAGGGTCGCACATGTGTATAACATAGTCCATTGCGGACAATGTCTACGCCTGTTCTGGTACCGATAATGCCAAAGTTACAGTCCATGAGCTAGTTTGTTGAAGCAGACATAAGTTGCGGACCAGTTACCGAGCTGCTATGTGGGTTTCGGTAGGTGCAATTTGATGTTTGTACGATGTCAACGTGAAAGGCACTAACATGCCGGTGCCTAGAGAACCTTGCTTGGAGACTCGACATGGCCTGTTGTCGTTTTTCGTTTGGTGGATGTAGAGAACCGTAGACTAAAGTATATTGCTTTAATTAAATATAATGTCAAACAGAAAGACCACTTTACTCGTAAGCTATACGTCTAGGATGTGGTAAACTAAGGAACAGATAACAACCTTAACTAAATAATTAAGGTATACTTAAAACAATGTGGCAGGCGGATAGGTAGAGTTACAAAAGTACAAGTAGCACCACATAATTAGAGTTACCGCAGCACAAAGACAAGCATTGAAACGTAGAAGAACTATAAGAAAATTTTCGTTACCAGAAAATGTAGCTGAGAGCCCTTGAAGGGTTGGATTGGTTGTTAGCATACGCAGAAACATGCAGTCCATTTATGATAGAAATAAAAGATGCTCTTAACCTTGACGTGAATTTAGGAGCCAAAAATACCTGACTCCCGCAACAGGCTCCACTATGGGGATGCGGGGGCTTCTTAAGCCCTGATCGACATACCGATGGGGGTAGCGTTAGGTTTGGAGTATGACAGGCGCGGCTGAGACACAGATACTAGCAGGGTGCGAGTTTTGGTACCTACGTGCCTACCCAGGCGTACGAGGAGAAATTGCGAGTAAGAAACCTGAAGGAACCTCGCAGAAGCGACGCCACCCGCAGCGGGCAGCATTACGAATATTAGGTAGGGCAAACGTCAGGTGGCACAGGCACGTTTGCATTCTCGAAGGGTTCTAGTTCTAGAAGACGCGAACGACGGACGGAGACAGGAGTGTGACGGCAAGCGCGACGAGGCAGTTTGCCGAGCTGGACCATGGAGCCAGGCAGTTCCGAGTTCGTTGAGCGGCGGCTTGTACGAGTCCGGCGACGCTGGACAGGGCTGAGAGCGAGGGAACGTCGGTCTGGGCCGGAAAAGGGCTGGATAGCCTGTGCCCTGCGGGGGATAAGGGACTGGGTCCGGGCGAAGGTGGAAGGCGAGATGGGGCGTTCTGTGATTGGCTGGGGCGGGAATGATGGGTCAGCGTGAGCCAAGCAGTGGCGGCAGAGAGAGAGAGAGGGAAAAGAGGACAGAGAAGTAAGACGTGCGCAGCCTTGTGAAATGGGTGGCAAACAGAAAAAAAAATACCAGCCTCGGGCAGCAGGCGGCAACCGTCCAATCTGGCACGAGGCGATTGTGAGTTGGTTTCTGTTGAACGGGCCGGCCGCCAGGAGCAAAGCGGTGTGTGGCCCCTGCACCACGCACCCCTGCACAAGATTTTTTGGCGGCTGCAGTGTCTGCAGCAGCAGATAAAAACGCCAGCTGCCCTCGGTCTCCTCGCTCGACCCGACACCTCCCTCTCTGTCTCCCTCTTTCTCTCTCCAAAAGTTTCTCTTTTCCCGTCTCTTGCCTGCCCCGCTGCAGCTCGCACGAGACCGTCAGCGGCTTGCGTCGCCACTTGATACCCGGAACGAACTAGATTTCCGCCTAGAGTTTTTTTCCAGCCCGACCCACTTTCTTAATACCCACCCCTCACACAAAACTCCCCCGTCACCCTCCTCTTCTTTCTTCACCCTCACCAACCGTCGCAATGGCACCCTCAGTTGAGGCTACGAACAAGCACACCGCCGGACAGGTCAAGTCCGAGAACCAGAAGAGCGTGAAGGTCCTGGAGGAGCTCCTCCAGAAGCTCACCCTCTCGAAGGCCCAGGATGAGATCAACGCTGCCTCGTTGGACCTCGCCACCTTCATCAACGGTGACATCGAGGAGGGCGATGCGCCTACTCAGTAAGTTTTGGCCCTCTTGCCCTCGCTGTCGTTGTCTCTTCAGGTCCGGCTAACGCCACCGCTCAGAGCCGTTGCCCTGCTGAAGAAGCAGCTGAGCAACAAGAAGGATGCCGTCGCTCGCGAGAGGGCCGCCGACGCCATCCGGGCTATTGCCGAGCACTCGACCGTCTCCCCGGCGGTTGAGCCTTACCTCGTCGCTATCCTGCCCGCCATCCTTGCCGCCGTCGGTGACAAGATGGTTCCGGTCAAGAACGCTGCCCAGTCCGCCGTCGAGGCCATCGCCAACGCCGTCAACGCGAACGCGGCAAAGGCCATCCTCCCTCCCGTCATCGAGTCCCTTCGCAACGCCCAGAAGTGGCCCGAGAAGATGACCGACCTTAAGGCCATCGAGACCCTCTGCGCTCGCTCGCCTGCTCAGATGGGCTACCGTGTCCCTGACCTGATTCCCGTCGTCTCCGAGTCCATGTGGGACACCAAGGCTGAGGTCAAGAAGGCTGCTTACGGCACCATGGAGAAGCTCTGCGAGCTCATCTCCAACAAGGATATCGAGCGCTTCATTCCTGAGCTGATCAAGTGTGTTGCCAAGCCCGAGAACGTCCCCGAGACTGTTCACCTGCTCGGTGCCACCACCTTCGTCACGGACGTCCACGAGCCTACCCTGGCCATCATGGTTCCTCTGCTTGAGCGTGGTCTCGTCGAGCGCGAGACTGCCATCAAGCGTAAGTCGGCCGTCATTATCGACAACATGTGCAAGCTTGTCGAGGACCCCAACATCGTCGCTTCTTTCCTGCCCAAGCTTCTGCCCGCTCTCAACAAGAACAACGAGACCCTCGCCGACCCCGAGGCTCGTGAGAAGACCAAGCAGGCTATCGACACCCTCTGCCGTGTCGGTAACGTCGTTGACGGCAAGATCCCCGAGGTGTCCCACGCCTCTGACATCTCCACCGTCGTTGGCGTCCTGAAGTCCGTCATCGGCCCCAAGGGCCAGGAGGCCAAGTTCGAGCCCATCTTCGAGTACATTGGTGCCATCGGTGGTCAGCTCATCGACGAGAAGGAGACGGAGGCCACCAGCTGGGCCACCAACGTCCTTCCCTACGTCACCGCCGTTGTCGGTGATGCTGACGCCAACACTGTCGTCGAGGAGCTTCGCAAGAAGGCCCTCCCCGGCTTCGCTGAGGAGAACGAGGCTGAGCCCGATGAGGAGGAGGGCGAGGATCTTTGCAACTGCACGTTCAACCTGGCTTACGGTGCCAAGATCCTGCTGAACCAGACTCACCTGCGTCTCAAGCGTGGCCAGCGTTACGGTCTGCTCGGCCCCAACGGTTCCGGTAAAACCACTCTGATGCGCGCCATCAACAACGAGCAGGTCGAGGGTTTCCCCAAGCAGAACGAGGTCAAGACCGTCTACGTCGAGCACGACCTTGACTCTGAGGACACTGAGCACACTGTCATTGGCTGGACCATGAAGAAGCTCGAGGCTGTCGGTATCACCAAGGAGCAGAAGGACGTCGAGACCAAGCTCGTTGAGTTCGGTTTCGACCCTGAGCAGCTCGCCGCTCCCGTCGGCTCCCTCTCTGGTGGCTGGAAGATGAAGCTGGCTCTTGCCCGTGCCGTCTTCGAGGAGCCCGACATTCTGCTTCTTGACGAGCCCACCAACCACATGGACGTCAAGAACGTTGCTTGGCTCGAGAACTACCTCGTCTCCTCCCCTTGCACTTCGATCATCATCTCCCACGACTCGAAGTTCTTGGATAACGTCATCCAGCACGTCATCCACTACGAGCGCTTCAAGCTCAAGCGTTACCGTGGTAACCTCTCCGAGTTCGTTAAGCGCGTGCCCTCTGCCCGCTCTTACCACGAACTCGGTGCCTCCGAGATGGAGTTCAAGTTCCCCGAGCCCGGTTTCCTTGAGGGTGTCAAGACCAAGGCCAAGGCCATTGTTCGTGTCAACAACATGACCTTCCAGTACCCCGGTACCTCCAAGCCCCAGATCTCGGAGATCAGCTTCCAGTGCTCTCTTGGCTCGCGTATTGCCGTCATCGGTCCCAACGGTGCTGGCAAGTCCACGCTTGTCAACGTCCTGACGGGTGAGCTTATCCCCACCTCCGGTGATGTCTACCAGCACGAGAACATCCGTATCGCCTACATCAAGCAACACGCTTTCGCCCACATCGACCACCACCTCGACAAGACTCCCTCTGAGTACATTCAGTGGCGTTTCCAGACTGGTGAGGATCGTGAGACCATGGACCGCGCCAACAAGATCATCACCGACGAGGATGAGAAGGCCATGGACAGGATCTACAAGATCGAGGGTACGCAGCGTCGTGTCATCGGCATTCACGCCCGTAGAAAGTTCAAGAACAGCTACGAGTACGAGTGTTCGTTCGCTCTCGGCGAGAACGTCGGCATGAAGAACGAGCGCTGGGTTCCTATGATGACTGCTGACAACGCCTGGATTCCCCGTAACGAGATCATGCAGTCTCACTCCAAGATGGTTGCCGAGGTTGACCAGAAGGAGGCTCTTGCCTCCGGTCAGTTCCGTCCTCTGGTCCGTAAGGAGATTGAGGCTCACTGCGCCAACTTCGGTCTTGACGCTGAGCTCGTCTCCCACTCCCGCATGCGCGGTCTCTCTGGTGGCCAGCGTGTCAAGGTCGTCCTTGCCGCCTGCTCGTGGCAGCGTCCTCACTTGATCGTCCTTGACGAGCCCACCAACTACCTTGACCGTGACTCGCTGGGTGCTCTGTCCAAGGCCATCAAGGCCTTCGAGGGTGGTGTCATCATCATCACTCACTCCGCCGAGTTCACCAGGGACCTTACTGAGGAAGTCTGGGCCGTCGTTGACGGTAAGATGACTCCTTCCGGCCACAACTGGGTCCAGGGCCAGGGTGCTGGTCCCCGTCTCGCCGAGAAGGGTGAGGAGGAGGACAAGTTCGACGCCATGGGCAACAAGATCGAGGGTGGCAAGAAGCAGAAGAAGCTCACCTCTGCTGGTAAGTTTATTATCCGTTTGTATTCGAGCGTACAGTTTGCTAACGCATTTTTGCAGAGCTTCGCAAGAAGAAGAAGGACCGCATGGCCCGCCGCAAGCGTGGTGAGGAGGTCTTCTCCGACGAGGAGGATTAGAGTAGTGGGCGAAGTTTGGTTAGGGTTCCATTCGCCTTTCTTCAGTTGTTTCCAGCGGTTCCGTTCAAAAAGCACAATGGTTCATCTAGACGTCGGCTAGCACGTCTCCGCCAAGAAAAGGAATGTGTTACGTCGGCAGGGTTGGGTTCGGCGTCTTGGTGGATTTAGTCACGGTTTACGATTCCACTGCGACATGCACGGGCAGGTTTCGGCAGGATAGACATAGATCACTGCAAATCGAAGACCAGATCGTTCAACTTTGTATATGATAAGTTTGAGTTTATGGGTGGCTTGTCTATGGTGAGCTTTGTTAGTGTTTCGTCTGGCTTCCCGATCTGGTCTTCTCTCACGTGAAAGAGGATATCGCCAACAAGCCGATTGCCTCTGAAAAAGGTTTAGCGCTAGGGCCCAATTAGCTCTACGTCTTGCTCCACAGCTCAAGCTCCCCTCCATCTCAACACCAGCTCCAACGCGACTGCGACGCGTCGTCGAACCCCACACAAAGCCACTGAACCAATTATCCACCCCCTAAAATCACCAAGGAAACCAGACAGCGCAACGCCCGCAATTGCCACCATGCCACCCAAGAAACGAGCCAAACCGACGGCCGTCTCGACGCCGCGCGCCTCAACGCCCTCCAAGACGCCGAACAAAGACCTCCCACCACCGACCATGATCCCCTTGGACCTACTCACCGACCCATGGACCGATGACCAAGAAACCTCGCTTTACAAAAGCATCATCCGATGGAAGCCGACAGGCGTGCACAAGCACATCCACATGATCCAGATCGCATCGTCGATGAGCCGCGAGGGCTTCAGCTACCAGGGCCGCGGCAGCGCACACACGCGGATCCCCGGCATCTGGCGCAAGCTCAGCCAGCTATACGATCTGGACGCGCTCGACGAGCGCGAAAACGCCCACTCCCTGCTCGGCTGGCCGGACGTGGCGGAGCGGCCGCGCGCGCCCGGCCCCGAACCCGACGCAAACGCCGCCGATGGCCCGTGGTTCCGCCTGCCGGACGACGAGTTCGCCCAGCTGTTGTGGGACCGCCGTATCGCGACCGATGCGGCCGAGGAGGCGGAGCTCGAGCCTGAACATGGCGGCAGCAGCACCAAGCCTGCTCGCGGCGCTGGCGCCAGGAAGAAGAGTAAGGCCTCTGCGGCTGCGGCTGCCGCCGCTGCTGCTGCTGTGCGCAGTGTCAGCCCGCCTGCGTGCCCCGAGCTGCTCGCTCGGGTTGGCGATATATTGCCCACGCTGCTGGAGCAGGACGAGCTCCTCGCGGGGCACGTCTCAGCCGACGAAGGCGGGCGCAGCACGCCTGTCACCAAGGGGCGCGCAGGCGCAGGGGCAGGAGGGGCAGGAGGGCGCGGAGGTAAAGCAGCGGGGGGCCGGGGACGGGGCGGTGGAGCCGGCGGAGGAGGCAGAGGCCGCGGTGCGCCGAAAGCGCAGTCGACAGATCCAGAGGACGAGGACGAGGACGAGGACGAAGAAGACGAGGAAGAAGAGGAGAGCTCCGAGGAGGAGGAGGAAGACGAGGATTCTTCGCCACCGGAGCGGGGGAGTGGTCGCGGCGCGCGCGGTGGTAGGAGAGGCGGCCGCGGCGCGAAGCGCGGCGCTGCGGGGCGCAGTAGGCGGTAGTTCGTGCCCTGCCTCCCTCAATGCCGTTTGCGCGTTTCTTTTCTTTATATATACCCCCGAGACGGTATGCTGGCGCCGCAGGCTTCCAGCACACGACGACAACCACCACCACCACAACACCACGACCACTGTCACTACCGACAGCCATACCCAACCAACCCCAACCACGCTACCACCCCCGCCTGCAAGCATCCAACCAGCTAGCTAGCTAGCCTGCCAACAAACCAGTAAGCCCACCAAAGCGCGCACGCAGCACAGCACAAACCCAAGCGAGCGAGCAACTTCAACCGCGCAGGGCAAGGAATGACACACACACACACACACACACACACACACGCTCAATCCCTCACGCCGCCCGCAGTAGCACGAACAAACGCACACACGCACGCATTGCCTCAGCCCAGCCCAGCTCAGCTCACCCTCCATTCACCACCCACCACCCACAGTAGGGCAGCGTCGTCGTCGTCGATGTCAAAGACGGTCATAGTCACGGTCGTAGTCATAGTCATGTCACAGCAGCAGTAGCCCAGAGCCGAGCAAAGTATGTACAGCTACTAGCACTGCGAAGCAGATGGGGTATGAACGCCTCGCTATGCTAGCTATGCTATGTTATGGTATGCTATGCTAGAGGGAGTACGTATGTACATGGGAGAGGGGTTTAGTTGGTTGCAATGTCCCTTTTGGCTTCTGGGCGAAGAAAGGAAAAATGACGAAAGGATTAGGAGATGGTAGCGGAGGACTACTCCCAGTTGCGGCTGAGACCATTGATCACAATCAAATTTAACACTGCTGCTGTTTGATAGGTAGTCTTCTAACTGTTTCAATGAATTAACTCATCATTGCTCTGTACCATCCATACATACCTATTTACCTTCATTTCCAAGGGAGTTTGGTAATCTGATCCGATCCAATACAATCTGATCTGATCTGATTCGATCTGATCTGATACGAAGAAGCAAGCCAGCGTAGGTGGTCTGCCTGCCTGAGGTGTGCTACTACTATATCTACCGACTTACTAGCGAAAGCAGTATTCGCAGTCGTAGTCGTAGCCTTTGTGTTTGATACTGTACTCCCTGCTAGCATTACCACCAAGCAGGCAAGCCAGTAACTACCTAAGTGTGCCTTCATGCACCTATTCATGCCTACCTACCACGCCCAAACGCCGCCCATGAAGGTGATGGTGGTATGTATATGGGTGGCGTGCAGTTCTCTCCACCACCCACTCACTCACTCACCCACACACACACACACTCTCTCTCTCTCCCCCACACAAACTCACTTCCCTCCCTCATCCACCTTCGCCTTCTTCGCCGGCAGCGTAGGCACCTTAAACCCCGCCGCATCCACCTTCGTCTGCGGCTGCTGACCGCCACCGGCCGACCCCGCAATCTGGGTAAAAGTCCCGCCACTAAACCAGCGGTCCTCCTCAGCCTTCCTCTTCCGATTCATCTCCTCGCGCACCTTCGGGTCCACCAGCTCCAGGCCCTGCACGGGGGTAAACGCAATCGTAGACGCGGTGCCTCCCGCCGCGCCGGCGCCAACACCAGAAGTGCGCAGGCCCTGCCCGCGGAGGACGCTGACGCTGCCGCTGCCCGCGCCGCCGCCCACTCCGCCGCGGATCGACGATGCCGTGCCTGACGCGGGCGTCGCGCCGCCCCATCCAGGGTTCTTCTTCGACAGCTTGGCTTTGGTGCGCTGGTCGATTTGCTGTGAGCGGATGCGGCCGTCGGTGCCCTGCCCGATCATGCCGAGGCCCTTGGTGCCCTCGCCCGTGCCGTAGCCCACCTCTTGCTCCTCCTTGCCAAACGCCATGCGGTTCTGTGCTTTGCGCAGCTCCGTCATGGCCGTTGCTTCCTTGGCTTTGCGGGCGCGCCGGCCGCCGCGCTTGCGGCTGGGCTTGTCATCTGGGGCGGGGAGCGCGCGCACGCCCTTGTTCGGTGGCGGCTCCGTGAGCTTGTCGAGTCGCTCTAGACATTGCTGCTTGAGGTCTTCGCCTGTCGAGCCGTCGGGCGTGCCGTGGATGCTGTCGACACGGGCTGCGAGCACGATTTTGGCCGACACGATTCGCATGGCCTGTTTCTTCAGGTCGCTGGGTATGTTCCGGATGATGGGAGAGTTGTACAGGAAGCCTTGGTGGCGTACGCCGACATTCGTCGCAAATCCGGTACCCGAAGCCTTCTTGGATCCGAGTGGCGCAATGTTGCAGGCGGGCGTCTTCGACAGGCCCTTGATGCCTCCCGTGTAGTTCAGGAGTTGCGCCGCGGTCAGGGACCCAATTAGCGCTGTGAGGTTAGGTGCAAACAGGTTCATGCGCGATTGCACGTATTCGGTCAATACCCTCTTCGCCTTGTCGAGCTGCATCGTCATTTCGCATGCCTTCATCACAGTCTGCAGCTCCGCTTCCGTCAATTCGCGTCCTTGGGACGTGGTGGCCTCGACGGTCACGACCATCATAGACGGGCCGTCCAGCACGGCTCTGAGCGGCTGTCCAACCAGGTTGTTGGAGGAAGACGAAATGCTCTTAATATCCTCCATGGGTCCATTGCCGACAATGGCAACCGTCTTGGCATAGTCGAGCGGGTTGGTAATCAGAGTCTCGAGCTCAGGGAAGCGGACCGAGTAATGATCGCGGATGAATTTGTGCACCAGGATGATCTCGCTGTCTATCGACGTCGAGAGGGTGTTTGATTGGGTGAGGAGCTTGTACTCCGGGTTGTCTTCGATGTTTCCAAAGTTTCTGGTCTGCTGCTCCGGCGGCAGCTCTTGGTAGTGGGCTATTTTCTGTGGACGGCGAGGCACGTCAGGACTGTTTTTCTCACAATGTAAATTGTATACAGGAACAGAGGGGCGGAGATGCACTAACCTCCATGACGGGCTGCAGCGTCTTCATCAGACCGGCCACGCTGCGCACGTCGTTGACGCCGCCCAGCTGCATCTTCTCCACCCTGGCTTTCGCCTCCTCCTCGTCCTCTGGTGCTTCGCGACCGTCGGGAGCAGATGCGGCGGCCATCATCTCTTCGTCTTCCTCGACCGCTTCCTCGTCGTCGTCGAGCTCCATGCTACCATCTTCACCGGTGCTCGCCTGCTTCTTCAGGCCACTATTGACAGCCGCTGGCGGCGTGAGGCCGTCGTTGGCGGCGAGCTCGCCGCTCCTCTCCTCCTCATTCTCGTCGCCGGACTCTTCAAAGTCGTTCAAGAGCTCGTCCGCGAGCGTCGCCATGGTGAAGGTGCGTGGCGCAGAGGTCGCTGGCGACAAGGGGTTGTAAGGGCGCTGTGGGTCCGTTTGGTGGTGAAGGAGCAGGTTTGATATGTTCCTCAGTGGAATAGTTGCGCGAAGACGCTGGCTGCTTTCGGGTTGTCTACGTGGTTTGGGTGGCGGTGGACGCGTAGAAGTGGCTCATTTAAAGGCCGCGGGGAAGGAAAATCGAAAGCTCGAGCGAAAGACTTGTGCGCCGCTAAAACGCTCACGCACACTGTCGGTTGGCAAGCAGTTCACACAAGTCGCGATGATGATGGTGCGGGCGAGAAGGCACGTTCTGCCAATTGCGACCGCCGCGGGTGGCTTAGTAAAGCTTCCACTAGCGTCAACATTCTGCCGCGGTGCATTTCCTCACCGCCGCGCGCGCCGCCCCGCCGTCACTCAGTCCTCCGACTGGAATTCCAAACACAACAGCCCGCACCAGCAAACGCAGGCAGGATGAGCAAGTTCGGCACGCTCGTGATGGGCCCCGCCGGGGCGGGGAAGTCGACCTTCTGCTCGTCGCTAATCCAGCACCTACGCGCCAACAAGCGCTCCTGCTACTACGTCAACCTGGACCCGGCAGCCGAAGACTTTGCGTACGAGCCGGACATCGACATCAAAGACCTCATCAGCCTGGAAGACGTCATGGAGGAGATGGGGCTGGGCCCCAACGGCGGCCTGATCTACTGCTTCGAGTTCCTGCTCGAGAACCTCGACTTCCTGACCGAGCCGCTCGAGGACGTGACCGAGGAATACCTCATCGTGATCGACATGCCCGGCCAGATCGAATTGTACACGCACGTGCCCATCCTGCCGACCCTGGTGAAGTCCCTCACGCGTGGCTCGCTGAACATCAACCTCTGCGCCGCCTACCTCCTCGAAGCCACCTTCATCGTCGACCACGCAAAGTTCTTCGCCGGCACCCTCTCCGCTATGAGCGCCATGCTCATGCTCGAAATGCCCCATATCAACATCCTGAGCAAGATGGACCTCGTCAAACACACCGTCGCCAAGCGCGAGCTCAAGCGCTTCATCGACCCCGACGTCGGCCTGTTGGACGATGACCCCTCCCGGAAACTGGCCTTCGAGCAGCCCGGCGATAGCGCCGACCCCGATCCCGCGGCTACCCAGAATGTCATGGCCGGCGCGTCGTTTCAGCGCCTGAATAGGGCCGTCGCCCAGCTTATTGACGATTTTAGCATGGTCTCGTTTCTGCAGCTCGACGTCCAGGATGAGGACAGCGTCTCGGCGATTTTGAGCTATATTGATGATGCGATTCAGTATCATGAGGCGCAGGAGCCGAGGGAACCTATGGATGCGGTTGATGTTGATATGGGTGAGTAAGAGGCTGGGGCTGGCGTGGTTGGATGTTATTCGTTTTGCATTGGGCGGAGTTTTTTGGGCTCGAAAAATTGCGGCATGGCAATCGCATTGGGGTTCGCATGTGCGGTATAGGATGCTCAAAAAAGAGACCGAGCGGTGGACCGGGGGAGTGTAGTGAGCTCCATGTATTCTCTCGGAGGCCGGACCGGACCGGACCGGATCCCCCTTACTTGTTCAGCATACCAACTGTTGGAACACGAGCTCTACGGTATGGGTTCAAAAGAGGCACCAGAAATACGCAGCACTACGTTTATGTAGTTGCAGAGGTGGGCTTATCTATCTACGCAAGGTTGAAAGACGAATGTACGATGGGTGGGGCTCATGAGAGCACAGGAATACATCAGGAGGTGATGGTTCGGACGATGGGCTGTTGTTGAGAGCCGGAGTAGCCTTGCACCCGGTCGAACTCGGAGACTACTCTGTCCAGAGTTGTACCAGCGCTATCATTCCGGGTATGCACGCATAAGAACCGTACAAATCACAGAAACAGCGAAGACGATGATTGGCTTCAAGATTGATTTGATTTGATAGCGCTCAATGCTGACGCTGAAGGATACATGCATAATTTCCACGCCCGCCTATCCCAAGCAAGATATCCGAAGGTTGGACGGCGAGATTTACCACTTAGCCTCCTTCTTCTCCTCAAAGGCCTTGATGATGGCGACGTTCTTCTCGAGCGCGGCGAGCCACTGCTCGAGCTGCTCGGTGACCTTGGCCTGGTCCTCGCCGAGCTTGGCGTAGAAGTCCTTGCGGTAGGGCGTGGCGCTCATGGCGGCGCTGAAGATGGGCTTGATGACGAACGAGTGGTGCGGCTTGAGCGTGTTGCCGTACGCGCTGCGGAACGAGTCCGACAGCTCCTCCGACGGGTTGTTGACGTTGGCGCGGAGCGACTGCGCCGTGAAGTCGAGGCCACTGCGACGTGTCAGTTAGCTTAAATAGTACAATTATGGAGCTGGGTAATCTTTACCGGGTCAGCCACAGAAGACCTTCCGCAGCAGTGTGCTTCTTCTCCTTGATCTCGTTGACGACGAGTTCCTGGAGGGTCTGGCTCTCGCCGGGCTGAGCGACCTGGCGGTCACGGATTTTCTGTGTAGAATGCGTCAGCGGTATGTCCTCTCGGAAAGAGCGTCTCTAGGTTATATATGTGTTCGAGATGGGCGGCGGCGGCGGTGGTGGTTCGACGGGGATCGGCGGAGAAATGTACCTTGATGTTGCCGGTCATATCAGACTTGACGGGCTTGAAGGCAGCAGAGCCCAGGACATCTGCAAGCTACTGTCAGTACGAGCTCTCAAAGCAGCAGCTAGAGATGGCAAAAGAACGCACCGAAGAGGGTGGTCAGGGACTCGGCAGCGTCGAGGAACTCGGTGGTGTGGATGGCATTGTCGTTGGCGGCGTCGACGGGAACGTCAACGAAGGACTTGCCGAGGGTATCGAAGAAGGTGGACATTGTGAGTGAAGTGGAATTGGTTGAGTGGATTGAAGTGATTGAGAAGAGTGAGAAGTTTGGAAGTGAGAGAGGGTTGGGACAGAGGAGATGTGTTCAAGAATTAAGGCAGGTCGTCTGGGCGAGCCCCTCGAGCTACGCGGGCGGTGTGGCTCGATCAAGCAGGTGGGGCTGCCCGCGCGAATCGTTGCGGGGTCCTGACTGCTGGTTGCGTGTGCCGTGGCCGATGAAACAGCCTCAGCTGGCCGATCGCCTCACAATTCGTCACCGTCCTTTATGCACACCTGAGCATAACTCCGCATAACTGCCTGCCGGCAAAACACCACCGGCTGTCCATATCACTGGCATAGTTACAAGGATAGGTAGGCTCAAAGTACACCCGTCGCACCTGCGGTACATCATTGAGCCGTTCTACCTGCCTCTCCGCACGCCATATATATACCATGTCTGCTCGCCCTCCTCTCTCTACGTAACTTCCACCGGCAATCGCAATTCCCCCATAGTCTGTTTCTCTTTAATTGGCCACCATCATGTCTCCGAGCACCGTCCACAGCGTTAAGCCCTTCTACCGCATTGCTTCAATCCCCGGTGACGGCATAGGTACCGAGATCACGCAAGCCGCCGTCCAGGTGCTGCAGAAGCTGGCCGACGCTCACGGCACGTTCCAATTCGACTTCACACACTTCGACTGGAGCAGCAAGAACTATCTGGAGAGGGGCTGGTACATGCCCGAGGATGGGCTGGAGCAATTGAAGAAGCATGATGCTATCTACTTCGGCGCCGTTGGCTGGCCCAGTACGTCTTCCAATAGCGCTAGCCCGAAAGGGCATTCTTTCCGTACCTACCTTGACTGACGGTTGAAAGATGTCCCCGACCACATTTCCCTCTGGGGTCTCATCTTACCGATCCGCAAAGCCCTCAACCAATATGTCAACGTGCGTCCAACCCGCATCCTGGCCGGCACGTCTTCTCCTCTTGCCAACTGCAGCCGCGACGATCTCGACTGGGTCATTGTGCGCGAGAATAGTGAAGGAGAGTACAGCGGTCAGGGCGGAACGTCACATGAGCATTCTCCGCACGCTGTAGCTACCGAGGTCTCCATCTTTACCCAAGTTGGCATCGAGCGCATCACGCGCTTCGCCTTTGAGACGGCGCGTTCCCGCCCTCGCAAGAAGTTGACCATGGTCACCAAGAGCAACGCCCAGCGCCACGGAATGGTGCTTTGGGACAGGGTCTTCTACGAGGTGGCCAAGGAATATCCCGACGTCGAGCATGACAAGATGCTCGTTGACGCCATGACCGTGCGCATGGTGCTTCATCCCGAGACGCTGGACACCATCGTTGCCACGAACTTGCATGCGGACATCCTGTCCGATCTTGCAGCGGCACTTTCTGGTAGCATTGGCATCGCGCCGTCGAGCAACCTTGACCCCACAAGGAAGAACCCTAGCATGTTCGAGCCAATCCACGGCAGCGCCCCGGATATTGCTGGAAAGGGCATTGCGAACCCGGTCGGCGCATTCTGGAGCGCCGCAGAAATGGTCAGATGGTTGGGCGCAGAGGAGGCTGCTGACGTCTTGATGAAGGCCATAGAGAACGTGACGGGTGCTGGTGTCCGGACCAAAGACCTCAGTGGCTCGAGCAACACACAGGAGGTAACGGACGCCGTGTGCGCGGAGGTGGAAAAAATCCTGAAGAAGTAAAGGATACCTTTCCCTAGATAGCATTCCGGTGAGGGCTTAAGCGTATGTTCCCAGGCATGGGCTGTGCATGAAGCAAGCAGTTATCAAACAAGCCCTTCAATCCTCGTAAATATCCGGAAGCGACGGTTTCGTAGCCGCCGGCAAAACCTTCGAATACGTCGTGAAGCTCTCAGGGTCCGGTATTTTGCCCCATCTGCTGAGCGGCCAGACAATATACCTAGCCTTGCCATTGATCAAACCAATGGGCAACTGCAAGCCATAAGTCAGCAACCACATTCAACAGAAGCTCCCAAGCACCATCACAGCCTCAAGCCCGCAGCAGCAGCAGCAGCAGCAACAAGACTTACCGGCCCAAAATCATTACTATCCACCGTATTCCTCCAATTATCGCCCTCAACCCAGACATGATTATACGGGAGCGTAACCCTACGACTGCCCTGCCAGCGCTTGGCGCGCACAAGCACAGTATCGCCAGGCATGCCAACGACGCGCTTAACACTCAGCTGGTCGGGCCTATGCGGGGCATGAAACGAAACGATGTCACCACGGCGAAAGTCGCGACAATGCAGACGGTCCATAAGCAGGCGGTCCATGCGGCCGGTTTCGTGGAAGCTGGGCGACAGCGTCGGCGCCATGCTGGGCCCGTCGACGCCGCTGACCTCGTACACGTTGTCGCGCACCCATATCCATGCGCTGAGGCCGACTGCGGTGCAATACGCTGTGTAGGTGAAGTGCGAGGCGAAGACCCGGAACTGTGGCATCAGGCGCGCCATGTTGCTGTGTTGTTGAGACGCGCGCGTGGTTCGTCGTGCTATGTGTGGAGGTGGGGTCGTCGTCGTCGTCGTCGTCGTGGACGCGAAAACGCGGCGGCGTGCGCGGGCATCGCGGGCCGAGATCGGGTCGGGTGGCTCGGGGGTTTTGTCGTGGCCGCTCCGGTTGGGGCTGCGTACCTAGGTACCTACCCAGGACCATATATATTCACTGTGAACTAAAACTTGGCTATTACTTCATCAGGCTTTGTGGTGTTCAAATTCTTTGTATACGGTACCTTTTCTATTCTAATCAATTACAAACTTCACTAGGAACGGCCCTGAAAATACTTCCTGTCTTCACAACGCTCAGTCTTTGCCATGCAAATGTGAAGGCAATTCAAGTTTCCAGTCAGCTCCAATTCCAAGACACAGAAATCTTCTACGGACCGAAGTAGACTTGAAGAAATCAAATATAAAAGCCGCGGTAGTAGGCACCAATCACCTAACCAGCAGCTTAAAGTTAATGATCCAACTTACTGCCCATAAGGCTGTTTGCATAGCAAAAACACCTGCTTAGGGGCTTTACTAATCCTGAAGTTATTGAAGTATCCGCCTTGCAAAATTCGAGAAACCTCAGTATCGGAGCTTAGAGGTACGTGTTGCCATTTGACACCATCACGAAACGGTGATCTCCCACTCCACGCGAAGCTGATGCTGTTCATCAAACACGATCAGTGACATAATCAGTGTCATATTGTGCCTCTACGGCTTCGTTTGGGAATCGTTCTCATAAAAGACGAATTCCTGGCCCCCTGGAACCAAAACCCTTCATGAGGAACCGGACAATGTCGCAGCCACCAATTGCTAGGTGGAAACTGACGGCATACCGAGCTGTAGCATAAAAGAACGCCAGGAATGCTTGAATGCCTCTTATTTATATCCGGTCCCCACTTTGGAATATAGACTCCAACTCCACACACCATCTTTATATATAAAGCGCGTCGGTAGTATTTCTGCACTTCAGACCACGCGCCAACAACAGAAATTAGCAAACCCACCACGCTGACCACGCTCTCCACCAACACGTACAAACAAACAACATCCCCAATCAACCCAAGCAGCCGCCCCCAAAGCGCCTCACACGCACGCAGCGAAAGCCGCTCCTCCCCGCCCCCAACCCCGCCTAAACCCCCAGCCCTCAGCGCCCAGCGCCCAGCGCCCAGCGCCCGCACCCTACACCGCCCATCCCAATCAGCGCCAAATTTCCAGCCACCAGGTAACGCACCCCCAGCAGCACCGGGCCTAACCCCTCTCCCAAAAAGCCGCAGTCACGCGGCATCAGCAGCAGCAGCAGCAGCAGCAGCAGCAGCAGCAGCAGCATCGGCACCAAGCGGCCGCAAACAACAATAGCAGCAGTAGCAGCAGCACGACCAAACGCACCACCACCACCACCACTACCAAAAGGCACACCAACGGGCGCCACCGCCACCGCTCCACGACACTTGCAAGCAGGAAAATAAGACGATCTCCGAAAAAAGTAAAACGGTAAAAGATGATAAAAATAATAAAAATAAAGAACTGAGATCTATTTCTACGTATCCCGTAGTACTCCGCGAACAAGCCGAAATACAAAAATCGCTGATTCAGGGTATCCCTATCTATCCACGACCGGACATGCGTACCTAACTATGCAGCAGATGCACACGAACAGCCAAACAGCCAAACGAACAAACAAGCAAACAAGCAAACGGACAAACAAACGGACAAACGACCCAGCGAGAGCGAGAGCGAGCCCAAACACCACACCGATACCGACACCAACACTGCCACTGCCACAGTCACAGCCACAGCCACAGCATCTTGACCGCTCACAGCGCCTCGCGCGCTTGCTCGCCTCGCGCCCAAAGCCCAGCGCCAAAAGCCGAAAGTAAGCAAGTAAAGCAAAGCAAACAAGCAAAACGAAGCAAGCAAAGCAAGCAAAGAAGCAAGCAAGCAAGAAAAAGAAAAAGGAAAAAAGAAAAAGCAATCACAAAGCACCAACCCCCAGGCAGCTTCCCAGCGCCAGGGCGCCGAGCCCACGCACACACACACGCAGACGCGCTTGTGCGCCCTCCCCGCAAGCCCAGCCCATCGAGCAGCAGACGCTCAAGCATACAGCAGCAGGAAGGCAAAGCAATGCTTTTTCCGCCCTCTGCCCTCCTCTCCCAGAAGAGGCAGCGGTGCTCCGCGGGCGGGTCTCGCGCCCGACACACCGGGGCGTTGCTGTGGCACCTGTCAGAAAAAAAGCCGCCGGGGGGGCAAAGAGAGTGCGCGCGCGTGTGCCTGTGCGGTGGGCGTGTGAGAGGGTGTGATATAGTCGCACACTCCCTCCCCCTCTCGCCCCTCACTTCCATCGCTGAGAGCCTGCCTGCCTGCCTGCCTGGAGTTAGTCTCCCTGCCCGCCCCCCGAATAATTCCATGTCTCGCCCCCATTTCCCTTCCTTTGCTCTGCTTTCCCGCCTTTGCTGAGAAGAGAGAGAGAGGAGGGAAGCAGCGCCCGACCCAACCTTACCCAGCCGAGCCCGAACCCGACCCAATCTCCCCCCCTACCTAGGGAGATAGGTGCCGTACCCGCTCTCCCCCTCCCTCTCCCTCTCCCTCCCCGTTGCTTGCCTCACCGTGCCGCCCACCCTGCCCCTACACTAGTCAACCCCAGGTCTCAGATAAAAAACGCCACAAAATGACACAAGGAACAAGGTCCAGAAAACCAAGATCGAGAAGAAAGGAATGTTGCGTGAAAACGGCCGCGGCGGCCGATTCGGCGTTTGAAACCTGCCTGCCTGCTCCGCCGTGCCGGAATGTGACGAGAACCACAGTGCTCAGGGCACAGCCTAGCCGCCGTGCCCCATGGCTGCAGAAAGTTTGCTGTCTCAATGCCCGCGCCGTGTGCACGCGAGCGCGCGCGCCATCTCTCTCGCCCTCGTTCGCTCGCTCGCTGCTGTCGCCGCCGCCGTCGCCCAGGGAATAGGGAATGCTGCAGAACAAAGGCGGTTGCATGTTGAATGTCTCAAGGCGGCGCCCCCCCCCCCCCTCCATCATCGTGCAGCCCACCATCGGCTTCGCCGTTGCCACAGCTGCCTGACAATGCCCTACGCCCATCATGCAAGCAAGAAACGGAACAATTCTCCGACGCGCGCCGCCGCCGCTGCCGCTGCTACTGCTGCTGCTGCTGCTGCTGGTGCTGCCGCCGCGCTCAGGCGTCGTGGCTGCCAAACTCAATTTCTTCTCGCTCTTTCCTTTTGACCCGGTGCTCATGCCGGATGCTCCATAACGTGACCAGCAGGCCGATCAAGCTTGCCGCAAACGTAATCCCGTAGGCTCCACGGTAGCAGTCAAGGCCCTCGGTGCACTCTCTTTGGCCGCCGTCCAGCTCCGTCGAGTGGTGGTCGTACACCCGCCCGTAGCACAGGTTGAAGATGTTCCCGCTGATCACAGGCGACAGCGTCATGAAACCCCAGTTCTGCGTCATGACGTTCACGCCGAACGCGTCGGCGACTACAGCCGGGAACACGCCGAACAGGGCTCCGTAAGCGAGCCCGGTGAGCGTGCTGACGATCCAGAGATGCGTCGGGTTCTCTATGTTTATGGCTGTGAATTGGGCCAGGGTGAAGACGGATGCAGACGTCACGAGGCACCAAAAGCGCGACATGTTCAGGTTTTTCACGAGGAAGTCCGACCCGATCCCAGAGCCCAGGCGTCCAAGAAAAGAACCAAAGGAAATGATGGAGACGTGCAAGAGTTGCTTTGACGCGATGAATTCCTTGGAGACGCTGTCATCGTAGTGGGACCAGAGCGCCGTGGAATCGTGGCCGATATTGCTGTAGTAGTTTAGCGTCACATACGAGAGAGCGGCTTTCAACAAACTCACTTGATTGTCATCAAACCAACGCCCGTCAAAAGGCCTAGCAGAATGAAGAGTTGCCAACATTCAACGGTGCGAAGCAGCGCAAGACCTGAAATTTCTGCTCGATGTGAGTGGTTACCATGACTTTTGGTGTCGTCTTCTGGAGATATATCCCCAGTTTCGGACATAAGGGAGGTTCTATCGGACGCCGATGATTGAGGACGAATCTGCACCTCGTCTTCTGCGGAGTCATGGATTGGTAGCTGTCCAGGGATGGAGGACAGATGGTGAAAAACGGAAAAAGTCTCTTACCTCTTTCTTGCTGCGCGCCTTTGCCAACGTAATCGCTATCCCTGGACTTTGGGCGCTGGAAAGAACTCGAAATGTTACGGGTATGGCCTGGCCTCTCCCCTCCTGGAAGAGCGGTATATGACGCCGGGCCCTTGACAACCTGAAGGAAAAACATGCCGACGAAAATCATACAAAAGGTAGCCACCGAGAGCATCAAAAGAAAGCTGGAGGTGTCTCCTGGGAAGGCGAAGTTTGAGAGTGTGGTGAAGAACAGGGCACTGAGGCCAAATGCTGAGAGAGGGAAAGCCGTGGCTGTTCCGCGGTGGTGCGGCCAGTTCAATGCGGCGGTTTTGAGAGCAGCTGAAGATGCGGAGCAGCTGCCCACTCCGGTCAAGAAGTTTAAGAAGCACATGAGGAATACGCTCATGGAGCCGGGGCCGTTCTCGAAGGCTTTCTGAAGCGGATAGTATCCGAGTGCCAGGCATGCCGCGCCAAGTAGCGCGGGTGGTCGTGGTCCACTCCTATCGACCAGCATGCCCACCGGTATACCAGAAGCATACATGCCGATGTTGCCAGCAACACCCTGTCCTTCTCAGCAATTGTTCGGCTAGCGGGGGAGGTCCGGGGTGCTCACGATCAAGTTGCTCTGGGTAGTAGAGAGCTGGAGCCTCTCGGCGTATTGCGGCGCCCATGCCGAGTACGCGTACTAGGTAAGACGAGGTTAGAGAGAGAGAGAGGGTTTAGGAGTACAAGGCTGGCAGCAACGCACGTTGGTCCCGCAAGCTAACGCGACGACTGCAGCACCCACGACGGATAGGATGCGGGCAAAGCGGTGGCTCCGTTCGTCCATCATGGTTAGGAAGGTAGCAGGGCAATGACCCTGAATGGAGTGGAAATGGTGGCCGGTTACGGGAGCATCAAGAGGCGGAGTCGGGAGTCGGAGACAGGGCGGAAGAGCTATCTGGCAACTGGGAGGGGCCAGGACCCCGGGGATCAGAGACGATTAAAACGGTTCATTTGTGGAGAAGCTCCTGAGCAATGAGGGCCTGAGAGGGATTGGCATGCAATTGGCATTACGAGGCCTTTGCGGCGCGAGCGGAGATAATGTCTGACGTGCACGCGAAGCCAAGCTTTTGGGCTCCGCCGACGTACGTACTGCTGCAGCATCGTCAACCCTTCCACCCGACAAACTTCCATCCTCATCCACTCACCATGGGCGCGGCTCTGTCTCTGCCCTTTCTGGCCCTGCCCAGCATCGGCGGCGTAAGTTTTTCGTCTACCTTGCCCGCCCTTTACTGACTCTCCCTCTCGCACAGCTCGCGACCTTTGCTGCCTCATGCTGCGGTGCGGCGACATGCTCCGCCGTCTGCAGCGCATGCGGCAAATGCCAGAACAGGTTCGCATGCTACCTCACGCCGCATATCTGCCTACCCGCCTGTGCTAACGCGACTGCAGCATGGCCACGCGCATCGCCTACGCCCTCATCCTTCTCGTCAACTCGATCGTGTCGTGGATCATGCTCACTGATTGGGCCATCAAGAAGCTGCAAAATCTCACGCTCGACTACATGGACTTCAAGTGCGGCGACAGCGACTGTTATGGCTATGTCGCCGTTCACCGCATCAACTTCGCTCTCGGCACCTTTCACGCTATCCTGGCCATAATTCTGCTTGGCGTCAGATCATCCAAGGACGGCCGTGCGCCCATCCAGAACGGTTTCTGGGGCCCCAAGATTATCGCATGGTTCGGTCTCATTGTGCTGAGCTTCCTCATTCCCGAGGGCTTCTTCGTGACCTGGGGCAGCTACCTGGCCATCATCGGCGCCATCCTCTTCCTCCTGCTCGGCCTCATCCTTCTCGTCGACCTTGCGCACAACTGGGCCGAGTATTGCCAAGACAAGATCGAGACCAACGGATCCCGGGCATGGACTTGGCTCCTCATCGGCTCAACGGCACTCATGTACGTGGCGTCGCTGGCCATGACTATCGTCATGTATGTCTTCTTCGCCTCGGGTGGCTGCTCCATGAACCAGGCGGCCATCACGGTCAACCTGGTCCTGATGATTATCGCCGCCATCGTCTCGGTCCACCCGGCCGTCCAGGAGGTTAACCCGCGCGCTGGTCTCGCGCAGTCCGCCATGGTCGCCATCTATTGCACCTATCTCACCATGTCAGCCGTTGGAATGGAGCCCGACGACAAGCACTGCAACCCTCTCGTGCGGGCACGTGGCACGCGCAGAGCCAGCATCATCGTCGGCGCCGTGGTAACGTTCGTGGCCGTGGCCTACACGACGACGCGCTCGGCGACGTACGGCCTGGCTCTCGGCGCGCAAGGAAACCCCTACTCGGCCGTCGCAACAGACGACTACGAGCACGGGCTGGTGACGACGCAGCCGGAAAGCCGGCGCGAGATGCGCAACGCGGCGCTGCGGGCGGCGGTGGAGAGCGGCAGCTTGCCGGCGAGCGCGCTGGACGACGATGACGACGACGAGTCGGACGCGGGCGACGGCGCGGCACGCGACGACGAGCGCAGCAGCACGCAGTACAACTACTCGCTGTTCCACATCATCTTCCTGCTGGCGACGGCGTGGGTGGCGACGCTGCTGACGATGAACTTTGACCCCGCGGCCGAGAACGACGGCTTCGTCGCCGTGGGCCGCACGTACTGGGCCAGCTGGGCGAAGATTCTGAGCGCGTGGGCGTGCTACGCCATCTACACGTGGAGCCTGGTCGCGCCGCTTGTGCTGCCAGATCGGTTTGATTATTAAATCTGGAAGGGAGGAGGCAGGGAGGGGGGCAAGGAAAGGGGGAAGGGGGAGGGGGAGGAAAGGGGAAAAGCGAGAAAACGAGAAAGCGAGAGAGGAAGAGAGAGGAGGAGGAGGGGGGGGGGGGGGGTATGACCAGTCGTAGCTTTCATTTCCACACCTGTGTGATTTTTCGGCGCTTTGGGTAGAATCAGACAATCAGTCAGTCAGGCAGGCAGGGCAGGCGGGTCACTGTCAGTTTGTAACTCTATGGGGCAAATGGGTTTAGTTTAGTTCTGTTTTCGCATGTTTACTTTTTTCTGGCAAGGATGCTTGTGTTCCCAGCAAGCGGCAGCACCAGCACCAGCACCAGCAGAGCCCAGGCCAGGCCAGGCAAGGCACCCAAGCGCAGCGTCAAGCACGTCAAGCATGAACAAAGCAGCAGCCGCAGTAGCGCAACCGTTGCGGCGGCGCCTGTGCCGGGGTGTATGTGCGCCCGCCTGCCTGCCCCGGTGCAGAGTAACTACTCCTAACTACCCAGTTACGCCGGTGTGGATGGGCGGGAAGCCCACTCTAGCGCATGCATACATCAGTCGGTCGGCTGGCGCCCGCATGTGACGACGTGCAGCGTGCTTCCCACCTACCTATGTCCTGTACCCAAGCTACTCCTACTTCGGCAGGTTTCCTCTTGGGCTTCCTCTTGGGTTTCCTCTTAGGCTCCTGGGTACCTAGGTATGCCTGGACGGCGCCCGCGTCCCGAGGCCGTGGGAGCCGCTTATCGTGCTGCTGCTTCCTGTGTCATGGCTTGCGGCTTGTGCCTAGGTGGGTTGGGCTGGGTTGGGGCATCACTTAGGTAGGTACTTTCTTGACGTCGTCGTTGGGGGTAGGCTTTCGAGTCGTCACTATCGTCACGATAGCCTACCCCCCCATATATACACGTACATACACAAGTACGGCCTCATAAGCATCTGGCAGGCAGGCTGCCCGCGCATGACATCTGCCATCTGACAGCGGCCCCCGGACCGGACCGGGGCGGCGATCGGCGCCGCTCGGCTGCACCCGCCCAACGCCGGTGCCGCTGCGCCCCGCAACGGGCTAAGTTAGTGGAGTCGATTGCGTGCCGAGGAAAAAGCTGGCAGTGTCGAGGGCGCGCGCGTTGCTGGTGCCTGGTGGTGGTGGTGGTGGTGATGACGGATCCAGCATCAGGGCTTACCTCGGTACCTACTTATCGGCAGGCAGGTGTGTGTGGTTATGCTCCAGGCTGCAGGAAGCAGGCAGATAGGTAAGCAGCTTATCCAAACAAGGTCAGAAGCTTAGGCCGCGTGGATGCAGTAGGCACTGTATGTATGTCTCATCGCTAACCGGCTGGCGGGTCGTAAGCAGCCGTGCTATGGTACCTGGGTAGTGGTTGGGGTGGATGGATGGATGCGGCTCCGCCTGAGCTGCATAAGCAGGTAAGTGCTTTGCCCTCTAGTATCATATTATAGATACGTCGAGATACCCGAGTACGCAGCGGAAGCAGTATACCGCAAATACATCTATAGTCCCGCTAGCATTTGTTTTGCATACCCTAACTATAAAATAATATAAGTAGTCGCTAACTATCCATGAAAACAAAAGATACTGTATAATAGAACCTATAGAAAAGTAAATATGAAGGATAAAGCTATTTCATAAAGATATATAACTATAAATAAAAACACTAGAGGACACGAAACTCTCTGCCTAACGGGACACGAACGAGACAGAAAGATATATATAAGAACGCGAGAGTAAGCTCTAAGAGTATAAGAATAGTCTATATACCTAGACCTATACTACTACGGGAAGATATAGCATAGTTAAAAGGATAGATAAATACAACCATAACCCCCCACACTCACATACTATACTATAACCCTCCTCCACTGCCAGCTCCTCCTCCAACCAACAGCTCCAACCAAAAGCCCAACCCAACAGACCTCCCGGCTCCCGCTTTTCTCTCTCTTAAGTCTTACTCAAGCAAGCACACAAGCAAGCGCCAAAGCCCTTTAAGGTAAAGAAGCAGAACAGCATCAAAGCAAAAGCAAAAGAAAAAGAAAAAGGAAAATAAAAAAATAAAAAATAAAAAGAACAAGAAGATTCGTGGCCATCACCCACCCCCCACTACCACTACCATCGCCACAACCAAACCCCACGTACCTATCAAAAGCAGAAGAACAGCCAACACCGCACCACACCACACCCTAGACCAAACAGTTGAACAAGTAACAAGTAACAAGCAACGCGTAGCATAACCATCAGTACATAGCTAAGTAGGTATCCAAGAAACAAAGCCAAAGCCAAACAACCCCGCTGCACCAAATCCCCTTCTACCGCCAAACACCGCCAACACCGATCCGATCCGCAACACCAGCCGGCCCCAACACCACAACACCCCAAGCCGCAACCGCAACACCGACACCAATCAATACCAATACCGATATCGATACCGGACAAAGCCTGAATCTCAGAAAGAGCCACCTCCGTTGTTCCTGTTCCATCCCGGTGATATCGGGTGTAGATAGGAAGGGGGGAGGAGGCGATGGCAAGAGAAGAAGAAGAAGAGAAAGAAGAAGAGAAAAAAGTACCAAGTACCGCATTGAGCATCCATCCAACACCAAACGTATGTCCGTCCGTCCATCCGTCCCCTCGTTCGTTCCGTCCTTCCTTCATCATCTAGTACCATGCCATGATGTGCCATTCCGCGCCCAACTCAACTCAACCCACCCAGCCCAACCAACCGACCGACCGTGCCGCCATGCTAATAAAATGCTCACTCACTATAGCAGATACCCGATAACTGATACATGAAACTGCTGCTGCAGCAGTTGCTAATCGCAACCAATCAATCAATCAAACGCTCGTGACAGCCAGCCAGCCAGACAGACAGACAAAAGACGAAGGGGCAGTAGCAGTGGTGGTAGTGATGATGCGCGCGTGAACGTGAACGTGAATGTAAACGTGCAAGTGTGTGTGTGTGCTAGGTAATAAACCGAAGAGAACGAACCAAAGCACAAAGCATCAAGGACAAGGGTAGGTAGATAGGTGCTGCCATCACTAGGAGTATCGCTGCCGCTACCGCTACCACCATCACTACCGCGCCAGCCGCGTGCCATGCCATGGAAATGGATGGGGTGCTCGCCGAAGCGAAGCGAGACGAGACGAGACGACCTAAGGATCCGAGTGATCAGAGATAGCATAGCTAGCGGTGCGTCTGGCCTGGCCTAGCCTGGACGAAAGCGACGAAGAGAGAGGGGGAGGGGGCAGGGGAATCGCGTCGCGACGAACCTATCGAGGGTCTGCGAGCGTGTGTGTGTGTGACGAGACGGGACGGGTAGGGTAGGGTAGGGTAGGCAGGGACGCAAGCGGGCAGGCGGTAGGCGGCAGCGGTAGGCGGTAGGCGGCAGGCGCAGTGACGGTAGGCAGGCAGGTAGGCAGGTAAGTCGGAAGGCAGCCGCGTGAACAATCAGATCAGTCGGCCTGCCTGTTCGCAAGGAAGAGCGAGCGAGCTTGATGGTGCCTTGCCCAAAGCGGCCTAGTGACGCGGCCGGGGCCGCGGGACCGCGCGGGCGCATGATCAGTGCTCAGGTTGGCTCCTCCCCCATGCCCCCGGCGCCGCGGGCGATCACCCGGCCTGCTACCGTGCGCGCCCAACGCAACCAAAACGCAAAGCATGCTTGCTTGCTTGCTGGCTGCATCACCCACACCACCCACATCAGCAGGGCCGGCCGGGTCGTCACGCTCAGGCGCGCGAGGTCCGCTGACCCCCGACCCCTCCTCCTCCTCCGCCGCCGCCCGTGCCTCCATATTGCTGATACGCGTCGCCCGTATCCTGGTAGCCTTGGGCTGTCGTCGATGTCGCGCCCGTCGCCGACGCCGGCGACGCGTCCATGTACGTCGTAAAATCCCAGGAGCCGCCACGGGCGCCTCCGCCGCCGCTTCCGCCACCCGTGGCGCCCGTCAGGCTAGCCGCAGCAGCCGTGGCGCCGTACTGCGGCTGTTGTTGTTGTTGCTGCTGCTGCTGCTGCTGCTGCTGTTGCTGCGCACTAGGCCAGGTCCCCAGCCCGCCGCCGCCCAACTGCGGGACCGACACGCGCAGGTCCGGGGGGCCTGCTGATTGCCCGCCGCCCAGGGCAGGTGATGGCTTGATGCCGGGCGAGAGGGCGGTCGAGGTCATGCTGGAGGCGTAGGCCGTCGAGGCCGCCGAGCTCGTCGCCGACCGCGGCGAGGCGGTGTGTCGCAGGTCGGTGGTGCCGCTGCCGCCCACCACCACCGCGCCCGTGGTATCTGGGCCGCTGCCGTACCCGCTGGCCACGGGCGTGGGTAGCACGCCTGCTGTCGAGGAGTAGCTGGCCGACTGTGTCATGTTAGCATGTGAGAGGCCGTGAGTGGGGCGGAGCCAAGGCGCCTACGTACATATTTGCCGATGATCTTCTTGAGTGCGTGGGACAAGATCTTCCAAGGGAACACTTTGACGTCTTTCTCGATGTTCCGTGGCTTGGGGTTCGGGAAGCCCATGATGACCTTGAAAAACTCCTCGCTTTCGGCCTTTGCCTTTGAGACAGTCAGCGGCCGGAAGCCTTCCAGATTCCGCCGGATGCGGTTCTTTTCTTCGACGGTGAATCGCACTGCGACAAGCGACTCGAGCAGGTAGATCGTGTCGACGCTGGTGACAAAGCATTCCTGCTTCTCCTCCCACCAGATGCAGCTAATGCAGATGCTGTGCGGCGCGCGATCTTCCGGTGCCACTGGCTTGAAGGTGGTTGTGATTGTGCTACCGGACTGTTTACGCCGGAACTGCACGAGGCGTCTTTTATCTTTCCGCTCCTCGCGCGTCCAGTCTTCCGCCATGGCCTCGAGGTCGCCCTCGATCTTGAGGCTCGCCTTCGAGTTGGGATACATGGCGTAGGGGTTGAAGGCCTGCGCGCTGCTGTGTTGGAACGAAGACACGGCGCCCTGAGGCTGCAGCGTCGACGTTCTAATGAGCGGCGGGTTGACCAGCGCTGACGGAGAAGGCATGGCGTTCGATCTCGCCAGCAGATTGCCAGGCTGGAATGAAGAGGTCCGGAGCGACTGGCTCATCGGTGGGTACGAGCCATAGTTGGTCGCCATGTAGCTCTTGACCGGGCCATGAACGAGACCGAGGCTAGGCGAATACTGATACGATGATTTCTGAGGGGCCTGTTGCGTGTATTGCTGGCCGTACGATCTCGACTGCATCTGGCTGCGGTCAAAGGCGCCAGGGTACGAGTATGCGCTCGAGGTGGGCGTCTGGAGATATGAGGAATCCGAGCTAGGAGTGGTCGAGTAGACGCCTGGCGCCCTCGTCCGGTCGGGGAGGATCTGTTGGCTGGAAAGGTGCTTCGGGGGCGAGCGCAAGAAGTCGGCCGAGTCGGCAGAGACCTTCCTCTTGCGCGACATGTCCTGGGGCGAGGCGGAGCTGTAAGACTGATAGCTGGATGCATCGTCGTAAGTAAAGTCGCCGACCTCGAAAACCCCAAGGCTCTGGCCAAACTCGTCGTCGACGTTGAGGAGGAGGGGCACGGTGCCATCGAGATAGCCCGTGGCGTCAAAGGGAGGAATGTCGACGGCCAGAGCGTACTGATGGTATGATCCGCGGGTTTCGGTCTTGGACCAGGTGGCGTCGCACCTCTTGTGTCCAAACATGATGGAGAAGAACTGAGTCGGAGGGGTAGCGAGGTCGGTGGTAGTGCGGAAGTAGACGTAGAATCTGTCCCCATGCAGGCCTTTTCGAGGCGAGTAATTCGTTACTTCGAGCAGATGACGCGACCTTGCAGCGATATATGAAGGATATTCGGCCTGATATGGCACATCACGCGCCTCGAGGCTGGACCCAGAGATAAAAGGCATCTGTTCGGCGCTCGCAGGACCATGGGACTGGCGCGCCTGCGCGCTCGAGTACTGCGCGGCGAATGAAGGCTGTGCGTAGCTAGGGTATCTCTGCTCCGGGTTTGGTCTTGTGGCGGAGTAATCTGCGAATGGGGGTGGTCAGTCAAACAAACTAGGCCTCACGTGTGCCCACCCGGGACGATCCGGGCCAGGATGTGACTGAACGCCCTTGCAAGCGGCAAGTCAGATGGGCCAACCGCACTCACCGTACACGTACGGTTCCTGCGTCTTTTCGAAGCCGGACATGGACAATAGCGCGGCGCTTAGTCCACCGTCGGCCAAGGCACCACGTTCGTAGTCTTGGCCGAAGGGTTTATCGGAGGGATCGCAGTCTTGGTCGGCGATGAAGGGAGCTTCGAGGCTCTTTCCAGGCGGTGTTCGGCTAGGCGAGAGTCAGGGACAACAGGCAGAAGTGACGGGGTGGGTGCGGATTGGTGTTGGAGTGACGAATAGGCAGCCGCCGAGGGTAAGCCTAAAAGTCAGACTCGCGACGTACCTGGGTATCTGTAGCATCAACGCAAGGCCACTCGTCAGGACGGCCGGACTCAGACGGGTCGCGCTCAATTATCAAGCTTTGGGGAGAGTTGAGACATGCAAGGGACTCAGATGGTATGGACTTGTCTCCCACTGCATCGAGCAAAGCACGAGGAGAATGTGGAGAGGGCAGAAATGTTGTTTGCAGGCAGGTGGGTGACGGGTCGCCAAGGGTGCCGCAGCTCGAAGAAAGGTGCGAAAGTATGCTCCCGGCTGGCGGGTTTGACGCGCTCTATGAGGGAAAACACATAGGACTGGGCAGATTGCAGGGGTCTTTGAATGGAAGGCCCGCGGCTCTGGACCTGGACTAGCGCAGCCGCCTGTCGTCTATGGCGACAGAGGTTTCGGGAAGTCGAAGCAGACCAAACAATGAATCGCCGCTCAAGAAAGCCTGGCCTAGAGCGGGATGAGATTTATGAACACATACGCACACACGCACACACACAGTCTCGCGAACGTGCAGGGTGGGCTCTCATAGGGGACGGGGCTTACCAGCAGAACAACAAAGATTCACGGCGGCGAATGCTGCTTGCCGAAACCGAGCGCGGGTGAGACTAGCCTCGACGTATGTCGTCTGGATAGAGAAAAGGTCAAAAAACCGGGCAGGCGGAACGGGTGGGGATTGGTCGGGTGTATAGAAGAAGCTTGACGGGTGTCTGAACATGCAAGGGAAAAGGCGGATGCGGAGTGAGTCGCGTTGGTGGTGGTGCAGTGCAGGCTATGGCATGAATACTTACACAGTCAGCTGTAAGCTTTCCTTGAGTCAGCCCACGAGCTGATCCAGGGACGTGGCAATGACAGACGGGAGCCCGATGCGGCTCTGCCGGGGGAGGCTTGCCTCTTGGGAACGTAGAAACCGGGGAGTGGGCGGCGGGAGGGATGTGCGAGGCGCCAAGGCGCGCGGGCGGGCTGAGCCGACGGGCGGCAGGCAGGTGGCAGAGTAACCCCAGGAGGGGCTGAGCTGAGAATCTTGGAATGCTTTCCCCGCGAAAGGCCAAAGCGCTGAGTCACAATCCGGAGGCGCCGGACGTGGATGCGAAGATATGTGAAGTTTGAGAAGCAGAATGTCAATGTGTTTTGGAGGTGAAGGCCGGGGACGAGAGAGAGAGAAAGAGAGAGAGAGAGAGTAGGTAGGTAGGTAGCCAGGGCTGCGGGACAAGAAGCCAGTCGCTGGGCAGCACAGCAGCGGGGAGTGAGGGAAGGGATATATCAGCGGGCGCCTGGTAGTAGCGCTCGGGCGTGGATGAAGAAGGCCGTGCAAAGGGCTCGTATGGCTCAGCTGGATGATGGCCCTGATCTCTCCGCCCGCCATTGGAAGCCGGTGCATGGCTGGAGCATGGAATAGAGTGAGTCGTTTCTTTTTCGCCCACCTTACTCTCTCTCTCTCTCTCTCTCTCTCTCTCGCGTTCTCATAGCCGTCGCGCCGGCCGGCCGGGCGTCCGTCAGTCTGGCTGTCTCTATCATCATCATCATCCACCACCACTACGCACCCGTGCCACGAGGCCCGGCGCACGGCGGCATGGACGACATGGACGATGGCGCCGCCCTTGCTCCACCTGGCCGCGACGACGTGACGACGGGCATGCATAGGCGGTTGTCGTCGTCGTCGTCATCGTCGTTCGCGGGCAGTCGAGCTCACGGGCAGACCCGGCGGGCTGGCAATCCCTTGCGTGATGCTTCTTATATTAGCTCAGCCGCGTCGATCGAGAGTGCCCGTTGACATTGCTGCCCCTGATGCGCTGAAGGCCATGGGACTGGGCCGCCCGCTTACCGGCAAGAAGTGAGACCTGCATGGGCTGGTAAGAACTGCTGCGCCCGCGGCTGAGTCAGATGATGCATCGCTCCTTGCGCCCACCCGCCCCAGACGGGAGGCGTGCATGGTTGCATAAGGCTGGGCGGGTCCCCTTGTGCCCGTCAGGCGCCCGCTCTGCCCTCGCTCCTGGAGATTACCGGATACCCGGTTCGGCCGCTCGCATCCTACTGTGCTATTGCGACGGACCAGCCTCAGGTACCCGGTGCCGGGCGCGGCACGCGTCGTAATCATGGATTTCGCGACAAAAAAGTAGGCGCCTTATACAGGAACTACCCCCCTGTCAGAGCGCCCCTTGTCCCTTGTCCTTGCACATCGCATCGGCCCTTCCACCCACGCCTGCCGACCGTAGATTCCTGCCTGTCTCTGTCTACCTACCTACTCTTTTGCCTACACCGCCTGCCCATCATCGACATCACCACCACAGCCACTGCGCACGCCCATCTCCAACTTCCCTTCAACACCAAGTGCTACCACCGCCACCAAGCCCGTTCGCCAAGCCCCTCATCCCCTCTCGGACCTCGGGGCCAGCCCAAAGCAAACCAATGTAAGTACGTAGCCGCGCCGCGCGTCCCGTCGGCGCGCTGCGTCGCGGCTCCGCTCCGCGGGCGCTTTTTCCTCTTTTGCAATTTTATTTTTTCAGCCTATACTGGTAGTATAGGGCGAAACGCGACGCATCGCGCCACATCTCGACGCTTGGCGCCCGTCGGCCGGCCTCGGAGATCTCGATGCAATGCCCGGCACAGAAAAATATTGTCTACGACGACGACTACGACGCCGCCGCAGGGTGCGCGCCCTCTGCGTTACGTCGACGGGTTGCGCGGCCGGTGGTGGGGGGTGTGTGCGTGGAAGTGGAGGGGTCCTCGTAGGATGCTTCGTCGTCGTGCCGAGGGAATGGAGATAATTTTTTCTTCTTCTGTTTTCTTTTCTGCCGTCGTGGTGATGAAGGTGGTTGTTACGCGGAAGGGTTGTGGAGGTGGGGTTGGAGGGCTGTGATGGTGAACGAGAGGGCGGCAGTGGCTGCGGTAAGTGTCTGGTAAGTTGTGGGTGTTTGGCTGTGCGACTCACTATATAACTTGCCTGTCTGACTGTGTTTGTGGTAGGCGTGCAGCCCGCCGTGCAGTTCTTCATTTCCTGCCGCCTACACCTCTACCTGTTTGTCTACTTTTTTACGTACCTGACACCCACCGCCTTTTATCAATCCACTCTCGCTCGCAATTCGCTATTCAGCTTTCGTCGTTTCTATTTGTCTCTATAGTTTCCACCGCACCTTCTCTCTGCCTTTAAATAATGTCTCTTGTGCGACACTGAGACACCGCTAGCACTAACCAGTAGCTTTGCCTAAGCGGTACAGACAAGCGAGAACACTGCTCGAACTTCTTGGCCACGTCCGTTTGTGGCGGCGGTCAGAAGCCCAGTCGTCCGATGGAACACACTCCGATTATCGGACGCCAACAACTCACAGGGGCATGCCAATACTTTGCTAGCTTGCTAGCAGAGATTGTCTGAGAAGCTCTGTTCATTGACCAAGACGCCCGCCACGCCCATTGAAACATGTTCACGTTTGAGAGGGACCATCTGGTGGCCGTGAGACAGGTTTTTATTGGAGCGCAAACAATTTAGTCGCCGCCACGTATGGGGCTGCCCGGTAGTGAACCCCTCCGAGCCACGCGAAAGATGCACGCACTGCACGCCAATGAAAAACCCACGGAAGAACTTTAATGAAAAGCGGTACCCGCCCCTCCCGCATTCAAGCTTTGTGGGTGATAAGGCTAAAATACCGCCAGGCTATTTGCTATACCCACTTTTTAGTAAGAATGTCTCACTTCTTGTATATCTATGCGTAATATTCTATAGCACGCGCATCTGTGATAACAATGAAACGCTGGAACAGATATCAGAGCGGTTAAGTAAGCATCTCGAACGTTGTTCCAAGCCCCTTGACCTGCGTTTGAGCTTGAGTTTCCATTAATTTATATGGATTCATAAAGTCTAGACCGTTCTGCTTTTTTCGGAACGCTCCGAACCACCAATTCATCTTTCGGAACCCTCCGCAGTTGGGATTCAGTCAGCACAGAGAGACCCTGAGATGCTGCTAGCTTACAATTTCTTTCAGTGTGGCCGAGTTCGGGATGGGATTGGCAGTTCATACCGTTTTCCGAACAGCTTCTAAGCTCACGATCAACAACCCACTGCCGCCAAAACTAGCTAGACGAACCAGCATCAAGCTGGGGCAACGGGGAGCGGGAAGCGGGATATGGATACCGCGATAACAAATTGGATGCTAATCAGACTGGCCAACAAAGTCAGCCTGACATCAGTCGTTAGAGAGTCTCTCCTGGATTTACAACGCCTTTCATTGGCCATTTCATCTCGCATGATGCCAATTCTATGGAGTGCAGCTGCCCCTTCCTCAACTGCTTTTGCGTTTCCCTTCTCTCGGCACATCAGGACCCGAAGCACCGCTCGCCCTTCCTACTCCTTCACTGACAACACTTCCCCCACGCAACCGTCCGCACGCAACACCAAAGCCACTAACACAAGCAGACAACACGCGCGCCTCCTCGCAGCGAGCTCCTCCAACCCGTCTCGCGACCGTACACGCTCCGCAGCGCCCCGACCCTTAAACCCCATACGCGGTAACCCGTCCACACACGACACTCGCACCGCACGCCCCCCCCACACCCTCTTCGAATCGAGCCGCGTACCCGTGCTGGGCCCGTGTCTCCCGGCTAATCAGCCGCCGCGCTGCCACGCGAGCTCACACTTTGCAAAACGCGCCATCGCTGCCCTGGGCCTGGATTGGGGCGCTGGGACCCCCTGCCGCGCATACCCCTGTTCGCGCAGAGAGGCGAGACCAATCTCCGTCCCGCGCCGCGCGGCGGGGGTACGTCGCGGTGCGTGTGGCGCGGGTTGGGACGCGTGGGCGCGTCGTGCGTGGTGTGCGTGGTGTGCGTGGTCGTGGTCGTTGGACGTGTGGTTTGGGGTCGTGGGCTTGGTGGGCGATACTGGGGTGCTGCGTGTGGGCTAGAGGGCGGAGATGGGACGGCGGTACTTGGACTTGCTGTTGGCTTCCTGAGTGAAGGTAGGGCCACTGGCTTGCTGGTTGCTGTTGCCTTTTCTGGCAGTGTGTGTCGACGCTGCCAACAGTTGCCTTTCGATGAGGATGGTGTCGTTAGGTCGGGACTGGCGATCATGCTCGTCTTACGAGTTCTAGCAGCGTTTACAGCATCCAAAGAGATCTGGTCCGACAGGATGGCTGCGACACCAAGAGCCATAAGTCTGAGCCTTACACCAACGATAGGCAACGATGCTGCCGCCCCACTAGAAGGCTTGGGACTCTTATCAGCGCCGGCAAACAACAAGCATAAGGTCTCCGTTGCCTGTCTATCGCCTCCGGTATCGAGCTCATCGAGATCGTCCTTGATAAGTGTGACTTCAGAGTCCTTCGCCGCTACAGCTGCCAACGAAGAAGCCGACTTCATTACCATACCCAAGTTTCTGTATAGCAAAGAAACCTACCTTTTTCTAGGTTTCAGCGAGGAGATAGCGGACAATATGTGGCAGAAATTCCTGTCTCAGTCTGATCATCGCCGCAGCGACATTGTTGTCACTCATCAGCAGGACATCCTCATACCACTCAACGCCGCCTTTCAGTGATGGGGAACGTCATCGCCCGAGAGAACGTCCACGTTTGGCTTCCAGCGTCTGCTATCTAGTCTCTAGGTTTTACCTCTATCTCGTGGATCTTTTTCTACCCACCGTCACAGCCCCACCTGAAGGCATCTTTTTTTTGAAACAATGTGCAGAGATTGAATCATCGATGAAGTAGAAGCCTAGAAATGAAGAGAAAGGGGTGTGAGCTTTGTAGGAGTAGATGGGGAAAGCGGTGACTAAGCTATGATACAGTTGTTGGTGTTAGTTTGGATAATGCAGTGTGTATGTAGAGGATGGTGTAGATGCTATAGTAGAGAGAATCTGGCTGTAAGAGCGTCTTTTCCGCAATTAAAAGCCAGAAGTAGATCTGCTCTCACACCCAACCCCACTCTCTTCTTGTCCTTTACTTTCGTTTTCTCCTCAACCAACTGTCTTCACTCTACGCCATATTATATATTCGTTGTAGGAAGCATATGGACATACCTCCTTATAAGCTTGCAGAGGCTTTATATATTAGTTCCACAAGGAGGTTCTCAGACCCATTACAAACATACTATTCTACAACAACTCGCTATTATGTACTAGGAAAGCTTCTACCCTCTAGATATTTTACCTATCCTATATAATTACATATCTGCAAAACTATATAATATACTTTCTAGTCCTAGATAGTTTATATCCTTATACTATTATAAGTACCCTTATACTCTTTAAATTTTTTATTTTCGTATACTTATAGAGTCCTCTAGTGCTTCTATATATATATATATATTATCTTTATATACTTTTGGATATTATTATACCTTGTATCTTTTTACTTTTATATAGTTATATAATGCGTGCTGGCCATAGCGTAACGGCTTATAATAACTACTTAAGGAGTACTCTATATGCATCGTAGATATTACTTAATATGTAGTTAAGGAGTGAACAAATTATCCGGTACTAATTTATATACAACCCTCTTAGACAATATTACCGATGATAATAATATAATAAGCGCATCTTCGACGCTATAGTTTTAACTTGTCTTTTAATTATTTATATTAACGATCCTCGGCACCTATTTCTTCTATATTTATCAAGTATCGCCACGGCCGCTGTCAGAATTTTGTTCTTAATCAGGTACTAAGGAGGCATTGAGGCTAGGTCGCCTATGTTTCGTAACTGTTAACACCGCCCCTGGCTTGTCGACGTCTTCGGTAGATGTCTTAAGTTGAACCTAAGCTGCTTGAGTGCTTTAGCCTATACGATCGAGCTTCTTTTTAGTAGAGTACCGGCCAATCAGTAGCGTTTATCCATATCCAACGTGAATAGACATGAAGCAGCCACTTTGTCACGGTCAGCGTAACACCATAAGTAAATTCATCAAACACGCTCCGTATTATTAACTTCTTACCACTATATCTATAAGAGGCTTGAGACTTCCATAATCTAGGTCAGTAACTACTTGAATCTTATGGTATAATCCGTTGCGAACTTTAATCCAACTATCTCTCTAACTGCCATGCGGAGTATCTACAGGAAAGATCTAGAATCCTTTGTTACAGTGAATTTTTTATGCTGCGAACGCTCTCACCATTATCAAGTAATTGTATTACTACCTAAGACAGTAATAACACTCCACCAGTCACCCAACAGAGAAATCACGGATGAATATAAGTTAGCAGATAACTGACTGTTGATATAAGCCCAAACAGCAGCACTAGACTAGTAGCTATACAAGGGCGTATGTATGAACAAGATCTTTATGGTATAGCTATCTTTAAAACTCGCCTATTGTATACAAACTAGTCACCTAAATCACCGCTGACAGTAGGTTTAAATTTCGAATCTCGAATTCGGCCCTGTTATTTTCTTTAGTATATTTATCTCCGTTACATTTACCTAACCACTGCTTTCTGAAGCGTCCAAAACCCCATTCCGATACGTTTAACATCAACATATGTGGCCAGTATTTTTCCACACTAAAGAGGAATGTGGACATGGTGCTAAATATAAAATTCAATTATACAAGCAGCGCTTGAAAGATTATTCCCCTCACGGAGAATTAGATCCTTACCCACAACCCCAGCCCAATCCAGAGTCCTAAAATGTGCATGAAAGGGTAGGTTCTTTCACTTCTCCAATCCCGTGTCTCCGTCTCCAACTCCCTAACCATACTCGCATTCACAAGCACCCCACAAACACCTCTCTATTGCTTCTTGAACCTTCAACCTACCGCCGCCGCACTTAATTGCTCCAGGCGACTTAGGCGCCGTCAACGCAGACATTGATTGTACAGACGCAGTTACAACCTACGCGCTGTCCGCCGTAGAAGACTGAAAGGCAACCGCCGGGTGTCTCGATATAAAACTTCCCGAACTTGCCATTCCGATGTCAACTTCAGCACTTCCTATTAACTGGAACTCGCCGGCATTGTCTCGTTCACCACCACCGGGTACAGGCTATACTCAGCACCATCTCCATCCGCATTTGTCGATTATCACTGCCACTATAAAGTGATTAAAAAGGGTAAGCTTCTTTAACTCGGGACTGACGCTTTGTTGCTTGGTTCCTTATTAGTTATGATAAGTAAGTAGCAGCCGGCCATATCAAGGGCCTCTTTCCCATGTATCTTGACCATTCTTCCTTCCATGCAGTGCAGAACAGAACATCCACCCTCCACGACGCGAAGCCTAAATACCTCAATTCTAAAAGTACCAGTAACAACGACGCCGACACTTACACATAGATCCGCTAAGACGTTGACAATGTGCTTTCGAACAAACTTCCTCTTCTCAAAGCACTGTGTCCCACACAATCACTGATACCCCCGACCCAAATCTCCTGACTTCCCAACCTCTTCGGCTTATCATTCACCGCCGCCGCCGCCGTCGCCGCCATCTCCATCCTAGCTAGCCATACCACACACTCCCAACAACCACTCCCTACAACCAACCCATCTATCCAGTCCACACAAACACAACCGCGCGACCAAACAAAGTCAAACCCCCCTCACTGTCCCCTCAGCGTTCCTATCCAACCGCCCACAAGCGATCGGACCTCAGAACCCAAAGAAAGACACACATAGCCAAAAGATGTGGGGTAGGGTGACAAGCAAAGATGACCGACAACGGGCTCACTTACCCCTATAAGGATACATGCTATGAGGCCATCGAAAAGGCCCCAACCAAGTCCTTGATCGACGGAGAGCCCAAGCTCCCTGGCCAGCTCATTTAGGTTGTCCCCGAGATTGGGAAAGAGCTGGTTGACCTGATGAAGATTCTGCCCAAGTCCTCCCACAAGCCACACAGATTCCCATCAGATTGGATTGCTTCTCCAGACACTTGTTTTTTGGACCTTCTTCCACACTACCGCCCTGCCTGGCCGTAAGTGTAGGTGTAGGCTGCTACTTCACACACCACCAACACGCGCACAAGAAGCTCAGCATCCACGTCACAAATCGGCACTCATCACCACCACCATCACCACCACTGCAACCGCAACCGCAACCGCAACCGCAACCGCACCCACCCACCACTCACTAACCAACATCAACGACCCCTCAAACTCAACCATCATGCAGCGAGGCACGTCTACGCCAGACGTTCCCACACAACAGCCCGTACCGTCCCCAGGGCACCGTTCGCCAGGTTGTGCTCCGAGCGACGCCTCTCGTGGGAGATACGCTGCACTGTGCCGTGCTTATACCATAAACATAAACATAAACAAGTCCACACGGCCAAAAAAAATATGTATACCATCGTACCTCCATACCATCATACCATCGTACCTATCCCAAACCTTTTCAAGTCTTCCATACCCCTATAAATATGTAGGTACCGGTACCTACCTAATCGTAACCCAAACCCAGCAGCGCAACAAAGCGTAGTGATATCATGCCCAACCCAACCCCAACCCCGCCCTAACCCCGCCGGAATCAATTCTCAAAAGACGCAAATAACGCAACGCAAAAACGCAACGCAAGAACCCTAAAAAAGCTGCATCGCGCGATGCATGCAGAAGAAGCCCAAAGCAGGCAGAGAGGCAGCAGTGGGGACTGAGGAGCTCCTCCAGTCAGTCCCAGCCACCGCTTTTTCCCTTTCCCCAGCCCCAGCCACCACTCAGCTCAATCCCGCAACAACCAACCACACCAACCACACCAACCACCGACCTAAGCCATTCCGCTGACCTTCCGCTGCGTCAACCCCGTCCCCCAGGACGCAGCGCCCGCGCCAGCACCAGCCCGTCCCTCCTCCGCCGCCCGCCCACTTACAACACGGCCCCTGCCCTCCCCATGCCCATGCCCATGCGCACCCCCATCCCACTGCTCCCCTCCATCCCCACTATCCAAATAGTCGACACCCGTGCGGCTCACGACGCGGGGGCTGCGATCGACCCTAAAGCCCACGCGCTCGGCACTGCGCTGCTGCCTCACGCCGCCCGGCGCCGGCGCCGCCATCAAATCGCCGTAGAAGCGGTTGCCGCGGCCGCTGCTCTTGCCGCCGCTGCTCGTGCCGTGCGAGCTGCTGCTGCTGTACGAGTTGTTGCGCTCCTTGTGGCTGGGCAGGACGTGGTATTCCGACGGCGAGGGCACGCGCAGCCCGCCTACCATCATCTCCGTCCAGTCGGTCAGGCGGCTCGTGGTCGTGAGGGCGCGGCCGATGCCGCCGCCGCTGCCGCCGTAGTGGTCGTCGTTGCTGGCGTCGCTGCGGCCGCTGATGCTGCCGATGGCGCTCTGGAAGGTCGGCATCGGCGGCATCGAGAACCGCTGCTGTGGCTGCGGCTGGTGCAGTTGTGGCGGCTGCTGGCGGCGCCAGTGCGGCGAGTACGCGCTGCCGATGCCTGCTTGCTGGCTGTCGTGCCGGTCGTGCTTCTGTCGTTGTTGCTGCTGCTGGGATTCCGGCTTCGGCGACGGCGTCGGCGGGTTCATCCGCAGCGGCTCTGGGCGCAGCATCGCGCGCTCATGGGCTTCGTCCTCGTCCTCGTGATCAGAGCCGTAGTCGGACTCCTCGAAGCTGAAGCGGCGCGGGCGCTCGTTGCTGCCGCCGACGGCGTCCTCGTCATGCACGAACCAGTTGTCGTTCTTGAGGGAGTCGTGCCGCGAGGGGCGCGTAGGCGAGTGCGCATCATATGGCGAGGTGGGCGAGTGGTCGTCATACGGCGAGTAGGCCGTCGGCGACGAAAGTCCAAAGTCCGTGTCGCCCTTGAAGGGCGCCTTGCCGTCGGCATAGCGCTGCGACGCGCGGCTTGGGTACGGCTGCTGGTATGTCTGGTCGGGGCCCTGAAGGTGGGCGTGCGAGGCGGCCGCCGCGGAGCGCGGGTTGTGCGGCGAGAAGTTGTCGGAGGACTCGGCGCGGCTGCGGAAGAAGGGCATGGTGCGCGCGTCGGGGATGAGGGGATCCTGCGCCCGCGAGACGTTCGACGGGTTGCTCAGTGAGATGCTGCTGCCCGTCATGTCGCTGAGGCGCTTTTCCGTGACTAACACGTCCGTCACGGAGCTTCTCTTGTGCTTGTGCCTCCTCGAGCGACGCGACGTCAGGTTGCTCTCGAATGGGTTCAGGTCCGGCGGCAGACGCGCAATTTTGCGGAAGACAACTATGAGATACAAGTCGAGTGCCAAGGTGAACAAGTGCAAGCCACCGTCCGTGACGGCAAACAACCAGGTGGCAAGGAGGATCTTTGTAGTTGCAACGTCAGACGAGAAGAACGACTTCCAGCGTCCCTCGGTGCCCGGCGCCTCTTGCCAGTTGCTTTCGGCCATCATGGCAGTGAAGACATAGAATGGAAGGAGACCGAGATCAACGAAGAGAGCGAAAAAGTGGTAGCCCGCAGAACTGGCAGGCGTACGGCCCTTGGAGGGACGCATGAGGTGGTATATGGCATAAGAGCACGCCAAAAGATCAACAGCAGCCTGCGACGGTCAGCGAAAAAGAGCATCAGCAGTCACAAACGGTCACTTACGGGTATTCTGAGGATCCAGCCCTCAGTGTCCTGTGTCCCATTGACACAGATGACGCAGATCAGCAGGCCAATAGCGCCGAGCAGCTGCAGCACTCTGAAAGCCATCTGGACATATCTGGCCCACTTGATGTGCGTGACAATGCGGGGGTTCATCGGCTGAGCGTTTGTCCGGCCATAGGGCAGGATCAGGTAGCTGTCCGGATGGCGGTTGAAGTTGACGAGCGGGCCATCCTGCTGCTTCGGCGGCAACTTCTTGGGCGGCGACCTGCTGGCCTGGGTGACGGCCTTGGGGTTGAAGCCGTAGAGGGCGTCCTGCGAGGTGGAGAGGCGGTTCGCGGGCGCGTTGTACATATACGGTTGGTCGGTACGGCCCATTGTCGCGACAGCTTGGCTAACGATTGTATTTCAAGCAACGCACGTGGGCGGGCGTCGCATTGACTTGGTTCAAGGACAAAGAACGAGGAATGTCGCGGCCAAGACGCGCATGGATGGGGAGGGTGGAGATGGTAGTTAAAAGGCGGGAGGAGGTGCAAAGCGTCGCCCAGACAACACGCGCGGCACGGCTACGGCTCGCGGGTCGCGTCGCCGTTAACGCCCAAAGCGTGCCAGATCCCTGCTAGACCAATAAAGTGACGTTGTCCTGCTGTCTTTCCAGCCGAAAAGCCCGCAGAAGTCGTCCTGGTCAGGCTGCCATTCGCGTGTGCCTGGCCTAGCGGACGGGAGCGAAAAGTCCCTGAAAATGCCTGCGCACCAGGGCACCAATGGGCCGGCGCCGACATGTCGACATCACTTCAAAAAAAACACGCCCCCGAATCCCCTCGTATTCCGGCGTCGAGGAGCGGACGGACATGCGGCTGCTCCGGATACCGGTATGACCTCATAACGTGCGGGCGGGCGGTCAAGAGAGCAGTGGAACAGATCAGATCGCGATGGACCGCGACCGCCCAACGCGAGCGAGCACGGACAGACATTCATTACTCACGGTCACGCTGCCTGTCACGGCGGCCCATCGTCGGCGATCCTGCCCTCAACCTCACCAACGCCAAAACCCAAAAGGCCATGCACCACCTCACCCGTCGCGTGCCAAATGTCTGCCACCGCTGCGCCTCGCGCCTTGCCAGGCCCTACACCATCGCCCATGCTTCGCGCCACAATGGCCGGCCCTTCCGTCTCGCCGTCATCGGCTCCGGGCCCGCGGGCTTCTACTCGGCCTACCGCGTCTTGAACAGAATACAGGACTCGGTCGTCGACATGTACGAGCACCTCCCTGTGCCGTACGGGCTCGTCAGGTTTGGCGTGGCGCCCGACCACCCGGAGGTCAAGGTTAGATGGAACGCCGGCGGGTCTTGTGACTGTACTGAGACGCCGCTTGTAGAACTGTCAGGACAAGTTTGAGGAAGTCGCCCAGTCGCCGCGCTTCAACTTTGTTGGCAATGTCGACGTCGGCCACGACATACCGCTCACGGCGCTGGCGCCGCACTACGATGCCATCCTCTTCGCCTACGGCGCCTCCAAGGACAGACGGTTGGGCATACCCGGGGAGGATCTGCCAGGCGTTTACTCGGCTAGGGCGTTTGTGGGATGGTACAACGGCCTGCCAGAGTACGCCGACCTGGACCCTAAGCTCGACGCCGGTGAAGAAGCCGTTGTCATCGGGCAGGGTAACGTTGCGCTTGACGTGGCGCGGATACTGCTAAGCGACGTGGACGCGCTTCGCAAGACAGACATTGCCCCGCAAGCATTGGACAGGCTGGCGCAAAGCAAAGTTAGGTCCGTCAGGATTGTCGGGCGGAGGGGCCCCATGCAGGTACGGCGCAAGGCGGGACGCCCAGACACCATCGTGACTGACCGCCCACCAGGCCGCCTTCACCATCAAAGAAGTTCGCGAGTTGCTCGGGCTCCCAGGCATCGCATTTGAGCCCATAGACCCGGCGCTGTTTCCTCCGGAGAGCTACAAGCTGACGCGCCAGGCGAAACGCATTACCAAAATCCTATCGGAAGGCTCGCCGAACCCTGCGTCGTCGGCCAGCAAGATGTGGGCCCTGCAGTTCCTTCACTCACCCAAGGCCTTCCACGGCTCACCCAACGCTGCAGGGTCGCTGTCCCACGTCGAGTTTGAGCGCACGGCCTTTGTGCCGGAGGCGGACCCTTTCGAGCGTGGCGCACGGGTAACGGGAACGGGCGCGACGACGGCGCTGCCCGCGGCGTTGGCCTTCCGCTCCGTGGGCTACAAGTCGACGGCGTTGGCGGGACTGGACGATCTGGGAGTTCCCTTTGACGAGGGAATGGGCATCATCCCGAACGACATGCACGGGCGTGTCGTGACACCGGCGGGCGGACCATCGTCGCTGACGGCTGCTCACGTGCCTGGCATGTACTGTGCAGGCTGGGTCAAGCGCGGGCCCACGGGCGTCATTGCCAGCACCATGGAGGATGCATTTTCGTCAGCCGACATCATTGCTCGCGACTGGCAGCAGGAAGCAGGGTTTTTGAATGGTTCCGGGCTGGGCTGGGAGGGCGTCCGGTCGGCGTTGGGTGGCGCCAAGAGGATAGTGAGTTGGGGAGATTGGAAGCGCATTGATGAGGCGGAGAAGGCGATTGGAAGGGAAAAGGGACGCGAGCGAGAGAAATTTACACGCGTCGAGGACATGTTGCGGGTGCTGGACGGATGAAAGAGACGTGACTCGTGGCTGAGATGGAGAAAAACACGAGGAAACGGCAAGAAACATGGCAGCGTAGCAGTGGAGTGAGTAGTCAGAGTCAGAGCCGAAATCAAATGAAGTGGGAAAGGAAGGAAGCAAACGACAGCAAATTTCCCCCGCCTCTGGGCAGGCAGGCAGGCCCCGCATGCACGCGCGCACGCACGCACGCACGCACGCACGCACGAAACGCTAGGTAGACGACAACAAGTCAACAACGACGACAACTCAAATCATGGTGACCGGGCAGGGCGCAGTGCAGCGTAGCGCAACAGGCAAGCAGCAAGCAAGCAAGCTGTCGAGGGTATGTGGTGGTAGTATGTATTTATGGCTCAGCCCTACGCGCGGGCGTTTCGTGGGCAGTGGTGAAACAGACGGAGCTATAATGGGAAGTAGATATGCAAGGAGTGGGGGGAGGGAGTGAGAAAGGACGAGGATGTGCGGGAGATGCTTGGCCGGGAAGAGGTGAGAGAAAAAGGGCCAGTCAAGGGTGGCGAGAGAGGTGCCAGTGCATGGACTTAGCAGGGCCGCGTTAAAGGGATCTGCGGAAGCGCTGAGGCAGCCAGGGGCCAGCCAATCGTCGGCCCCAGACGCGCCTGTCCTGCCCGCTTCTCGCACAGCGACTTGGAGCTGCGCCATTGGTCCAGCGCGCGCTTGCCTCGAAGTTTCGCATCGTTTTGAAAAGGGCCACAATGCCTTTCTTCTTGGGTTGTGTCGCGACCTTTGTGTCTGTGTGTCCCGTCGTCCCTTTCTCATCCTTCTTCGCGTTGCTTTGCTTGCTTTGCTTTGCTTTGCTGTGCTTTGCTTTGCTTTACTACTACTTTCTACTTTTGACTTTTATTTCTACTACTACTACTACTACTACTACTACTACTACTACTACTACTATATTCGGGCTGCTTACGGCGACTGGCTCGACGTTCGCTCCTTTGCTTCCCTTCTTCTTTCTCTACCTACTACGTCCTGCTTGCAGGCAATGTCTCTTGCGCGGTCATGACTTCGCGGAAATCCTCTCTTAATGCATGGCTGGCCACATCTTTCGGGTGCTGCGCATCCGCATCTCCTTCCGACGATTATGTCGACCAAACCACTAATGGTATTTACCCCCCATCTTCTTTCCTACATATTTCCCTCTAACCTCCTCTCGCAGTTGGCAAGAGCTCGGCCGTCTCGGACGAGCAGCCGCGCCCTCTCGTCCTCCCACGCATGCAGACGTACCCCAAGCCGTCCGGGCGAGGCATCGGGAAGCTCAACGACAACCGACCCTGGACGGCCCACGGACGGTCAGCGTCGAGGCCGACGATCGGGGCGCCGACCAACTTCCGCAAGGTCGACGGCTGCACGCCGCTGAACAGCAACCCGCCGACGCCGCCCGTGGCCGCCGGCCCCGTCGCCCCCATCGCGCCCCGCCGCCGCAGCTTCCGCCCCCTCGAGCTCTCCATCTACTTCCCCCAGAACAAGCTCTCGCCCTTGCCCGACTTCACCAACTCGGTCTGGACCAAGCAGCCAGAGGGCCTGGCTATGCCGCCCCAGGCCGTCGTTAAGCCCCGCAGCGACTCGGGCTGCGACACGGGCTCGCTGCGCAGCAGCTTCGGGCTGCGGAAGCCGGTGCCGTCGTTCGTCCCGTTCGGCGACGAAGACGACGACGTCGAAGACATCGAGGGCCTGGCGAGCGCGGCCGTCGTCACCGACGACAAGTCCCACGTCATCCCGTCTCCCCGCCCAACACTGAAGCGCGACAGCGTCGCCACCATCAACAGCGCCTCGCGCCTCGCTCTGGAGCGCGCAACCGCGCTGCCGGCGCCCCCGCGCTCCGCCCTAAAGCGGGTGAACAGCCTGCCCGAATCGCCCACCACGCCCGTAGCAGCGACGTCCTCGCACACGCGCTCCAACACGGAACCCATCGCCGCGCTGGAGAAGGCGCAAGCACAAGCCCAGACGCAGCCACAACCGCAGACACAAACGCAGCCCCAGCTCCGCGCGCGCCGCATCACGCGCGACAGCGTCGACGCCGCCATCCGCGAGCTCAACAGCATCGTCTCTGAGCGCCGGCGCGCCGCCAAATCGGCCTCGAGCTCAAAAGCCAGCAGTGTGCGCGCCTCGCCCGCATCCATGCACGTCCCGGCCATTGCGCCAAACTACAAGATGCACGTGCGCAGCGAGACGCTCGAGGATATCGGCTCGGCGTTCTCGATGCCGCTGGCCAGCAACAATGCCGCGGGACAGGACCAGACGCCCCTTTCGCAGCCGCTGCCCTCCGTGCCCGCCTCCCCCTCTACCACGATGGCGTCGGCGCCCTCGCCCCCGCAGGCGACGACCTTGTCCACGTCCACGCGCGCCCGCCTCGCCGGCTGGTTCCGCCGCGCCCCCGGCCACGCCGGGCACGCCAAAGCCGCGTCGGAGCCGTTCTACGCGCTGCAGCCTAGCGGCAGCACGCGCTCGGCGACGGCCGTCAACGCGCTGACCACGTCCTCGACGCTCTCGTTCCGCACCGCGCCGCCGTTCCCTATCTCTACTACCTCGACTGGCACCGCTGCCATGTCCGTCTCCACGACGTCCCTGCCCGAGACGCTGCGCACGTCTGTGGCGCATGCGTCGCCACCGTGCTCGCCGAGGGAGGTGCGTGCTGGTGGTGGTGCGGTTGGTGTTGGTGGTGCTGCCTTGGGGTTGGGGATCAGAGAGAGCTATGGCGCGTACCCGGGCGTGCATCCGACGAAGGATGGGCGCCTGATTCGCATTGCGGTTGTGCCGCCGACGCCGGAGATGGGCGCGGGTGTGAGGCGTCAGCAGTCGTGGGGGAAGGGTGTGGGTGCGAGTAGGGGGCTGGAGAGCTTGAGGGGGGTGGGTGTTGCGTACTGAGCGATTGCGTAGGAAATGAGTGGCGAATGCTTCTTTTTGGCGGTTGAATTAGGTGGGTGAGCGAGGTGTTGAAAAAGGAAAGGAGGGCTGGAAAAGGGGAGATATACCATAAACGTTTTGCGCATCTTTCTTACCTTAGCTTTTCTTTTCCTTTTCCTTTTTCTTTTTCGGCGGCAGGCGTCGGCTATGGACGCGCTTGCCTGGCTGGCCTGGCCTGGCTTTGTTTTCTCACGCACGCACTGCCTGTAATAGCGACAACACGGATCGTAACGTGGTTGTCAGGCTCTCGTTCTGGTGGTGGTGGGAGGTAAAGGGGAGAAGTGGTTACGACATTCGTTTAGTCCCATAAGGGCTCGCTCACGCACGTACGTATATTTAGTTAAGTTAGGTAGGTAGTTTAACTCGCTCGTTTTCCGTCGGGGTGGTGTATGTATGCTATGATTTGTATGACGTGACATGATATGATGGGTTGGTTTGGATTACGCACTTGTTTGGTCCATTGTAGGCAATGTAGGTAGGTAGGTAGATATCTAAACAGTGCATCTCCCCTCTATCTATCCAGCGAAAACGATTTCTAAAAACGTCGCAACGCCTACCTAGATTATCTCCTTACCGGAACCACCCTACGTTCGCTGTGCTTGTTCTTATAGTAGACGTGCTTGGGCACTAAGAGAGAGCTAAAGGAGGAGGTGGTGTATATATATATTCTTAGGGCGTGGTTGTACTAGTAGTAGGCATCTAAGGTAGAGCGATGGTATAATAGTATGGTAGTAGTAGTAGCAGTAGATAGGTATAGTAATTACTTGCCGATTCTAGTTACTCGCCCGCCTTTTTCTTTGCTATACGTATATAGGCAGTGGGTAGTATGCAATGGTATAAGCCAGGTACCTAGATACTGTGCATATCGACCGTAGATAGTATCCTCTTATAGGTAATAGTAAAAACAACGCCTACTGACCCTTCCCTCCTACACACCTACACAAACACCTACACTCGCCCCCACGCTCCAGCTCCAGCATACATACCTACCTAGGTACCTACCTACCTACCTACCTACCTACCTACCTACCTACCTACCTCCCTACCTTCACCACCTTCCTAGCATCCTCAGACACCAGCCACACCGCACACCACACACCACCCCTCCCCTCCCCACCACCGCCCACGCGGCACGGCACAGCACCCCAAACCCACATGAAGCAAGCAGCCAGGCAGCACGCACGCCTCCCCTTCCACCGCCTAGGTACGCTCCGGCACGCTCCGGCACGCTCCGGCACAACGCCGCTTGCATGAAAAACGCCCTAGGTAACAACGCAAAACACACTGCAGACGCGCCAAGACGCGGCAGGCAGGCCCCACGCACTCGCTCACGCAACACCCACTCGCTCGGTGCTGGCTTTCGCGCTCGCTTAGGTGGCTAGTCGACTGCGCAGGCGATTGATTGCTGTTTGATTGATTGCATTGATTCCAATCCATTATTACCTTTCCTCTCTCAACACTAGGTACTACTACTGCACGCAACGCCTATTGCATACACAAGGCGCCAACCCAAGCCACACTAATCCAACACCTGCCATCAGCTCGAAAAAAACCAAAACAGAGAGGGCGCAAAACAACGTCGTCAACAACAACAACAACAACAACAACAACAACAACAACAACAACGTCAACACCGTTTCCTAGCACTGCGCAACACAATGAAACATAATAGTGGTGAAGGTGGCGAGAAACAGGTAAGGCGCAACAGCAGCAACAGTAGCAACAGCAAGCAATAGTACCTAGTCCACAGTCCACAGACGAATAGCAGTAGCAGCAGCAATACGCAGTAGTGGGTCGTACGCAATCGAGCAGCAGCAGCAGTAGTAGCATAGTATATAGTATAGTAGTAGCAGCAGCACCGTGGTATCGAACGCCGAATCGCTCGCAAAGGACCGAGTCCACGAGAAACACGGGTAGGTATGAGAGAGGCAGGCAGGCCGAGAGCCCGAACGACAGAACCAACAGTACGGGGCGAGGAGGTAGGAGGAGGTAGACGGTAGGAGGAGGAGGTGGAGGAGGTGGAGAAGAAGCCGAAGCAGACGAACGAAGAATGAAGAAGAAGAAAAAGAAGAAGAGAAAAAAGTAATCGCGGAACAAGAACACGCCCGTCGTGTTGCGTATGTGCTGTACAAGAAGTGGATCCTCGAATCGAAGCCAAGCGAAGCCAAGAAAAGAAGAAGAATGAAGAAGAAAGAAGCGGCCGGTCATGGTTGATGCATGATGCATGATGAACGATGCTGCTGCGAACCAAAATGAAGATGAAGAAGATGATGATGATAGCTACATAAACGATGGCGTAGCGCGCGATACACGTGTCGAGGAACAAACGGGGCCTTCGTTGGGGGTACTGTAACCAAAAGCGAAGAAAAAGATTCAAAAAAGTATAAATCTGAAGCCCAACGATGCCGGTCCAAGACTTTGACTGAAGAGTCATGAATAAGGGGCGTTGAGGTGTGAAACTGGGAAAATTCGTCGATTGCTTTTTGGTGTTTTTTTGTGTGACAGAGGCTTGTTCAAGTTCATACTTGGACGGGGTCCAGCTCCGGCGCGAATATCGTTTTGTTGTGCTCCAGCAATGCCTGGATGGCGTTGCGTTGCGGGCCCATGTCCGTCATCTCGCGCTCGATGGACTCGGGCCGCATGATCGTGGGCGCGAACACGACGGCAAGGTTGAGGGATGTCATCTACGCAGTGTGAGTCCATGATTTCAAAATCCATGCTCAATCGAACACTTACCTTGTTGTCACCCTCGTGTGCCATGACACGGGCAAGATGGAAAACCAAGAACTCCAAGCAGTCACGGTGGTGAATAGGCAGGTTGTCAATAGCATGACGCATAGTGACAATCTTAATGTCGAGGTCCGGCTGCTGACCAGCCGCAAGCAGCTCATCATACACGCCAAACGTGATGAGCGGGTTGGGCAGGCGGCGGAAGTATTGCTTGAGAGCCGAAGTAACCGCATGGATATCGAGATCCGGATCCGAAATGTCGTACTCCGCTTCCTTTTCGAAGCCATTCTTGACCTGGTTGACTTGACCGGAGCCACCGCTCTTGCGGTAGATACCTTCGACGTCGACACCTAAAACACGTTAACATCAGGTACATTGGAGAAGGGCAGGGTGTTGCGCTCACCTCTGAGTTCAACCTCCTGAATACAGCGGCGGACGATGCTAGGTATCGTGCTCTTCTCGAACTCGCAGCGCTCAGAAAGATCAGAACCAAACAGGCCCTCAGCAGCAGAGATGTTGGCAGTGCTATTGTTGGGGATATGCGTAGGCTTGGTGGGCTGCTCGGGACCCCTTGGACCTCCGACCTTTTGCCCGCCTCCAAAGAAGCCAAATCCACCGGGGTTGTTGATCTGCTTAGGACCGCTGATCGCGGTGGGCTGCTGCTGAGAGGATGGAAGGGCTCCATACGGAGCGCCACCAATCGTGAACTGAGCACCGCCGCCGCCGCCGCCTTCACGCTCATTTTGGGGCGCGGAGAAGGCGCCTTTGAGACCCTTGGTGACGTTCTTGGCGACAGCCTGGCCACCCTTCTTCCAGTTGAACTTGTTAGCCTTGGTCTTGCGGATGTCGACAACCTTAGGCGCAGCGAGAACGGTCGGCTCTTCCTGGTCAGGGACAAGGTTCTGCATCGAGTTCTCGTTCTGCACAGCCTTCTGGATCTCGGAGATGGTGATATCTGATTTTTCTTTGGCGTGGTGGTTAGTGTAAATTCCTAATCCATTGGCAGACCGTTGTATTTCAAACGAACCTCCGGGCACGCGGTTGGCCTTGTAAAGATCCTGGATGTTGTGCACCAGCTGGTTGTTCAGCTCGGCGAGCTGGCTGTTCTTGGAGCTCAAAGACTCAAACTCCATGTAACCCTTGTCCTTCATCATGATGAGGTTCTTGATGTCCTCATTGACTTCGTTCCTCTGCTGGATCAGTTCTTCGATCTCGTTGCCGATCTTAGCCTTGAATCCTTCCAAGGATGCCGCAAAGTCTTTCAGGAAGGACGACTTGAAGGAGTTCAAGTCCATGGCACGGCCGCTTTCCTTTGCATTCTTCAGGTGGTCAGTCATGATGTCAAGCTCGCGCATAACCATTTCCCGTTGCGTATCCAGAACGGCAATCGTCGATCTCTTGTCGCGCAGTTCATTGTTGACCTGTCTGATGTCACTGCTCCTCTCCTGGAGACCGCTCTTCTCGGATTCGAGCTCGGAGATGCGCTGCTGAGCGTGGCGCAGCTGGTTCCGCAACCAGACAGGGTCGTCGTGTTGCTCGGGGGAGCCTGAAGTCGGGCTGCTAATGTCAACCGAGCCATTGAGCGGCGATTTCCACTTGTTCGACTGGGAAGACCTAGAACCGCGGTCACTGAAACTACGGCCGTGCTTGACCGCATTCGAGACTCGGCGCAGAACGTTAGGGTCTTTCTCTCCTTCATTGTCTCGGAAGATCCGAGCCATGTCCTCGTCAACCGTAAAGTCGCCACCGGTGCTGTAGCGCAGGACGGGCGACATCGGGTGCGAGGATTCACTGATAGTGCTAATAGACTCAGCCGTTTTGTGACCACTACTATGAGGAGGAGGTGCGGGAGCAGACCTGGGAGCGGTAAACGAGTCGGAAGAGTCCTTTCCACCGGGCTGAGCAACCCGCCCAGCGGAGCGCGGCGGCGGATCCATAACACTTCTGGAAGTAGGCGACTCGGTGGGCTTGGAAATAGACAGACCACCGTTAAGCTGTGCTAGAGTATTGATGTCCCGGTTTTGCAAGGCGGATGAAGCAGAGGCCTTGCGCTCGTGTTTGGGCCCAGTCGGCGTAGAAGGCGAAGGCGGAGCCGTCTGCTCCTTCCGCTGCTGCATCGTCTGAGATGCGGCAAGCGAATCCCCTCTCTTGGGTCTTTCGACCTTGCCGCCGAAGGGAGTCGCCAACGGGTGCATATCGCCGCGCTCATAGTCCTGCGAACCTGGGGTGTAGTTGGAGACGTCAGAAACTGGCGACGTGATGGCACTTGATAGTGAGTGACCATCGGGCGAGCGAACGTCCGCATTCGACGTCGATCTCGACCCATTCTTCTTTGATTTTGGAACTTCTTGCAACTTGAACCCCTCGCCGAGAGACGGCGGTGCGGGGGTCGAGTTGCTGTGAGCCGGACGAGTCGGCCTGTCGGAGCCAATCTGGGGAGAAGCATTGGCAGAAGAGGTGGTTTCTCTGCGCGAAATGCGTTCGCTCGAAGGAACGCGGCCGCGATCCTGGTACGCAATATGGGGGCTGGACGTGGATTTGCTCCTCCTTTCCGTGGAACTCGACCGCGAAGCGCTGTCCTTCAGCAAATCCCTGTGGGCAGTGCCCGGTTTTCCACCGTTGAAGTAGTCCCGCTGTTCCCCCCGCCCATTGTCGTAAGCTCTGCTGTCGGCAAGTGGCGAAGGACCGGGTGCGGGGTTGGGGTCGAGAGCAAAAGGGATGTCCGCAAACATGTCTCCGGTGGTATCGCGCTTGCTCCTGGGGGGCATCGCAGACCTCCGCTTCTCGCGGTAGGTCGTAGAAGGCAGCATCTGCGGTTCTTGGGGAATGTCAGCTGAGATTCAAATGGCCGCCATGGGGGGGGGGGGTGGCACGTACCCTCATGATCATCGTGTGTGCCTGGAGAAGACTCCTGGCGCAGACTGGCAGGATGATCTCTGCTAGGCTTGTGGTGAGACCTGGGCGAAGCGTTTGGCGGAGTCTCGACTTCGGGCGGAGTCTCGAGATCGGAGGGAAAGGAGGTGGTCTGGGGAAGAGCGCTGGGCGGCAGGGCGGGAAGCGACTTGTCCAGGACAATTGGCGGCTGGGTTTGCTTCTCCGGCGCCTGCTGTCGGTTAGCCTTGGATTTTTTCCGTCGCCGTGCCATAAGCGACTCATGACAGCTCATGCAGAAGATGCCTTGCGAGGTGCGGGCATAGCGCAGGTTTTCAATCTTGCGCTTGCAGTTCCGGCAGCGGAAGCAGCTGGCGCAGAAGGCCTGGTCGCCGGTCAGGATGGCAAGGTCTTCGATTTTGTTGCCGCAGGCGTTGCAGCTGTATGTGCAGTTGTTGCAGATGAGGGAGCCGTCGCCGAGCAGGAGGAGGTTTGCGTCCGAGTCGAGCAGGGTGCCGCAAGTGTTGCAGCGGAAGCAGTCGATGTGCCATCGGTTCCCAGCTAGAAGTCACACCAGCATTAGACAAGTGGTCGCGAGGCGGGGCACGGAGAAGGCGCAATTCAGGGGACATGGGACATGGACGCGTACCAAGTTCAAAGGCCTTGCCTTCTTCCAGAATCTACAGACGGCGGGTTAGCGCCCGGCACGACTCCCAATGGGCCGCCGTGTGCTCACCTCGCCACAGCCCTTGCAGTGGTATATGACATCCACATCGTCCATGGGGGACTCGGGGTAGGGGCCCGGCGATTCCATGGTCGCGTCGACACGAACGAGAGGGCGGGTATACGGGGCGAGGGACTCGAGGTGTCAGGGCCCACGGGTGCGGTCAGGCAGGGCGAGGCGGAGCCGGTTCGTCAGGAGCAAAGGGCGGGAGAGGAGTAGTGGTGAGGAGGGGAGGGCGTTCGAGCTGGCATACGCATGACAGGGCGGCCAGTTTGGAGTTTTCTCTCTCCTTCTTCTCTCGTGTTGTCTCTCTCTCTGTCTCTATCACTCCTCTCTCTCTCTCTCTCCTCGACTCGGGGGTTTGCAGCAGCAGCGAACGTGTGTAGCGAAGGGCGGGCGGGACTCTTGGGGCAGAGGGACCCTTGAAGGGATGGGAGAGGTGAGCGAATGGCAGTTTGAGAGTATGGCCGATGGGCCAATGGGGACAGGCGACTAGGCCTCAAGTAGTGCCGCCGCTCAGGGTCTGGTGTGGGTGCAGCAGCAGTCCAAACCGCCTCTCTGCTCTCACGCTGGATACATATCGCCGCACTGGCCACCAGGCCTAGAGCTTGCGGTCAGCGATGCATCGGGGCGAGTCATCTCTCCAGACGCAAATCAGAGGGCAGCGCCTGGCCGCCGCGCCCGCAAAAAACACCCATTCGATTGTTTCCCTATGCTGTCTTGAATCGCGCTTTGTATTACTGCCGCGCGCCTTGAAACATGCCGCCCCCATCCCGTTTCAGAGCGGAGGACAGGTCATTGCCCCTGCAACACGTGTCCCCGCCCAACGGCGTCGTACAAAAGCTGCGCGAGAGGAAGAAGAAAGAAATCCAGAGACAATTATTTAGAGCCTAAGATTAAGCCAATAACTCGCCCGGACTCCTCGCTACCTCGACCCTCACCGCCGCCTCAAGATACCCGCGAGCCCCATTCTATTGATTGTACCGTAGTCGCAGGGGCCCCGCGACTCGATGCATCGGGCAGGGGGCTGCTGGAACAGGCAAGTCGGCACTCACTGTTCGTCCAAGAGGAGCCCATGCCAGATGCTCCTGAACACGCGTCACCGAACTGCCATAGCCACCACCACCATCATCATCACCATCACCACCACAAGTCTGTTGTCTGGATGAATATACAAATATAAAAATACACTTATATTTATAAATAGATAGACTCGACTAGCTCCCCGTCCTTGCCCCTTTGATGATGCGAGCAGGCATCTCCTCCCCCCTTTTTATCCACGGCATGAACGAGCAAACTACATGTCAAACACCGATCCCCGATCACGATCCAGGATCCCGCCCGCACTCTTTAACAACTCCTTCATCATCATCATCATCATCATCATCATCACCACATTAAACATACTTTCCGCTCCCCAGGCCAAGTCCAGCCCAGCCCTAGCCCGACCCAACCCAACCAACCAACCAATCCCGCCATCACCACCACCACCACTACCACCGCCTCCTCCATCCCATCCCCCGCCGCCTGCGACGCGCACCGTTTCATCGCGACGCCTCTCGCACCTCCCACCCCACCCCATCCCATACATACCACACGCCACTGCCCGACCCAACACAAAACCCAACTTACACAACCCTCTCCTCCACAACCCTTCCCACCACCAACTCCCCTCTCACCATCACAGCCACCATCACACACCTGCACACAAACCATTCCCACCCCACTCCATCCATTCAAACATACATACAATACAAGCACAATAACACAAAGCGTATGTATGTACCCAACCCAATTACCCCTCTCCGCCCCAGACTGTCTCAGCCCCCACCGACGCCCGTCTCACCTGGCCCTGGCGTGAAGATTCGTCGTCACTCTTCAGGCGGGCGAGCACGGCAAGCAAGTAGGTAAGCTAGCAAGCAAGGACGACAAGCTATTTCAGGCAGCACGCGTGCTATGGCATTGATGCCGGCAAGATGAGCCAAAGACGTCGGTTACGTTATGCGCTGCCCTGCTGCGGTGTGGTGTACTGTGCCGTGCCGTGGGTTGTGACGGTTAGCGGAGGTGCTGAGCGGAGGCGAAAATGGAGCGAACGTGGATGTGGATGTGGATATGCTATAGATGTACTATACTAGGGAAGGAGATTCGTGCTTCGTAACCTGTTTATTGAATTATTTTGATAGTTTGTACCTACCTACTTATAACTTATAATCACAAGTAGTAGTAGTAGCAGTAGCACCACTATTCGCTCGTCCACACCCACGAAATCACATCAACAACGACCTTACTTACCATCCATACATACCCACACCGCCCCATCCCCACCCATTTCCCCAACACCCGCACCCACCGCACATCCCGCACATCCCTCATCCCCAAAATCAAAACCACTCCCCCGCACACAACCCACCTCCTCCACCTCCGCAAGCACCTCCGCCCCCGCCTCCACCGCCCCGCGCACAAGACCCGCACGCACGCACCCAGCGTCCGCCCACCGTGCGGCCAAGCGGGACGACGGCGTCGGCCGCTCCCCGCAAGCTATGTAAGCTACTAAGCCAGGACCTTCCTAGTTCGTACTGTAGTTAGCTAACCTAGAGTAGCTCGGCGCGATTCTCCAGCAGGCAGGCAGGCAGGCAGGCAGGCAGGCATCGTATAGTTACCACCACGACACCGGGCCGGCGCCAGCAGTTACATACTACGTAGCAAGAAGCGTGCAACAAGGGGAACCAAATAAACAAGCAGTTGAACCACACAACAAACACCTTCGCTCTCTTCTTCCTTTCTTTTTCGAATACACTATATTCACCCCTACCTAGCAAGCAGCAGCCAGCAGCAGTAGTACTATGCAGGAGCCCGCACTCAACCCACTCATCCCATCCCATCCCAGCCCCAGCCCCCAGTCAGTTAAGAGATAGGTATACTTCGCGCGCGCACCCCAGCCCCAGCCCTAGTCCCAGTCCCAGCCAGATAGACGACAGCAATAAACGCCCCGAAAAAAGCAAAAGAAAAAGCAGAAGAAGGCAAACAAACAACAGTCAATAACAACAATAACAAAAACACGTAAAAAAAAAAAGTCAGAGAATAAGGCCGCTGGTAGAACGCGGTAAGAAGAAGAGAAAAAGAAGAGGGAAAAGCCCGCACCAGCCCGCGGCAGGGGAGGGAAGAAAAAGAAAAGAGAAGAAAAGAAGAGGAAGAAAGAGAAAAGGCTCCGCTGTGCTCTGGTCTCGAAGAAGGCGGAAGACGCTGCTGCTGCTTGTTGCAAGTGGTCATCGTATAATCAGTCAGTGAAGCAAGCGCCTGCCCGTCCCTCCATCTCCCCCCCAAAACCAAACACCGATTTTAGCAGTTCCGCTCCCCGTCCCCCATAGGTAATTCCGTCCTGGGTATCCTGCCAGCCCCAACTCCCAAGCCCTACCCGCCATTGTTGCCTCCGCGTCCGTCTCCACTCATCTCCAATCCCCAAACGACTCTTCCTAACCTAACCTACCAATCCCCTCCTCAGCATACTCACTCTCCCACAAAACAAAAAACTTTTTTGGCTCCGCAAACACACATACCGCGCGCTCACGCTAGTTTAGGCCTTGCTTCGCCTCGCAAGATAGTATGTCATCAAGTTCAGATGTCCCTTATCCGCACCCGCCACGGCCTTCCAAAAGCCGCCGTCCTGCTCGCCGCCCAGGCGCTCATGCAGCTGCACGCAGAACTCCATGTCGGCACGGCGGACGTCCGGGTCCAGACTGCCCAGGAACTTGACGGCCAGACGGCCCAGCTGGCCCGCCTGTGCCTCGTCGATCGGCGACGTCTTCGCGTCCCGCGTCTGCAGCAGGTTGCTCAGCGTCTGCAGGCTCAGCGTCGTCGTGCGCGGGTTCGGCGCCGTCGAGCTCGACGGCCGGCTGGGCGTGTTGGACGACGCGCTGGCCGCCGACGAGGGCGAGCCCGGCGCCGCGGGTCCGGCCGGCGACGACGCTTCCAGCAGCTCGATGATGGCTGTCATGCAGGCTGTTGCGTCGCCGTGCGCGACTATGTCCGACGCCAGCTTCTCCAGGTCTACGCTGATGTACGACGCCGAATCCCACTGCGCGCGCGCCGAGAGAACGGAGCACAGCGCGCGGCTGTCGTAAGGCGCAGACAGCTTACGGTGCAGGACGAGCATCGCGCGGATCGTGCCAAGGACCTGCGTCTTGATGTTCTGCGCCTTGATGGCGGGCGTCTTGAGGACCTCCGTCGGCGTCTCGAGATAGTCGAGCAGCGCAAGCAGGAGGTCACCGAAGCGCTCGCCGTTCTCGCCCCAGATGTCCATGTCGCTCTTGACGAGGTCCTGCAGACGGCGGAAGCCGTGCACGTCGAGGGTCTTGGCGCGAATGCGCTCAATGCCACTTGCGAGCAGACGACGAGTGCGGAGAACTTCAGCACGGTCGTGAACAATCTCCTCATCATTGGCAGAGCCATTGGCAGCAGGCTTCTCCTTCGAGTCGTCCCACGCACCGTTAAGGGTTTCGCTGCTCTCGCGGCGATCGCGGTTCTGCTCGTTGACGGGAAGCTCTCCAAGAACAGTCTTCTCATCCTTAGGTGGCTGAGGCGCCTCGGCCTCCTGAGCAACAACTGGATCCTCATAAACCTTGACCTCTTCACCGGCAGTAATGTCGGTAGAGGCACCCTCAGTAGACTTGGAGGGAGGACTACGGGCCTGCACAATTGCCTTGAGGTTGGCAATAGGAGAGCCGAGATGAAGGTCCCTAGAAGCAGGACGCGAGCTACCGCGTGGTGAGGGAATCTTGGATGGACTGGCACGCGGAGAAGACAGTCTCCGCTCATCATGTTGAGAGAACTTCATCGTAGGAACAACCATCGTAAATCCCTCGTCATCGTTGGCATAAGAAATACCGCCGTCGGTGGCTGTCCTTTGCCGGAAAGGCATAACCATGGTCAAGTCCTCATTGTTCGAAGGTGTGGTCGGAGGCTCAATGCTTGGTGTCTTACGGTGCGATCCCTCACCAAGCCTGGATTTCGGCCTAGCCGGAGTGGCTGCCGCTCCCTCTTTGGTAGTGGAGCGTGGACCAAGCGTACGCTTCACAGTATCGGTCTTCCTTGCCGGGGCTCTACTCGGACTGTTCTCCGGACTCAGAGTCGGTGTTTCCGTCCGCGGTGCGTTCCTGTTTCTCGATGCATACGGGTCAGCAGTTTGTGGACGAGGCTGCATACGAGGCCTCCGGACAGGCTTGGCCATTAAAGAGTTGCCTGAAGATGCTGCAGACGTCGAGGAATTCAATGCTGAGCGGTTAGACAGACCCGATGGGGGCCGCGGCATGGTCTGAGATTTTGACAGACCCGGACGGTCGGTCAGGTGCGTCGAAGACCCCGATTTTACGGGGGAGAAGGACGACTGCGCAGAGCTAGGACGGTCAGGAATTTTCTTCGCTAATTGAGCCTTCCTTTGCGCTGCGATGGTCTCCTTCAAAGATGAGCGCGAGATCTGGCTCTTGAGTCTGCCAGCAGGGCCCTTTGCGTTTGGTGCGGAGGGAGCCGCTGCGTTCGGATTATTAGAATCCTTTTGGAGAAGAGACTGCGCCTTGGCGTCTAGTCCTTCCATGATGCTGTTTTGTATATTAGCTCGATCCAAAGCGCTATCACACCAACAGTAACATACATTGCACCCCTGTCAGGCCATATCTTCGCAAATTGCCAGTATGTGCTTCTGAAGTTCTCGCGAACTTTAGGATTGGCGTCCGAAAGACCCTTTTGGATGGCCTTCATCGTGTTATCCAGACCACCGGTATGCTCAAAGTGGCCCTTGTGCTGCGCATTTCTCCTGATGAGCGTCTTTAGCCACCCTGCTGCGAAGGTCCTAGGCTGGACGTTCTTGTCGACAACGGCAAACTGCACATGTTGCATGATTCTGTTTGTGTACGTGACGTTCTGGAAGATAGTGTCGACGGTCACGTTACCGTTTTGCGCTGCGATGTTCTTCGTGTTTGCGCTCATCTTGATGAAGGTCTGCAGCAGCAATTCTACCATTGGATCCATGGCGGGGCCCAACGTTCTTGCTAGCTCCTGCACAAGCTGGCAGCCATTGGTGGACATGGTTGTCCGGAGCGAACTGCAAACTTTGATAATGCCATCAAGTATGCTTCTGACCCCGGCGACGAATGCGGCTTGGTATTCATGTGGCGTGTTGCCTTGGTTCATGCGCCGAAGCTTGGTGATGCTCTTGTCTCTAGGCAGCCAGTTCTGCTCAGTCTCTCTGCCTTCGAAGTGCGGCGCCATATCGCGGAAGGTATCATCTAGCTCCCTTTGTGTATAGACGTAGATGGGATCCATTGGCACGGACTCCGATGGTGGCGGATGCTCCGGCCCCAAGCTGTCGGCAAATCCAGTGTCGGGGTTCAGGTGTGCCGTAGATACAGAGGCTGTGGAGGATTTGAGGTCGACATCGATTGTGCTGCCCGGAATGCCGAGGCTGGAAACTATATAGGAAGCAATGGTCTTCCTTACGCCGTGAGCGTTGAGTTGCTTCTTGAGGTTAGTTTTCGCATGTTCAGGCGCAGTTCTGTAGCAGGCAAATCAGCGACTATTCCAAGGCGACATTGCGGACAGGATATTGTACTTGAACAGCTCCACAACCGCGGTCTTTGCGGATTCTCTGACGGCTCCGTCCGAATCTTCCAAATTCGCCACAAGGTAGGAAACGAAGCTCTTGAAGGGCAAGCCTTCGTTGTTGTGCATCTGGGAAAAATTAGCATGAGCCACCAAGATCATGGTGGCTGCGCGTTTGTACAAACCTTTACAACCCACTGCATAGCGGCCTCCTTTGCTCGCGAGTTAGTGCCGCCCAGCGCGCCCTCGCGGATAATGCCCTCGACGCCGGCATGGTTGTAGGGCCACAGGTCAGCCAGCGACTGCGACGCGGCACTGCGGTGGCTTTCGCGCGCATCGCCGAGCCTGTCAAGAAGGAGCGGGAGGAGCTTGGGGCATTGCGACGAGATGACGGCGGTCTGGTCCTGCAAGGCCAGGCGCTTGATGAGGTGGGCGAGGGCAGAGAAGCCGGTGGAGACGAGCGTAGTAGAGGTTTGCGCACCGATGGCAAGGCGGATGCACTCGAAGACGGCTTGGTGGGCCCCCTCGGGAACGCGCTGGTGCTTGATGTTGGACTTGAGGTTGTTGAACTGGGTGATTTTTGCGTCAATAGTGGACGAGGGCTTTTTCAGCGTCGCCAAAAGGCTCGCAGCCTGGTCCTCCATGGTGAAGGGGTGGCTGGCGGGGAGAGAGGGGGGTGCTGTATGCGGCGCTGGCGAGTTTGATTGTGGTTTGACTCTCTGTTGATGATGTTGCCGGGGGACTCATAACAAATGGAGGCGCATTGGTCAGCGTCGCGAGCGTGCGTTGTACCGCACGACGGATAAGCATCGAAGCCGTTGGACGCGCTTTGGCGCCACTGCCCACCGCGACTGCATCATGATGCAGCTGCCGCCGCCTGATTTTCTGTTGACTCTGCTGGCTCAACCTCATCCACTCGCCCCCCCGGTCTGACTTCTTCTCCCTGTAGCCTGTAGCCGCTACCCTCTACCTACTCGCCGACTTCTCCCCGCACACTTCCGCCATACCGAAAGCCAGGATACCGTGGATACCTCTGCTGATTGCCCTTGCGCTCCGCTGACCAACCATGCCCCTCCAACCCACCTACTTCCAACAACCCATGACGCCCGCCCCGACCCCATCCGCCAAACCGCCCAAGCCGCCGCGCAAGCCGCTTCTGCGCCTCGAGCTGCGCGACCTCTCCCACTCGGGTACCACGTCGTTCCTGACCCTGCTCGATGTCAGCTCCGTGCTGGACGAAGCCGTCGCCGGCGTCCTGAACCTGCTCTACACGGCGCACTCGCACATACCTCCCATCCGCTCCGTCACGCTGATCCTTCGGCCCATGCACGGCGTCGCTTACACGACCGGCAAGGACATTGACAGCGACCACAAGGAGATTCACTTTTCAACCGACTACATTACGAGCGTGCCGCAGGAGCGGAGGAGGCGCGAGATGCTGGGCGTCATACGCCACGAAATGGTGCATTGCTGGCAATGGAACGCCATGGGGTCCGCCCCCGGGGGGCTGATTGAGGGCATTGCCGACTACGTACGGTTGAGGTGCGGTTTCGTGCCCCCACACTGGAAACAGGAGTGTGATGGTGACTGGGATGCCGGGTACCAACATACCGCTTATTTCCTAGATTACCTGGACAACCAGTATGGTGCGGGCAGTGTTATGGCCATCAACGAATCGTTGAAGTGCAGAGAGTACAAGGAGAAGACGTTCTGGAAGGGCCTTTTCGGCAAGGACGTGGAAGACTTGTGGCAAGAATATGGACGCTATCTAAAGTCAAAAGATGACAAACTCGAGACGGAGGATGAGCTTAAGAAATTGAAGCTAGAGGATGGCAAAACGCAACCCCAGAAGGATGCTGAGCCTACAGAAGCAGAATCATCTGGTGATCCAGCTGGAACCGCTTGATAATCACTCCAGGATTCAAGGATGACCGAAAATCCAAATCTATACCCAAGGCACTAAATTTAGCCTTCTTATAATTAATCTAGTCTATGCTGCGGATTTCCATATCAAAATAGGTCTACTCTGATTCTATTAATGTCGGTAAAGGGGCAATGGTCGGAATTGACGGAACGAAGCTCGAAGCGAGCCCCCAAGCTCCTGAGTGATTCGTCAACCCCCATTTAGGGGAGTAGAATTCTCAAGCGCCGTTCGTAGACGACGTCTTGAAAAACTGCGGGTAAATGTTGCGGAGCTGTTCCAGGTGTTTAATCTCGTACTGAGATGCTTGCTGCGGAGGCTTTGACTCTGAGGACTCGACTAGGTGTGCAGCCGTCCAGCCGAGTTCCTTTGCCGCCTTGCAGTTTATGAACGAGTCATCTATCCATGTTAGTGTGCTGGCGAGGAGACGATTAGATTGTCGTAAAGACTCACCAACGAAGTAGCAGTCCTCCGGGTTCTCAACACCAGCGTCTTGCATGGCCTTGGCGAACATGTTCTTGTGCGGTTTGCAAACAAATTCGGCAGCGCCATAATCGCAATACGTAATCCCTTCAAATTGGTCTTCGACGTTGAGCAGCTTGACAACCCTCTTGCCATGGTTGACGTAAGCGTTGGTGAACAGCCATAGTCTGACCTTGCTGCGGTCAATGTCTTCAAGCATTCTCCTCAGCTGAGGATTGGGCTTGATGACATCTTGGAGGGGCAGCGCATCGTCGACCTTGCTGTTGTAGTCAAGGGGGTCCACCTTATGGTGACGGACAAGACCCTCAATGGCAAGGCCGTAGTCCTTGTAATATCTCAGGTGCAAGCTGTTGGCATCCTCCTGAGTGAGAGAAAGATGTGTTTGAAAGTACTTGTCTGAGGAAAGAGATGAGTTTGAAGTTGGGAAAAGAGAATAAAAGACATGTGCCTACCGATGAGATCGCACATCATCTCCGCAACCTTTGTGCTTTTGGAGTAGAGCTTTGCAAGTCAGTTATGCCTAGAGAGAGCGAGTCTTATGGCTTGCTTACGCAGTTATCGATGTCGAAAAAGAACACCGGTTTCCTCTGAGAGTCCGCCATGGTTGAAGTGCTGCGGATGGGTTTAGGGGTATCGAACGCTCGAAAAGAACAGCCAGATCCGTACCACAGCGACCGAGTTGGGAAAGGCTGACGGCTAAGGAAAGGACGAAGTCTCGCAAGAGGTGAACCCATATAATCGCCACGGTAGACGGTGTGTCAAAGGAGTCAGCAAGCAATAATAATGATGCGTCATGAACCAAGGAAGGCTCCCGCTGTCAGGATCGATCAACACCTCGGCGCTTCGGAACTGTTTACCGGTCCTCCACGGCTTCTGAAACCCAGCTAAATACTACTACAGAGGCGCCCGGAACAAAGGATATGACAGCGCAGTTTGTTACGTTGCGTTTAGCCTTTTCTTCTGGGCGCTGCAAGCCCCCTGTCGCGCAGACGAATACGACCGTCGAAGAGACTGTTGATCCTTCGCGCCCTGCAGGTCACCAATAACTACTTGAATGTCTACCATGTGAAGAACTGCGCTGCACGATTTGCAACCAAGTCGCGATGCCCTTGAGCCTTTGTTTTTGGGGGCACTGAGCGCACGTTTGTCCACCCAAGGAACACACAAATGCACTAACTGTTTTAGCAGTTCCTGCTGTCTGCCAGGTCAGACAAGACGAAAAAATGGACAGACCTTGGTGCCTGACCCAACCATGGGAAGAGCTGTGCGGAGAGACCCCGGGTGCGCGGCTCGGCTGAAGGTGCCCGAGTGAGCGCCAAGCCTCCCTCCCCCGAGTCATCATCCTTTTCAAAACCCATCGTTTCTCGCCCTCGACCAAACGAGCATTGCTTCATCGGCATCACCTCCATTGGATATCGATTTGAGGCTTCTCTACAGCTCGCCTGAGGCGGCCCGCTACTTACATCCACAGCTTCGCCATGGCTTCAAGCGTGCCAGCACCGCCGGTGCAGGTCAACGGCGATGGGCTATGCGATCCTAACACGCGTCGCTACGCAGAGTTCTACGCTCAGCTTCTTCGCATCCGGGATGATGTCTATGCTGGCAAACACCCCCGCCTCAAGGTACCTGACGGTGTGCCAGAAAAAGTCGCAGCGCAGTTTGTTCAGTCTCGGCCATCGCCCACATCGCGTCCCGCCACCAACGGAACAAGCAGCAGCACTGTCCCTCCCGCTCACCCTTCTTACACATCTCAGGGCAGCAGTCCCTATATTTCCACCCCTATTCACAGCTACCCCAGGCCCTCGTCGTCGCAGCGACCGCCTAGCTTGAAGCCATCTTCGTCCGGGATTGATCCTGTACTTCTGACCAAGTCTGACGACCTCGTAAGAGCGGAGATCCAGCTCAAGCGCCAGCGCATTGAGCGTGTGCTCAAGGATCAGGTTGATCAGAAGAGGAATCAGTCTCGGGATGGGGACTTTGGCGGTCATACTGATGCACGCTTGGACGTATCAGACATTTTCGCCAAAGCACTGGCACTTGTTCCACCAGTATCAGGCTTACGCCCAGAGGCTAATCGCAACAGCCCGGCTAGTGATTCTTTCGATGAGAATTCGTATTACTCAAGTCAGGCAAACAGTTGGACTTCCGACGAGCGCGAGGGCTCTACGAACGGCGCAATGGCATCGGCGGCGGAAACGGCACAAGGAAAGCTTGGTGATGATGCGAGAACAGGCAATGCTGGCGGCGTCAATGGAGCTTCTCCAGCTGGCGCCCAGGAACGTGCCATGTCGCAGACGGACAACGTCAACGACGATACGGACATGCTCGAGGATGGGGAAGAGTCAGATTATGAGCCTCCTGCTGCCGATGCTTTTACGATTGTTCCGCCAACAAACAACAACACGCCTCACAATGATACAGTGTCAGGACCTGGCGGCCTTTCTCGATCTTTCAACTCCAGCAATGGTTCGCTTCCCTCCCCAACTGTCCCTATAATCATGAACCATATTCGGACCCCAGTGGCCCCTCAACCAGCACGCGTATCGCCGCTGACCTTTGCCAAAGTATCCGGTTTGGACACATCGCATGGCCCTGGTGGTCAGGATGTTGCTGCGAGCGCACCATCTTCGCCCAGAAACGGCCGGGGACGCGGTTCGGGGCGACAGAGCCCAGTTGGATCTGCCAGACAGCAGATCAACAGTCGGAAGCGCCGCAGGGAAGTCAAAGAAGTCGAGAGGGCAGAAAAGCAGAGACGGGTGTCAAATAGGGAAAAGCATCGCGCTGCTGAATCTCCTGAACCGCAAATCAAGGAAGAACCTGTCTCACCTCCTCCTTTAGCAGGCTTTACAGAAACCCCGCAATCGAGGCGCAGAGCCCGTCCGTTGCCCGATGACGTTGAGATCATCTCCCCCAGAGAAGCCCGCCCGCGGCCCGTGTACTATATGGAGTACGAGCAGCCACCTGCTCCTAGGTATGAGTACGAAGAACCGACAATCATCAGGGTACCATCTCGTGCGTCTTATCGCAGGGTGGAGCGCGATGACCACGATCTTAGGAGAGTGGCAAGTCTCCAGTATGCGCGGCGTCCGTATTCACCACAACCAGTGCCCTACGAGCCAGGTAGGGCAGCTTCGCATTATATTGAGGGTCCTGCCCCAATCTACAGAGAAGGCTCTGTTCGCCCTGGTGCCACCCGTTACATCCGCTCCGAGCGCTCAATTTCTCCGACCTATGCGACGGATCCGTACCAGAGAACGCGTTCACCCGCAATTATGGCCCCACCTCCAGCTCCCCGAAGGATAGTGGTAGATCAGCACGGAAACAGATTCTATGCTGAGCCAGCACCTATGAGCATGCGGACATCTGTGGCTCCGTCAACCAGGCGTCGAGTTGAGGATCCTATGTACGAGCGAGCGCCTACTCGTGAGCCTACTATGCGACCAGTGGCTCGTGCGATGGAGCCATACGAGGATGAGGGCATGGCACCTCCGCCGCGGAGGTACATTGAGCAACCTGAGGTCGAGGTTGTTGATCCCCGGGTCTACAGACAGCGGGAATATTCCATGCGCCCGGTTGAGAGAGAGGAGATTGTGCCTGCGCAAGAGCCGATCGAGCGGCGTCCAGTCGCTCGATATGAGGACATGCCGCCCCCACCCAGGGACTACATCACGAGATCTTACAGCGTCCGGCCGGAAGCCGTTAGACGCGAGATACCCGCCGAGTATGTCTCACGGCACGGGAGCGTTGCGCCTGGCAGAGAGTACGTGAGGCGCGAGGCCTTGCCCGAGGGATATAGGGCAGTGAGTGTTGTGCACGGAGAGCCTGTGCCTTATGAGGAACGACGTTACGCTTCTTACGTGCCGCAACAATCAGCCCGCCGTTATGTCGACGAGCAGGACATGATGGAGCCTGCGCAGGAACAGTACGGGGAGCCGAGGAACGTCACGTACAGGTATTGAGCTTGGGTGTTGGTTGGTTGTATTGGATAGCAGAGGACGGGCTTGGATGTAAATGCCCGGTCGTTTTTGTGTTAAACAGTGTTCGCATTGGGAAGCACAAGGGATGAGGAATGAAAAGCGTGTGAATTAATAGGGCACGTTTTAATAAAATATCAATGAGTGCGGCCATTCCGGCGACCAAATACTTCAAAGTAATAAATGTCTTTGCTTTGGGAAACAGTGGATTGGACATGAAGGTGCTTCCAGACGCGCAATTGATCTCACATGTGGGTAAACATCCCAGCCCCCCCACGGCAACGGCGAAGATTGCACGAAAGCACCCGAGACTCACAGGCATGTCAGACGATCTATGGCGTAGCTGCATCATACTACATGAAGAGGGGGTCTGGCTCGATCGCTGAATCAAGCGGGCGGAAGCCCTAGAAAGCGTAGTGTGGTGAATGCAGGATCGGCGCCCTTACCCCACATGGCAGGCAAAACCTGAATCGGAGTAGCAGTGATTTGGCCGGGGGGAGGATCGAAGAGGGGGAGGGGGCTTTGGGAGAGCAGGAACCGTCGACGGGGACTCCATCAGTGGCTTGAGGGTGAGGCGCGCAAAAAAGTCCGGCGGACAGGAGTTTGGTGGGAAGGAGAGGCAGAGAGAGGGTCGGGGAGCCACGAGCCAAGCCCCTCATCTGACTGAGCATTTTGTGGGCAGCCATCGTGGGGCAGGACGTTTGTTGTCTCCACGCAGATCCCCACTCGACGCAGGAATCGGGAGTGCGCATCGCTCGTACGTTAAGGAGATGGGCAATTGGTCGAGTCGGCGGCTCGGGATAGTTAGCTCGTCGAGACCGTCTCCGTCAATGACGAAAGGAGGACAGCCGACGGCATCCGCCAGGCAACATGGAAGACTCTATGCACACGGAGAGAGCAGCGATTAAGGTTAGGGAGGTGCGGTGGGCATGTCCATCAATCATGCCCGCTCAGCATGGTGTTGGCAGGGGCCGGGCCAGACCAGACGCGCACCACCGTGGGATGATGGATCACGGATCATGGGTGAGCGACCTTTGACTTTTTGCACGGTTGCATCACAGCGCCAGTCCTCTAGTCAGAGTTAACTACCTACTGGCGCGGCGGGAGGGAAAGCCCGAGAGTTGGGCGCGCGCTCTGAGTGCGGGCTGCCCGGGGCCTGACGCTGTCGGCTCTGCGCCCTCAGCGTGCCAGCTGGCCAACCCGCCCTGCTGATGAGCCCTGAACGGCGGCCCTCCCCCCCCCCCCCCCCCCCCCCCCCAGCACAGTACTGGTGTGTACTCACACATCCAGTCTGTGCTGGGGGTTGGAAGCCTATTCAGGCTCCTGTAGCAATTTGTTTTTTTGTATTTATTATAAATTACTAGCAACATTTGAACTATATTTAGTTGGGGACCCCCCCCCCCCCCCCCCCCCCCCCCCCGGCGCGCGCGAGGCTGCATCTCCCGACTGGCAAGTAGCGCCTGGCACGCAGGGTTGGTGGTGTCGCTGGCAGGATCTACGCGCGCACAGCCCGGCTCGCTCTTAGTCGGCTTGGCGGGCTTGAAATCATCGCTCCCGGCTGATCCATCCACTGGACGACCTCTCGCCAAATCCTACGCCCTTCTCTCGCTCCAACGTCCAAACCACCCCAGTCCCCCAATACCCACCCCCCATCAAGCCCGCCCTTCCTCTTGTCTTTGTTCTTTTCGTTTGCGGGGCGTGCGACCGGCCAACATGCACAAGATATCAAACTTCACCGGTCAGGCCCGGCATGGGTGGGAGAAGATGACGCCCTCGATGGGCTTCGGCATGTCACGATCACATAACGACCTTCCCAACCAGCCTGTCAAGCGGCCCTCGAATGCCGCCGCCGTCACTCCCACCATACAGCCCGGCACTTTTGTCAACCTGTCCTTCAATGTCCCCTTTGCCTCCAACCTGGGCGGCCCTGACGCCGAGGACGTCGTCTACGCGAGTCCCGGCGCTTTTGCTCGCTGGACCCGGCAAGACGAGACTCCTGAGGCTGCCCTGCCACCGCCCACCCACACGCTGCCCGTACACGTCGCAAACGTCGAGAACCTGCGGTCACTATGCAAACAGCTGAGCGCCACCAGCAACGGCACCCTGGACGCCACCGTCGTCTCGTCCGAGCCCAAGCCGCTGCCGGGCCTGCAGCGCGTCACCACTCTGGTTACCAACGTCTGCCTGTCAGGAGAAGCCGACCTCGTCCGCTCGATAAGGTGCAAAATTCTCAATGAGACGCCCATAGCTTTGGTACGTCATTCGCGGCCGCCGGTGGGCTGACGTGAAACGCCGGTACTGACGTTGTTGTTGGCGTCTAGCGATGCACCACGGTGGACTTGGACTACAACATGGTCTTCGAGAAGGACCAAGCCAAGTCGCAAGTCCTGACTCATATCGATGAGATCGCAAAGGTCACCAAGGCCGACATTTTCCTGCTGCAGCCGAAGCCGATCGATATTGAATCGGCAAGTATCAACGGCACGCTCCACGACACGGAGCAGCGCTTGAGATGCGCCATCTACGGCGACGTGGAGAGCGCCGAGTTTGCAAAGACGAGGATATTGATCATGATTGACCAGATTGTACGTTCAGCACGTGGTTTGTCGCGCTATCAACGCTAACATATCTACAGCTCCACAGGCACGTCGACACGATGAAGCTCGAGCTAACCATGCACACTCTTATCTGCGGGAGAGCCCGCAAGAACATCAAGCTTATCGAGTCTGCTACAAACACTGCGATTTACTTTCCTCCTCCTTTCCCACGGTTGTACGGCTATACGCCCCCAGGGGCCCTTAGACGCCCAGAGGATGAAATCATCATCACCGGTGAAAAGCCTGATGACATCTTGCAGGCCAAGCACAGGCTGCACGACCTGGTTCTCAGCACTCGGGCTTTCATGAAGGAAGTTATCGTTACGACGAGCAAGATCGACAACATCTTGCTTGAGCGCCTGGACAAGGTGCGCAAGATCATTGAGAACAACGGCTCGTATATCTTGCTTCCCCCGCTCGGATTCCAGCGTGGTCCAATCCGCGTTCAGGGCACCGATGTCTTGAATGTGGAGAGGACTATTCGTGAGCTTATGGCCCTGGTAGGTTTCATAATGTCATGTGACTGTGCGCTTGCTGACGTTCTATAGGCCGGTCAGTTCTACAGCGCTTCCTGGTGCATCACCCATGCCGATCCCTCTCAAAGGCCTCCCACTCCGGATGACGTGAGGGCCATGTTGTCTGACATCTGCATCAACTCCGGTGCGGAGATCAGCTTTGAAAGGTTGAACTTCCACATCAGTGGCTCTGATGATGCCGTAAAGGCTGCCATGATGGTTATCAACAACATTCCTTTCGTTCGCAAGTCTCAGTACAACATGAGCGTTAAGATTGAACTGGCCAACGAGCACAAGGAATTCGTCAGTGGCAAGAAGAATGGCAAAATCAACAAGATTATGAGTCAGAGCAACGTTCAGATTGTTTTTGATGGATTCAACGAGTACAACTTCTACATTGTCGTCCGCGGCGCTCGCTACGAGGATACGAAGGGTGGACTCGATCTTGTTGAACAGGAAATGCCAGCGGCTATCTCCTTCCACGTTCCCGACCAGTACCATAAGCGCATCATCGGTATCGGCGGACAGCACATTCAGCGCATCATGAAGAAATACTCCGTCTTCGTCAAGTTTTCCAATGCAATGGATCGTGGTGGTCTTGGCAAGGAAGAGGACGATATCAAGGTCGACAACGTCATTTGTCGTACTCCCGCTCGCAATGCGCAGAACTTGGATCTCGTCAAGCAAGAAATCATGGACATGGTTGAGAAGGTGGATGCCGAGTTTGTCTCTGAGCATGTCGTCATCAACCGTCTTTACCACCGTGAGCTGATTTCGCGCATGAATGAGATTGAAGAACTCGAGAAGAAGTGGAATTGCAAGATTGTGTTCCCTAGCACTGAGCAGGCTAGTGATGTTGTCACTGTCTCTGGCCCCGAGTACCAGGTGCCTCAGGCTGTTGATGAGTTCTTGGTAAGTCTCTGCTTCCTACTACTGATGAAAAGGCTAACCTATCAAAGTCCATGGTCCCAGAAACTCATGAGATGAGCTTCCTTGCCCCGAAGGAGCTGAGTGACTTCCTCAGATCTGACGAGTTCAGAAAGGACGTTCTTATGAAGATGAAGGCCCAATACAACATTGAGGTCCATCTCAACGAGTCCCAAACTTCCGAGACTCCTGAGCGTATGATTGAGAACCTTGTCATGAGCTACACGCGCAACTATGCCGGTGGTCTGAAGGATGCGATTGACTATTTCATTGCTCGTCTTGTGGCCCACGGCCTTGATGTCACTCAGATCATCAAGGGTGCCATTCCTCGTCCCAAGTCTGACTCCTTTGAGGACAGCCTGCCTTTCTTTGCTTCCAGAGTCCTTCAGCCGGCCGAGCCGCGCTTTGACTCGACCGACTCTCCCACTCGTTCTGTCTTTGGAGATGACACCGGCTCTGAGCGTATGGGATTCTTGGACAGGCTTCGCAAGCCGGGCAGCATGTCCTCTTTCTCCTCGTTCATCGAGCGCCGTAAGAACGGTTCGAACTCTCCTGGTTCCCTTTTCACGCACGCCTCGCGCAATGCTTCCAAGGCGTCGCTCGTCTCCCTTGAATCCCAGTCTAGCTACCGCAACCCTTGGAATGATAGCGGTATTAACCTCCCCGACGAGGAGCATCACACCAACGGCTGGCCGGTACCCTCGGCCGTTGGCTTCCACCATTCCAACAGTTCGAAACTTTCCTTTCATGGTACACCCACTTCTGCGGCCCCCGGCGACATGACGCCCAGGTATGATCCGCGGGCGTCTGTCGACAGCGGGCGTCCCAGCACTTCCCATTCTGCTTCTGGATACCCGGCCCCGATTGGGCCCCCTCGTTGAACGACCAAAAAAGAGTTTTCTCTTTTCTTTCTTCGTCAGTGAACGATACCCCACCCCGATGATCCAAACTCGACTCAATACCCCACACATCGATGAACCGATTCTGGCCACGAAAGAAAGACATATACCCCGGGCGAATACAAAAGCGAGTGTGCGTTCGTCTGTATGTATGCGTTGCTTTTATGTTTGCGTTGCGGTCCTGCTACGTTTCCGACTTTCCTTTTTTTGTTATAGGCGTTTTTTTTTTTTTTTTTTTCTCCGTATGATGTTGTACAAGGCGCGAAAAGAAGTATACCAATTTGCCCTTCCCGTTCTGTTTGCGAGTTTGACTTTTCGTGGAGTTCTAGTGGGCTCTCTCATGGGTTCATGGGTTCGTTCGGCTCGTATGAAAGATCCGGTGGAGCCGTGGGAGGGTTGCGCGAAACATGAAGTGATTTAGCTGCGTCGTTCGAGGGCATTGGAATTGTTCGCGGGGAGCTCTGGCGGCTGGCACCTTGTCTAGGAAGCAGAGGCGGGCTCCCCTTCCGACTCTCGAGCGTGGCCAGCGGTGGACTTAGCCTAGTGAACATAAATAGATCGGCCGGCTTTCACGACCTTGGACATTACTTTCTCGGCAAAAGTGATTGGCCCCGGGTGTGGCATTATTTGCGCATGGCATCCATGACGATGATCAGGTCACGTGCCCTACGGACGGTCGAAGCTTTTTGGCTTCCGTCGATGTGACGTAAAAAAGTCTGGGGAAGCTCCATCGACCAGCTCGAGCACCGCAGCACCACCAATTGCACAGACAACATCTCTCCCTCCACCTACGACACGCCCAACTTGACACAATGGCATCAAGAAGAGCTGCTATCCTCGGCCTTTCGCTGCGCTCCGCTGGCCCCGCCGTTGCTCGTGCTGCTTGTCCGCTTCGCCATGCGGCGCCCGTGAGCCCGCTCCGCGTCGCTACCGCGCTGCCCGCCGTCCAGAGACAGGCCGTCCAGGCACGCTGGCACTCAGCCGAGCACGGCTCCAAGTCGAAAGTGTACGACTTCAACGGGGTAAGTTGTGCCCAAGCCGCGGTCCCCACGCCCACGCCCACAGCACAATACAGCACAGCACAGCACAGCACACAAACAAACTAACACTTCCCCCCTCCAGATCAAAAGCCTAATCGAAGCGCCCACGCACGACGCGCTCCTAATCGACGTGCGCGAGCCAGCCGAATACGCCGCGGGCTTCATCCCCACCGCCATCAACATCCCGATCGCGTCGCAGCCGGACGCGCTGCTCCTCGCGCCCGAGGAGTTCGAGGACCGCTTCGGCTTCGCGAAACCCCCGCCCGGCAAGCACCTGGTATTTTACTGCAAGGCGGGCGTGCGCAGTAGTGCGGCGGCGCAGCTGGCACAGCAGGGCGGGTTTGAGAGCGTCGGTGAGTATCGTGGCAGTTGGTTGGATTGGGAAAGGAATGGGGGCGAGGCTAGTCAGGACCCTAGAGGGGGTGTTAAGGGCGAGGACCCGACTACTTAGGCGTTTGAGGAAGGGTGGTGTGGGGTGATGGGTTGGTTGGAAGAGGTTAACTGGTCAGCGAGTTGTTAATCCATGCCTTTGAGAACATTGCGGTCTATTATTCACGGCGCTGATTGAGTAGAGAACAGCAGTCTTTCTGACTCCAAAGCTTGGGGCTTTCTACATACATATATCTCTGTCATCGTCGCTTCTCCTTCAAACCTTTCATCTCGCCTTCCACACCAATCCACAATCAGAAGGAACCCAAACAACCAACCACATTGCATACTAATACACCATGGCGGCTCTCGCAGAACAAACACACGCAGCAATGAGCCGCAGAAATATGAAAACGATTACCGCTGCCAAATACAATCACTCAACATATCAAATCCCGACTGATCTTCTCCATTTGTCTGCTACCAGCAGCAACAGAAATGGCAACAAAATAACACGTACACAACAAAAAGCCCTCTTCTCTTCATTTATGTCTACATATTCTCTCCGCTAACACTTCACCTTGGTATGTCATCAAACTGCCATATTCTCAGCTTATCCGTGTATGATGCGTCGGCGAGACTAGTCGCGCTAGACAGGCTGGCAAGAGCAGCGCTGTCGAGGACGGGAGGGATCTTTCTGCCTAGTTGCCTCGAGGCGTGTATACTACTAGGTAGGTAGCGTCTGGTTCCATGCACGGACAATAGAGCCGGGCGCTTTTAGTAGTTGTGAGACCACTAGTCGTGGAGTATCAAATGATAGGATAGTATTTTCTTTTTTTAGAAGAGATTAATAGACTTAACTCTAGGGCTATAATTAGATAGGATTATTAAATAGATGGAGTTTTTGTTTAGTATAGTATACTTAAAGCTACTTCCTTGTCGTTAGTATAGCTATTGTCCAAGCTTTCACGTGCGCGCGCAACCACGCGCAAAGCAACATCACCACTCCGCCCGCGCAACCAACACCCACCATCTCCACATCACCTAACTACTTACGCCGCAACACGTCGCAGCAACAACACCACCACCATCACAACCAGCGCTACCATTACCACCACTACAACCACCCCCGCCGCGACCGCCGCCACAACCATGGCCGCCGACGTCTCGACCAGCGCGCCGCCGCCCATCGCGCAGCGCATCCTGGGGCCGGCGCCGCAGCCCGCGCACTTCAGCTTCAGCTTCAACGACTTCCTGCGGCGCGAATACCGCTTCGGGCTCGATCCCAGCCGGCCCATCTGCAATGCCTTTAAGCAGGGACATTGTCCGCTCGGGAACGCGTGCCCCGATAAACATCCTACGTCGTCGGCATTTAATAAGTATGTGGTTCTTTCTTACACACACACAAGCACAAGCACACAAACATATACACATACGCGCAAACATACACGAACGCAGAAGGCAGGACGTAACGACAAGCCCCACGCTAACAAAACCTCCCGCACAGTTCCTTCCACGGCAGCCTCGTCTGCAAGCACTGGCTACGCGGCCTCTGCAAAAAAGGCGAAGCCTGCGAATTCCTACACGAGTACAACCTACGCCGCATGCCGGAATGCAACCACTACAGCCGGCACCTGACGTGCTCCAACGGCGACGACTGCCTCTACCTACACGTGGACCCGGAATCCAAGCGTCCGGCCTGCCCACACTACGAGCGGGGCTTCTGCCCGCTCGGCCCACGCTGCGCGAAAAAACACGTCCGCAAGGAGCGCCTCTGCCGCTATTACCTTGCCGGCTTTTGCCCGAACGGCCGCCAGTGCGGCGAGGGCGCGCATGCGCGCTGGGTTGAGGATCTGCGCAAGCCGGAGGTCAGGCTTGAGAAGAGCGCTGAGGAGTTGGAGCGCGAGAGGGCGGTTAGGGAGGAGGAGGCGAGGAAGGAGGCCGAGGCTGAGAGGGAAAGGTTTGAGGAGCGGAATCCAGGGATGGGTGGTCCTGGCGGGAAGTTTAGGGGTGGCTGGCAGGGAAGAAAGAAGAGGAGTGGTGGTGGGAGGAGGAGGTATTAGGGCTTGGCTTGGCTAGCGGCTTGGGTTGGGTTGGACTGGTTGGCTGGGTTGGGTTGGCTGGCTGGCTGGCTGGGTTGGACACATCCACGGCACTCCCACTCCCACATCCGCACCAAGCCAACCCCAACACCACCACGACGCGTCCGCCAACCAACGCCAGCATCCCTCAAAAGGGAACCCAAAAGAAAACCCAGGAGTTCAAGTGACGGGGCGTTCCGGCTCACGAAGCACACAAACATTCATAGCGCGGCGTTTCGGCAGGGATGGATGGATGGATGGGGGGTGTATTGTATGTGCAGTACGATTGATCGATCAATCAATCAATTTTCTTTTCTTCTATAAGCGTTGATTTGGTTGTCTGAAGTAGACAGGCAGAGAGAGAGACGCACAACGTGCCGAGTATCAACCCCCAGAACAGTAAAAACCAACAACAAACGCAACAACGACACTTCCCCCAACACCAGACGCGGGAGTCCGAAAATAGACGTAAGAATCAGGTATCTCATTGAACGAATAATAACTATACTCCACACGCGGCCCCGACGGCCATTTTTCCACACCCCATATCCCACATCCCCACACCCGTCACCTAGACCAGACGCCTAAGCAAAGCCCTTAAGCACCGCCGCCTCCGCGTTCAAGATGGACGAGCCAGCAGCACCAATAACAGCTATAACAAATCGTCAGCCAACCGCACAATCGAGTAGAATCAAAAATCCAAAAAAGAAAAAAAGGGAAGGGGGGACTTACTGTTATGGCTCAGCGCGACAAACTTGATATCGAACAAGCCGCTCTCGTCCTCCCGCACCCGGCCTACACTAACAGCATACCCGCGATCCGTCTCGCGATCAAGGCGCGGCTGCGGACGATCCGGCTCGTCCATGACCACAATGGCCTTCTCGGGCGCGGAGGGGCAGCCCAGCTTCTGCGCCTCAGACACGTACTCCCTGAACGCGGTCTTGACGTCTTCCGCGCTAGGGGCCGGGCGGTTCTTGAAGCGCAGCGAGACGCAGGCGGTATGGCCATCGATAACCGGGACGCGGTTGCAGGCAGCGGAGACCTTGAGGGTCTGGTCGACAAAGCCAGAGACGTCCTCGTTGACAGACCCGAGGATCTTCTGCGCCTCGGTTTCGAGCTTGTCCTCTTCGCCCGAGATGAAGGGGACAACGTTGTCGATGATGTCCATGCTGCTGACGCCCGGGTACCCGCCGCCGGACACGGCTTGCATCGTGACGACGCTGACGTACTCGACGGGGCCGAACTTGGCTTGCAGCGCCGCGAACGGGATCACGATGCCGATGACGGCGCAGTTCGAGTTGCACACGAGGAAGCCCTTCTCCAGCTGGTAATGCGCGCGCTGCGCTTTCAGCACGTCCAGGTGCGGGATGTTGACTGTCGGCACCACGAGCGGCACCAGCGGGTCGCGCCGGTAGTTCTTGGCGTTGGAGAAGACGGCGAGGTTGGCCTTGAGGAAGGCCATCTCTGTTGAAGCACAAAGCCACGATGTTAGCACCAAGCCCCGCTAGCAAAGATACCATTCACCCCATTGGATGAGGAGCAATGGATGGACGACGCGGTCGGCATTGCTTACCCGTTTCGCCAGCAACGTCGCTGTCCAGCCCCGAGAAGACGAGGTCGCACTCGGCGAACTCCTCCGGCACGCACCGCTTCACCACCAGCTCGCCTAGCTCCTTCGACATCGGCAGCGCTTGCTTCCACTTCACTGCATCCTTGTACTTCTTGCCGGCTGAGCGCTCAGAGGCTCCCACTGCGTGCAGCGTGAAGTGCGGGTGCAGCGCGAGGAGGAGGATGAAGCGCTGGCCGACCGAGCCCGTTGCGCCTAGCACACCTGCAGTACGACCATGTGGTCAGCCCATTGCCATTGCTTGCTTCAATTGAGCGAGAGAAGAGAGAGAGATAGAAAGAAAGAGAGGCAGAGAGGCAGAGCGAGGTGGGATGGGGAGAGGGAATACTAACCGCACTTCTTCTTGGGGAAGTTACGGTTCGTCGAAGTAAAGTTCTGGACATCCATTGTGCGAGAGGTTGCTGTAGAACGGAATGTTTTTGCTTGGTTGCAGCTGGTGCTATGTAGAGTATTGTAGCTAAAGAGTCACAGGCAGACCACGCGCCGCGGTCGGAGGCGAAATTTCGCGGGGTCCCGTCGCCGGCCGATGACGCAGCGCCACCGCCGCGCAGGGTCCACTCAATCCTGTGTCTCACGAGAGACGCCCAACGCCTGATATCAGGACATCATGCTTTTGATTTTGGCATGCTTGGCTGCTGGTCGAGCCGTCGTGTCGTTCGACCTGCTTGACCTCGCTCTTTCCACTTGGCATGCTCGCTACTTCTCCGTCTCTGTCTCCCGCCACTAACACCTTTTCTTCCTCTTCCTCTTCCTCTTCCTCTTCCTCTTCCTCTTCCTCTTCCTCTTCCTCTTCCTCTTCCTCTTCCTCTTCTTCCTTCCGCACCAACGCTGGCCGCACAGGCGCATACACCCTCACTCTCGGCCGCATCCCGGGCCCCTCCACTATCGTCACCGTCGGCAGGTTCGGTGTCTGCGCACGCGGAAACCCAGTAGGGACGTACGTGGCGGGCTTTGCGACAGGTTTCGCAGCAGCAGCAGCCGCTGTTAAAGGCGTGGGCTTGTACGTCGGCGGCGACGTCAGCGGCGTCCGAGAAGGAAGGACAGATGGAAGAGGAGGAGGAGCGGGCTTCTGCGCCGTGCGTCTGCCTGCAGCAGGCGCCTGAAGGCGGCGCAGACGGCGGAGTCTCAGGAGCCGGGCTTGGGGGGTTTGGTGCCGGGGCGAGCGGGGCGGTGGCGCTGATGCTGATGGTGGGTGTACTGCGGGTGTGGTAGAGGACATGGTTGTGGAAGAGCTGGCGAGCTGGTGGTTGGTAATGATGGTTGTTTTGGTTTGGCTGGTTTGGTGCTGTGTATGCTGCCGGATACGCTCTCTAGAGAGAGAAAGAGGGAAAGAGGAGAGCAGACTGTGCCAGCTGCCCACGTGTGCCGCAAAAGCAAGCAGGTAGGTAGGCACGATGGATGCGGAAGGCGGCGGCTGCGTGCGAGCAGAAGCAAAGCAGGGTAGGCAAGTAGGTAGGTAAGGTAAGTAAGTAACCAAGCAAGCAAAGCCCGAACCTTCTCACTTTTACGAACGATGATCAGCCAAACGAAACGGCACTGCAGGCCGCGTTTGATCATATATAGGTAGGGCGGCCTGGGAAGATCGACCTGGGAGAATCGACCTGGGTAGGTTGGCCTGCGTAGGTAGGTACCTAGACGCAGCCCCGGCCAGCCGACAGGCCGACAGCCAGGGTAGCAGGCAGGTAAGCGGACATGCCGCCGTCTCCCGTGTGTCTAGGCTAGTTATGGAGGCACAGACACAGCTGCAGCTCATGTTCACGCTCGCACTCTAACTAGCTCACGCTCTCGCGCACGCTCGGGTTCGGGAGCTACCTGTTTGCCGGGACGCGGCGTGCGCGTGGGCCAGGAACGAGCTCTCTAGCACCGTCGTATGCTACCGTACTTAGGTAGGTACGGAGTAACTAACTACAGTCGCCTAGTTTGGTAGCAGATCTAACCTCGGTAGGTAGGTAGGTCTGCAACACCAACCAAGCAGCAACCAAGCAAGCAACCAAGCAGCTGCGGTGGACGAAGCACTACTGCTGCTGTTGCGCCCGGTAACTACCTTCCTTACCTATCCAGCCGGACTCAGGTGTGCGCTGCAGCACAACCTAAGCTTCACGCTAGCTCGCTGCATGTTTTATTGATCGCTGGACTGGCGGTGGGTTTGGTGGCACGCACGCACACGTGCCGCGCTCGTCGCCGTGATTCCCAGTGCGCTTCCTCCGTACCTAGGTCCACCGCAGGTCCTCCGTCCCTACCTACCTACCTAGCTACCCAGGCCCCGCGGACCCATCATCAGCCGATCGAGTGGCAGGCACAAGTGGCACTATCACGAGAAGCTGTAGATTAAGCTGGCGTGACCGAGCGAGTGCTCTGTCCTGAGCACGGGAAAGAAAGGAAAAAAGAAAGGAAGAAAGAAAGGAAAAAGAAAAGAAAAGGAAAAGCGGCAAGCAAGCCATCCAGCCACAATACCTCTCTTCCCCCCTCTTCTCCTCTCTTCTCTTCTTTTCCGAAAACCAAAAACCTCACCTCATGCGCAAAGAAGAAAGAAGATACGCGCCACCACCATCATCCCGCCAACCAAAGCCTTTGTACGCCCCTGTGCGACCGCGCCTATTCCTGGCTCTCCTAGCGCGCGCCTTAACTCGCTCATGGCGGCGGGCTTCCGAGGGTGAGCGAGCCTAAGCGAAACGTAGCGAAACTGGCTGATTGCTGGTTGCGAGTTGCGCGAGGTTACGCTGAGCGAGGCCGGCTGAGCGGTTGGAGGTACGGAGTACGGACTGGGCCGGACGTACGTCTCTGCGCGCTGGCAGGCCCGCTGCCCTGCGCAGATTAAGATGAGAGCGAGGGCACGGCAGAAACGCTGGCGTCGCGGTTGGTTGGTGGGTTGGCTCAGTTGCTTGCTCGTGCGGTGGTGGTGGTATTGGGCGCGTCCGCGAGAAGCGTACACGTGCGTGTTGGATGCAAGTCAGTAAGGTAGGTCGTTATCCGTTAGCCGTTAGCTCTCGCACGCACGGGTGCTGTGTGTAGTGATGGTGCCCGGCAGCGGCGGCTGCGTAGAGCAGGTGGTTACAAGCTAGATTCGACCGGAAGCCGGATAACGGACGACGGACGACGGACGACAGATGACGGGTTACAGACAACGGATGACGGAACGAGAGGCGGAGAACGGAGTACCGGAAGACGGAAGGTGGAAGGCGGGGGTTAGGCAGGGGTTAGGCAGGGGTTAGGCAGGGGTTGGGGTTGGGGCAGGGGGGTGCAGGTTGCAGATGCAGGCGGCTGCAGCTAGCTGGACTGGCATGACAGGCTCTCTCTCGGGACTCGGCGCAGCGCGCTCTCGCTGACAGGGATCCGGCTGCGCTGCGGCTGACTGCGTGCGTGCATGCGTGTGGGTCGGTACCTATGCGGGTAGCCGTGCTTGTGGCGGGAGATTCCGATGGGTGGGATTGGGTTGGGTGGGTCTGGACTTTGGAGCTGTGGTTGCTGGGTTGGGTTGAGGGGCGGTGGGTGCTTGGTGTTGAGGATGGTATGGGTTGGGTACCTACTTATAGTGGCAGGGTGTGTGGAGTGAGCCCGTGGTCTGCCTGTCCCGTCCCGCTGTAAGTTGCTCGCGGCTCGTACGAACCATACTAGGTAGGTAGGCAAGGCATATCTTCCAAACGACACTCCTTCCCGTCCGTCCCGTCACCGACAACAGAACTCATGGTTAATCCCGGCCAGACCAGCTAACTCTCTACCTAGTACCTTACACCCTGAATCCCGCCACCAGCCCTCTCCTCCGCCCTTTAGCACATATCCTCGCCTCAACGTCTTCACAAACGCACCAGCGCCCGCCTGCACCCATCGGCGCCTCATCCACCCCGCCCCCTGCTTTGGCGCCGCCGCACACTGCTCCCCCAGCTCTCCACACGTTTACTTGCGCTCGACTCGCTCAGCCTTGTACTATACACTTACTCTCCCGCGAGCAGCCCTGTCAGCCCTCTTCCTCTCTTCCCATACCTTGTCGCTGCGCCCGCGAAAACGCCAAACACGCGCAGGTCCGAGACCGTGGGCCCAGGAGCGGGTTCGTGCCGTGTCGTGTAGGTGTCGTCGCTGTAGCGGTAGTCGTGACTGTAACTACAGCTGGAGCGGGGACGCGGATATTTCTACACTGAAAGGGTCTTCAGAACTTTCGTCTTGTATTGGAATTGAGCTATAGAAACTATGAACCAGCTAGTGAGGTCGTAGCTCGAGTGCCATTGCAGGTTCATGCAGCATCCTTCACTGACGGAAAGCGCTGTGTTTAAGCTACTCGCACGTACTAGGATACTATAGAAATGCTGATGAGAGTGCCGAGTCGCTACCAACCTGGTTGTTTAGGAAAAGAGAATTCCACGCAACGTGGTTCAATTTGCCCTGTTCAGCCTGAGAAGAGGCTAAAAGAAATCCCGTGGCGTCAATCTGTCAACTTTCTCCGTATAACTTCGCCAACCGCTATGCTGGCAAATTCCCCAATGACCAATTACCCCGTAGCTCCAATCACTCCGTAGTTCCAAGTAATTGAGCCAGGAAGTGAACGTTGAGCCAACCCAAGGCATCGTTCAAAGTCGTTCAAGAGTGACGGCTCCTGATGCGGCGAAGCTCTGCATTCTCACGCTCCAGTTTCCGCTTTTCCCTTCGTAATTCCACCGTCTCATATTCGAGCTCGACAATCCTGGAACTCTGAGCGCGGATGGTTGCCTCGTAACTCCTTACTGTGCGTTTGGCAACAAGAAACTCCAGTCGGTCATATCCGACAGCTTCCGCAACATTTGGCGGATCTGGGGCTGTGATTCTGAACCGTTGAGTGGGATCGTCGTCATGGAAGCCTCATTCCATTTCCTCCACCTTCAGTTCTGGGTTTCCATACTACGAGTCATCATCGGAAGCGTTGTGACCTGGGTAGTATTGGGAGCATTGATCTCCGCCCTTCTTCTTTTCCGTGTGGGTATCTTTGCGCTGAGAAGCATTATGTGCTGCAGTCTTCTTACCAGTTGCAGGCTTTGGACGTGGTCTAGGTGCAGTGCCGCCCGCTGCAGGATGACTCAGGCGATGGCGGTTGTTCAGGGAGAGGTTGTCCCTTAGATATGGGCTGTCTCCTAGGTGAGGGCTGCCTTATAGATGCGGGCTTCCTCATAGGTGCGGCTTTTATCGGAAATTTGAGCTTCCTCAAAAATGCGGGTTGTTCCTTGGGTGCGGGCTGCCCTTCGGGCGGAGGCTGTCCTTCAGGATGAGGCTGAAGCTCAGGTACAGGCTGTTCATCAGATGCAGATTGATCGATAGATGCAGCTTGGTCACCAGATGTAGGCCCTTTCTCAGCAGGAAGCTCTTCAGAGTGGCTTTCGTCCGGTGGTGAAGGCGCAGGCGCTCTTGGGGGACCAGAAACATCATTGGGTAATGTATCCTTATCCTTGGTAGCTTTAGGATCAGTTTTCCCAGTGTTCGAAGATGTCTACTGCCTGTCAAGACCATCAGTGTCTTGTAAATCCTTGGAGCTCTTGCCGTGCTCTTCGTTGAGGCTTGGAGAAGCGTCATTGATGGTACTAGATGTTTGGTCGTTCAAGGCGTTTTTTTTTTCAGCCCAGGGATTTTGAGACGTACGATCAGGGAACGACGTGGTAGCTTCTTCTCGTATTCTCTTTTCTTGTACTCGGCGTACTTCGTCTTTTCCCAATCAAGCCATTCCAGGTCAGACTTAAAAGTCTCGTAATAGTCGAGATCGCAAATCCCTCGATGATAAACCGTAGACTTGATCAGAGCTCGTATAGGTGTCTGACTGAGGTCTTGTTGAATCCTTTTGATCGACTCATCTCCTTCTTCGATCTCACTGAATAGTCCTGTCTTTACACTGAATTTGAAAAATTCCAAAGAACTCCCTTTGTCAATCTTCTTTACGGTAGCCGTCGTCTCCCCATGGGGTGCCGGGTACTCTCCAAAGTAATCCACTCGAACTAGCCACTCTTTGGTTATTTGAAGCGGGTAACACTTGTACCATACAGCCTTTCCAGGCTAGACTAAGCACACAATTGATCAACTTTTATGCTATTCGTTATAGAGGTATATTTAATAGACTCACCAGCCAAACGCGTTGCACTGCCATTTCAAAGGGCCATGAGGAACAAAGTCCTTTGGGAATCTGTTCATGCAATGTGTATTTGTATTTGGTAACTGATGTCGCTTCGATGATGCCTTTCGCAATGGCGGCATCTAACACAGACCAAACGTTGTGTAACCTCGTATTGTAGCCCGGATAAAACTTCAGTACCTTCCATCTGACCACGGCTGGTAAAGGTTCAGAGACCGGCTTCTCTGAAGCCGAAGTGTCAGGCTTAGGCATCTTGTCAACCAGTGATGTCAAAGCAAACTAGGTGAAAACCATGGAGGATGTTGTTTTCAAGCGATAGTTTAAGTAAATGCTCAAGCATGCGTTCCGAGTTCCGTGGAGTTTAAGAGTAGGTGAAACTCTAGGAGCGCAGCAGCGCAGTCCAGGAAGTAATGCAGGACAGCTGCCGGAGCAGCTAGGTGACGGCGATCAAGATCCAGCGAGCAGCCTCACAGCCTCAGCGAGTGCCTTGACGTGAGGCTTAGGCAGGAAATTTTGCGTTGGCAAGAAGGCCGTGGGAGCGTATTCTGTGGCGACCTTCGCAGTGTCCGGAGGACGGCCGGCGACGAGCTCAAGACACCCGCGACGACACCCGGGTGCGGAGCTATCCTTTTCGGGAATAGCCCCTCCAAATGGCTTACTCAGAGTGCTGGAGAGCGCTTTCCCGCTCAGGGCGGCTTGGGTCTTGCCGGTTGAGCTGGACTGGAGGTTCTGGACGTACGTAGGCGCGGAGTGTGTGTGAAAGAGAGAGCAAGCATACAACCCCCTCACATAAAGCACGGCAAACTGCCCCCGTCCCTAGCCATCACTGCAACAAACCTTCTTTGTCGTCGCAGTGATTGCCGCCCAGACAGCACCCCCTGGAATACAGATGCTACGACCAGCGAAAAAGAAACCACTTTAGCCTCAAGACGATGCTGTCGTTGTACAGTCGCTGAGAGTTGCGCACACTTGCAGCTCACTTGCTCACATTGTCGCTACCCGGCGTCCATGCACCAACGGTCCAGAGTCAGCGTTCACGGCTACCTCGCCGACCTCGAAGATCTTTCCGCATAGGAAGAACAAGAAAGCAGCAGCGTAAAGAGTGAGCTCAAAAGAAAGCCGATCTAGCCAATCCCACAAGGACAAGAATCCACTGTAACCTGCCGGCGCCTCCCAGATTCATTGTCCGATACAACCCGCGGACATCACAGGATTGTATACGCTGCATTATAGCTACATCTGGCTTGGCTATTGACCATGATATCAAGCTCCTTGCAACAGCGCTGATGGCAGGTCTCGAAGACTGCACATCCCCGTTCCCTACTACAAAATCTCCACCAGCGCTCCCACCGGAGACCCCCTCACGCCCTCCCAATCGCCCCGCCTCCCCATCTCCATAATCTCGCACCCCAAGCGCACCAGTTCCTCCGTCGCGCCCGTATCGCCCCACTCGACACAGGTAGGCCAAAACGCGACGTGCACGCCGAAATGCACAACTGCTCTGCGCACGAACGCCTCTGTATCAGTAATGAAGCCGTAGCTGTGGCTGCCGGAGAGGGGGCTGGAGTTGCTATTGCTGTCGGGTGAGTTCGTGTTGCTGTCGCCCTCGCGCCCCGCAGCCTCGACATACGCCGTCAGAAACGCAGGCAGCAGGCCCCTGCCGCCCCGGAACCGGTCCAGTAGGTACGCTTCCGCAGCGAACTGCGCGACGTCGGTGGCGCCGAGCCCGCGGCGCGAGATCTCCCAGTCTATGACTGTGAGGGCGACGTCTTGCTCTCCATCTCCCTCTCCAGACTTCTCACCCAACCCAGCATCAACATTACTGCCGTCCCTCCCATCATCCACAAGGACATTCCCCGGCCAAAAATCCCCATGGCACACACCCTCATCATCAGCCTTCAACAAGCCACCAAACTCCGCATTCACTGCATGCCCCAACGCGGCGTCACAGCCATGCGCAGCAAGCGCGCGATGCAGGCCTGTGTACGCGTAGCGGTAGATGCTGGTGCCCGTGGCGTTGTTCCCGAGCGGCGTGGGCGCGGTGCGCGCGTGCAGGGCGGCGAGCCAGGTGCCTAGCGCGGCGCCGATGGCGGGGATGTTGAGGCGGGGGGAGACGTAGGCGGCTTTGAGCGTGTTGGGGCCGCCGGCGGACAGATGCAGCGTGTGCGTTGTTGTGTCGTGGTGGTGCAGGGTTGGGAGCGTGATGCTGATGTGTGGGGCGTGGTGGGGGGTTGGTCTGGAGGCGTTAGTTGGGGTTTTGTTGTGGGGGGTTTTGGTGGGTTATGGGAGAGATTAGTTACGCAGGTTGGGTTGGTTGATGTGTTGGGCTGTTGGGATGATGTTTTTCGCTGTGTCTTTCTGGGATTGCGTGGGCTTTGCACTCCTCAATTGGTATAAAGAGAGATTTTATAAACAACAATGGCTGAAAGGAGAGACGAATGTAAACAGCTTTTAGACAGTTCAAAGCTGCTGTCAAGCTCAGACGGTATAACCACTCGACAGATGTAAAACAGATGTACCTACCCGGAAGCCATGGCCTCAGGAATCAAAGTCAGGGCGCGCGCCTCAAAGTCCACGCGGTCAACAGGGAAGAGCATCATGGTTGCATCTTTGATGTACGGCTCGGCATGTTTGATCACGCGAGACTGGCCAGAAGAAAGAGTAACGCGCCAGACAAAGTTGGCGGTGCCGCCGGAGAGCTGTTCGATGGCCGTATACTCGATGCCGGTGGACTTGAGGTAGTCTTCCAGCTGGGCGTCGGTGGTGATGCTCATTTTGTGACGGGAGTGTTTTGGCAATTAAGAAGATGAAAAGTCACTGGAGAATAAGAGAGGGGTGCAGAGGGAGGTACTCCAGGTAGAGGTCGAATATGATGTCAATGAAAACGGACCATTTCCTAAACGGACGCCGGGTAGACTTGGCGTGCGGTGTCCGGGTGTGGTGAGCACTTGCCGTTCCATTGTGAGTAGGTAAGGAACGTACGTCCAGACGATGAAACTTGCGCAATTGAAATGTGCGTGAGCACCTACAATTGCGAATGGGAATGACATGATCGAAGAGTCGAAGGTAACGCGATAGCATGTGGGGAAGTTTAGCCGAGAAACCCCGGATGTAAACAAGAAGCTTGCTGGGGACATGATCTGGGCCGATCTCTCAGACATCAACCCCCAAGATTGACTCACCGCATGCCGAGCGCCTTACTATAGTAGCTTCCGCAAGCCACAGCACGCCCGCTGACACGCCCTCACGCCCTCGTTGCTGCCGATAATGGCCGACGTCACGCCCCAATACCCGCTCTACAACTCGACATATACCGCCTACCGTCTGTCGCCCCTCTACCACGGCTCGAGAGCGCTGCTTGACGAACTATCGCTACGGACATATGCGCATCGCTTGCGGGACTTGCTGAAGGGTGACACGCTGCGCGGCGTCGACGTCGGCGGCTTCGCGGGCACCGACAATGGAAGCACCGGCGCGCTGGAGAGCTGCACCTGGGAGCTGCTAGGCGACGAGGCCAAATGGGAAGAGATGCACCAGCACGAGCAGCAGGATCGCGGCGATGATGATGACGACGCGCCCGAGGTCAGCATCGCCGAGGCGCGCGGCATCTTCGTCCAGCTCCGCTATGTAAAGACGACCTATACCGCGCTACTACTGCGCGACCCCAATGCCCAGCAGGCGCCGTCCGCAGAAGGCTTCACGTCGCTGCCGCTGCTCCTCGTGCGCATGCCCGCCGCGCTGCGCACCACCTTCACAGACTACCTCGCCACGACCTTCGACGCGCGCGTCGCGCCTTTGAAGCTGCGCTCCGCGTTCCTGTCCGCGACACTGGAGGCACTGCTCGCGCGTCTGGACGCCGACGACCGCACCTCAGGCCCCAACACGCCCCTCAAGACGCTGCAGCTGCAGCTCGCCTTTCCCTCTGTCTTTGCGCAGGGCACCGGTGCGCCGCCGCTCCGCTGCATCGACGTCAGCATATCCCGCGACGACATCTCCGAGTTCTTCGCCCGCGGCGTGCGGCTCCTCTCCGCCAACCCCTCCCTGCTCAAGCAACACCAGCAGCAGCCCACCGTCACCGGCCCCTTCACCGTAGCTCTCTCCCACTACCTAGCCAAGCACCTCGCGCTCCCGCTCTCCCACCCCGCCGTCTCCCTCTCCAAGCTCTCCCTTCCCCCGCTCCTCGCCCTCTCCACCGACGGCAAACTCAAGCTCTTCCCGCCGCTCGGCTCAGCCTTCGCCGCAGCACCCGACGACACGGCGGTAGACGAGGAGCTCGCCCTCCCCTCCGCGCACCCCCTCCGCGCCGCCCTCGCGGCCTTCTACTCCGCCCTCCTCGCCTACGCCACCACAGCCCCACTATCCAGCGGTCTCGCGCCCCCCGCTCCAGCCACAGCTCCCGCACCCCCCTTGCTCGCAAAGAAAGGGAAAGAGAAAGCAGCCACAGCAGCAGCAGCGGCGGCGGCGAAGAAAGACGCCACCGCCCCCGCCACCCTCGCCGCAGCAAAAACAGCCAAGCGCGCAGCAGCGACCGCAGACGCAGACGCGCGGCGCGCCACGTCGCCGAAGCGGAAGAAGATGGCGCCTGCAGCTCCGACGACGACGACGACGACGACGACGACGACGACGACGACGGGAGCGGAGGACGGCGTGGTGCCTGCGTCTGAGGAGAGCGTGGAGGCAAGACGGAGCGGGGATGTTGATGGTGCTGCGGACGCGGAGGCGGGCGCAGAGCAGGAGCAGGAGCGCGAGGGCGGGCGCGCCCAGAGCCATATTAGCGTGCCGGCGGATCCGCCGCCGCCGTATGAATTGCATGATCCAGCGAGGGTGAGGTAAGAGAGGGGGAGGGGTGAGGGGGCGTTTTTTTATTTTTTGCTTGGCTGTGCGCTGGGTTGGGCTGGGCTGGGCTGGGATAGGGTATGATGGGTTGGCTGGGCGTTTGGGGCATCGGGTTGCCATTTTTTGTTTTTATTTTTGGGTGGTGTATATGTATATACCCTATCGGCATGCCATGGGTGCGTGGGGGTGGAGTTCTGGGTTCTGCGGTTCTGTGGTTTTGCGGCTCTGCGGTTTGAGGCCTGAGGGTTGAGAGATGGGGTAATGCTTCGAGTGTGCTTGGTTGGTTGGTTGGTTGCTGTTGTGTTTGCTTTGCTTTGCTTACGCTGCTACCTAGGGAAGACAGGCCTAACAGACAGACAGACAGACAGACAGTCTTGCGAAAGCCAGCAGATCAAATCAATACTCTCCACGAAAGAAAGAGCACCTAACCTTACTCCCACCATACCATACCTACCTATCTACAAACACACCACCACCACCACCAACAAACAACCAAACCCGCACCAGCACCCACACCCGCATCCGGCACCCCCAGCACCAGGGCACCCGCCCATCCGGGCACCAAAGCCCAACCCCACAAATCCTGCCCCCTCGCCCAATGACAGCGCAACAGCCACCTCTTCCGCCCGACCCATCTCCGAGCCCCGCCCTTTTTGATATATCAAATCAAATCTTCATGCGCACGGCACTCCAGATGCTCGGGCCTGACGGAACCTCACTCAGCGCGCATGCATACGAAAAACGACGAATCGAACATAGGCGTTCTCCAAGCAAACAGCATGTGAAAAACCTAGGAAATGCTTTATCAACGACACAGCGCGACCAATGTTACATCGCTTCACTATTGCTTGCTTGCTCACTGCCCCACAATACGTCGTACACACATAGGTACAAACACCAAGTAAACAGCATCCGCCCACCGCCGCCGCCGCCGCGAGTAGGAAACATGATGGAAAAATGAATAATCTATTGTCGTCGAGCTCGAACCACCTCTGTCTGGTCCTACTAGAAGCTACTGTTTAAATCTCTCGTACAGCTGCTGCGCGCGCCTGGAATAATTTACAAAGCCTTGATGACCGCGTTGGCGTACTCGTGCGTCTTGGCCTTGCCGCCAAGGTCGCCCGTGATGGTCTGCGGTGCGGAAAGTTGCGTTAGCTCAATTGTGTTCGAGATTCGCAGGCGTATGCTTTGGGAGATGATGTGCGCGCAGAATTCTGCGGCGTGCGCGTCATCGCTCAGGGGGGGACTGAGGGGAAACGTACCTTGCCCTCGGACAGGACCTTGAAGATGGCGCCCTCGATCTGGGAAGCGTGCTCGTTGAGACCCATGTGCCTAAGCATCATGATGGAGGAGAGGAGCAGGGCCGTGGGGTTAGCGAGGCCCTTGCCCGCAATGTCGGGGGCGGAGCCGTGGACGGCCTCGAAGATGGAGCACTCGTCGCCAATGTTGCCAGAGGGGGTGAGACCAAGACCACCGATAAGGCCGGCGCACATGTCGGACAGAATGTCACCGTACAGGTTAGGCATGACGAGGACCTTGTCGTTGTACGGGATCGGGTCCGTGACCATCTTCAGGCACGTGTTGTCGAGCAGCTCGGCGTCGAACTCAATGTGCGGGTAGTCCTTGGCAATCTCGCGGGCGGTAGACAGGAAGAGACCGTCGGACATCTTCATGATGGTCGCCTTGTGCACGGCGCGCACCTTCTTGCGGCCAATCGACTCGGCGTGCTGGAAAGCGAAGCGCAGGACGCGCTCGCAAGCCTCGCGCGTGATCAGCTTGATGGACTGCACCACGCCGTCGACGACGACGTGCTCAATGCCCGAGTATTCACCCTCGGTGTTCTCGCGGATGAGCACCGTGTCCACGTTGTCGTAGGGGGTCTTGTAGCCCGCGATGGACTTGCAGGGACGCAGGTTGGCGAACAGGTTGAAGGTACGGCGCAGGGTCAGGTTCAGCGAGACATGGCCCTTGCCAACGGGCGTCTGTGTAGATATGCGTTAAGCGGTGCGATCTCGTGCAAATTGGGCGGGGCGTGCGAGGAAGCGTACGGCGAGCGGGCCCTTGAGGGCAACGTAGTTCTTGGTAACGCTCTCAATGGCCTCGGGAGGGATGGAGGTCTTGCCGTCGACCAGACGCGGCGTAACATCGACCGACTCCCACTTGATGGGGACCTGTCGCGGCGGTCAATTGAAGCCTATCACCGTGGTGTCGCAACAAAACAACATACGTTGGCGGCCGAGTAAATGTCCTTGACGGCCTGCGAGATCTCGGGACCGATACCATCGCCCTCGATCAGGGTGACGGTGAACTTGCCGTCGTTGCCCTTGGTGCCCTTGAACTTGGCGACCTTGTCGTCGGCGGCGACGGCATAGGTCCTGGTGAAGGCCGGGGCGAAGCGCTGGACCTTGTTGGCCTGGCGCAGGCATTGCCTTGCGGGCGCGGCGAAAGAGCGGGCAGCCAGCATGATGGAGGGCGTCGAGATTGCGGAGGAGGAAGGGATTGGGCGGGGGAGCTGCGATGTTGCACAGTATCCGGAAGCAAGAAGCTTTGCGTCGCAGCGGCCTTTCAGGCAATTAGTTCATCGCCAAGCCGGATCCAACCAGCGCGAAACTCGGCATTAACGACAACAAGGGTGCGCCATCCGCCGCTCGGCACCCGCCCGCCGCCCAAACACCTCGCTGCTGTGCGCCACCACCCCCCCGTCGTCATGGCCGAGTCCGAAAGTGCCCTGCTCGAGCACTACAACCTCAAGACTCTCTACCCCTCTGAGTGGCCCACGGAGAAGGACGAAGACGAGTCCGACGACGACATCGGTGCTCCCCCAGCTGCAGCTGCTCCTGCTCCTGCCCCACCACTGCACCGCTCCAAGTCGCATCGCTACTCGGTCCTCGAGCGCTCCGGCAGCGTGCGCAGCAGCATCCCCGGCTCCGAAAAGACCGAGGACGGTGTCGAGAACCTCGTGCAGAAGGATGAGGCCGACCCGTTGGGCAACGCTTCAAGCGTCGTGCAAGTGCTGCGCCATAGGGGTCTGGCTGTCGAAGATAACCTGAAGCTCAGTACGTCGTGACGTGTGAGAAATGTGCCTACATAGACCTGTGCCCTAATCGAGTGTTGTCAGGGAATCGCTTCCTCCTTTCCTCCACCACCTTCAACCCCGGCCTCTTCCTCTCCCAAGTTCATAGTGATGCCTCTACCGAGTCCCTCCTCCAGGGCTTGGACTTTCTGTCCCGCTCGATCGAGAAGAAATCCGCTTCCCTGAAGGTCCTTGTAGAATCAAACTTCGAACGTTTCGTCCGCGCCAAGGCTACCATTGACAATGTCTACACCGAAATGCGCGACCAGGGACGCGAGCCCGACCCGGACGGTCACCGGCGCGGGCACTCCCGCCATATGAGCAATAGACAGAGCATCCACATGCGCAAGGGCAGCTTAGCACCGCCAAGCCCTCTCCCCGTGTACAACGAGAAGAGGAAGAACGCGCTTACAAAGGAGACCGAATACGGTGTGCAAGGCATCAAGGCACCTCTGTTGGAAGTGGCAGTCAAGGCGGAGGAAGTTTGGGGGCCGGCTCTTGGTGGACGGGAAAGAGGCGAAATGCTCAAGTCTATCCTTGCGTCGGTGGAGAAGAATCGCGGTCTTTTCGAAGTAGGCGCGTCAATCCAGGATTGCATCAAAAGGAAGGACTACGACACGTTACCTGAAGAATTCGCCAAAGCACGGAGGTATGCAAATGATGCTAAGGCTATCGTTGACTCGGCCGTGGAGAGCCGCGTTGCCCTGACTGATCCTGAAATTCATCAAGTCATCGTGACCGCACGCATGTGGACGGACGTGGAAGATCAGCTTTCGAACTTCAAACGAGAGGTTTGGAAGAAGTTGACAGGAACTCATTTCACTAAACCTGCGCAGTCTGAGGATGACAAGCCAGAGCAGCACATGGAACTCATCACGATTCTGTTGGAGCTGGGAGTGGAAGACAACCCCATCTGGATCTGGTTGCTTAGTCGGTACGAATATCTCAAGAGCAAGATCACGGCCACCCTCGAACGCAGCAAGGTTGAACTGGAGATTATGCGGCGGCGCTTGGGTAACGCAGAGAAGCCGACACCGCGGCAGATTGCTCAGCATCTCAGGTCCGCGGAGAACCAGGACCGTCCAGGGCAAAACATCAAGATGGATTCAGCCAAGGTCATTGACTTCTGGGACCATGAGCTCCAGGCATTCAACACTCTGCTCTCGATCCAGGGCGGCGTTTTGGGAGAGGTCATTGAATTTTGGGAAACCGCGCAAGCTTTTATCGATGGGAACATCCAAAGAAAACTTCCCGTTGGACCCGACGGAAAGAGTAAACAACACCACCTGCTCTCTGGCTCGAATGTCCAAGAACTGCAGAACGGGGCGAATGAACTCGTTGGTCTTATCAAAGATGGCATTTCCGAGTTTTTCGTCGAACCGCCCATTGAAGATATCTCTCTGCTCTATACCCCGCTTCCACCAACCACTCCGGACACTCCGAAAACGCCAGGGTCCGCCTTACTCTCTCCTTTGCCCGACAGTCGGTTCAAATTTGACAGCCACAACCCGCCTCCATCACCGCGGAGGGGAGAATCTTGGGAGAAATATGCCTTCTGGGCGCCTTACGCAAACTCTCTTTCTGGCGTGTTTTATCTCAGCAAAATTCTTGCTCTTGTGGGCACAGCTGGCGGTGAAATTGCTGCCCTCAGTATATCCCGTACCTCCAGCCGCTCGGTTGATGAACTTAAGATGTTCATTGGCGGGGTGCGGGAGAGATGCGTGCAGGCAGTCTGCGCGGCCTGGAATGAGGATGCGGAGCATGCGAAGATGCTCGAAGACTGGACACGTGCGTCTGACAACAAGTACCTGACCAACATGCCTTTCCGTTTCATGGCCTTGGAAGGCTCTCTTTTGAGCAGCATGCAGAAAATTCTCTACTTGTCTGAAGCTGCTACCAGATCTGGCTCTGGCGAAGTCGTCGTGCCTCCCTCGAGCAAACTTTTGGCGATGGTGCGCAGTCAGTTCGTCACAAGCTTGTACAAGATATTGCAGGGCATGGTTGAGAATGTTGAGAAGCCGAAGAAGTTGGACAACACATCATGGGAGGATGATGCTGATGGGCTCACACTTCCGCTGCGTAGTTTTACAACGAGAGAGGTGGATATGCGTTCTCTTAATGCATCAGACAAGGTGCGCCAGCTATATCTTCGTTCACCACCAACGGTCTACTGACAGAATACAGAGCATACGCATCCTCATTACTCTTGCTAACCTCCAGGCTCTCCGCACCGAACTGATTCCTCAGCTCATCAACCAGTACGAGAACCATTTCAGCGTTAAGCTGCACGAAGAAGGCACCAAGATCGACGATGCGCTCGGCCAGATTTACGCTCGCCTCTTCCAGTCTTACACGCAACCCATCAGCAAAAAGCTCTCCCAAGTCATCCGTGCTGGCATCTCGAGTCCCGATTGGGAGCCTGCCACTCCGCAACCACAGGACGCCCGAGGCTACGTATACGACGTGCTGCTAGAGCTCGTTGTGGTGCACACGCAGGTGTCGACGACAGCACAGCCGCTGACATCGCAAGTGCTCAAGTACCTGTTGGAGCAGGTGAGCAAGCACCTGATCGAGACGTTCAAGGCGCGCCCGCGGTACAACCTCCCCGCGCTCGTGCAAGCGACCCTGGACGTCGAGTTCCTGGCCCAGACACTCGGCAACTATACTACGGACAAGACGAGCGAGATCCAGAGCTCGATCTATTTGGCTTTGGATGAGCGCACGGACAATGACGCCAGGGTCAGGCTTCAGTCGGAGCTGTCTGAGCTGAGAGTCATCTTGAAGAAGCTGCGGGAGGCGACGAAGAGTGAATTGTAAGTAAACCATCCTTGTGTAAGAGGCGATGGATGTTGTGCTAATGCTTGCGGGTGCAGTGCGTGCTTCAAGAGGCCTAGGAGCCATACCAAGTCGACGGATCGGCGCAGTGTAGAGTGAATGAGGTTGGTGAATTTTGTTTAGATAATAGCTATGATGAATTTAGTGATTGCTTGTTCGTACTCTGTGACTGTCATATTCATATATATATAATGTACGCATCTTTGGGTGAGTGAGACAAGTCTTTGTCCAGCTGAGACAGTCCTTGTGCAGTCTTTATAAGAACCTGTTGCCTCGCCACTTTCAACTTCCAGCACCTTCTTCCATTCTGTCTTTTCCTCCCCATCGGTGGACAGCTGCTTCGTGGCGTCCATCATCCACGATGGATGCTAAGGCGTGGCAAGTCGTTCCCGCTTTGCACTCGTCGTGGAAAGGCTTCGAGTGGCCACTCGTTAAGCGCATTTTCGAGACATGGCGTCGCATTTCCATGAATGCCGTAGAGCTTGGACTTGTTCCCGCTATGGACCTCAACGAATGCCAGTGCATTTCCTACGAAAAGCTTGATGAGACCAAGCACAAAGTGGTAGGTTTGATTGCGTCAAATTTCTGACAAAATTACTAACACTTGCCAGGCCCAGTTTCTTGTCAGAGTCTTAGGCAGCAACCCTTACACAGACGACTGGTTTTGCGATGTCGCTTGGATGAAGTATGAGACGACCAATTACTGGGGTGTCCAGTTGCGTGTTTGGTTCACATCGGATGAAGCGTTGAAGATGACCACAAGGTAAGAACTTCAACCATATACTTGCCTCTCCACCTCTAGCATGACTGACCTGATTTTTAGCTCTATCCCCGAGGACTTTGGCTCGGCTTTTGAGTCGTCTATTGCTTCCAAAACTTCGATGGACACGACCTACAGAAACTCTGATGCGCAAGACACAATGTCACTCCAGGAGCGGAACGAGCTTATCGACCTCGCCGGTTTGCACGGCTTGATATCGTTCCGGCGTCCTCACTCCGGCAAGAACTCTGGCACCAAGGTCTCCGAGAAGTGCTCGACTAGAAGCACCAGCAAAGCCGACGGCGCCAAAGACTCTAAGGATGCCACAAAGCCCAAAGAAGTCTCGACGGAAAATAGCAAAGGCACCAATGTTGGAAGCAAGAGAAAGTCAGCGGACGCGGTTCAGCGCCCAGCCAAGCGAATCAAATCACAGAAACCGACGCCGCAACCTCGTCCTCAGAGCGCTCGAGTCGACAAGCAAACTTCTGCTCACTCACGCAAACAGTACCAGGCTTATGCGGAGTCTGACGATGACTCCGAGACCGGAAATCCAGACATCAAGCCCGAGCCTGATAGTCAACCATCCAGTCCGCATGCTAGCAACAGGTCAGCAGTGAAGAAGGTCAAGGGAAAGGTCGTCGAACCTGTGATTGCGGGCAAGGACATGGTTAACCGGAATCTCGAAGAACCTGTCGAGAAGTTGGAGGCGGAGAATGCAAGACTCAAGTCTTTGTTGCGCAAGTGATGGACTGATTGTTCAAAGCTCTACAGAGCTATTCTTGCGTAATATGGCGATGGAACATGCATGGATCAAGATTGGCAATTGGTTCTGGTTCTTCCCTTGCACTGAAGTTGTCCTCTTGTTCCCCTTTCGGGTCAGTGGCCCTTCTGACACCAAAGACTTCCTTTGCTTGCTTTCATTTCTAGAGACACACAAAGGCCTAGTTGGCAGCTTTCTTTGGTACAAATGGAACAAGGTCGACGATTCTTCTAATTTGCCGGGGATGCTCAACGCGATGGTGATTTGAGTTTCTTAAGACCAAGCAGTACTGTTTCAAACAGTGCCATGTGCAACTAAACAAGAGACTATCTGAATCTCAACAGGATGACTTGGAAGTCTTTTGAGGGCTGACCTTAAAAGCAGTTGATGTGAGTTCTGCCCGGTTCTACGTCCACAGTTTACTTGCCAGCCCCCCACGCCGCCAACCTCTCTCTAAAACCATACCACTTCTCTCCCCTTCATCAAACCTCACCTTCTAGCCAGCTTTCCCAACCATTCCACAGCCATGGCTCCAGCAAGTCCGCTCAAGGTGGGCCTCCTAGTGGCCCGCATCCACCAGTCATGGGAGCAAGACACTCTCGTCGAATGTATCTTCCACCTCTGGCAACGACTCTCAGCCAAATTCCAAGAAACCGGCCTCATCTCCGAAGAAAACGCCATCAAGAGCAACCTCACCACCAGCGACCAACATCTCCTCCTCAAGCAAGCCTTCGTAAGCCAGCCACGAACCTCATCCTCACCTCATCCACTGACAAATCAACCCCAGGCCTCAACCGCCCTCACGTTCATCGGCCGCCACCCGTCGTCCCATCAAAGCGCCTACGGCGTATGGATCAAGCCACACCACGCCAACCCACACAAATGGAGAGTCGAGCTCCAGCTGGTCTCACCAACGAAATCAGTCCAGCGCGAGTCCGTCGCAGACAAAGCAGGCAAGACAGTATTCCTCTCTGCTTTTCACCCCCGCCGCGCTCATGAGCCTGGCTGGTACTGCCCTATCCTTGACGAGTATGTCAGCCCGAGCGCGAAAGAGTGCGCAGAGCTCGCGGAGCTCAGCGGCCTGACGCAGATCGAGCTGGGTGGGATTGTTAACAGTATGAATGTCCGGGCCAGAAATAACGATGTCAAGAGGGTCGCGGTGACTAAGAAGCGCAAGTTCGTGTCGGAGACTGAAGAGTTGGGTGGTAAGGCTGGCCGCGCCGGGGCGGGTAGAGTGGTTGAGCGGGAGCGCGTGGTTAGAGAATGTCATCCGAGGGTTAAGAGGCGCAGGTTTGTGAGGGGTTGCAGGGTGGGTGGTGCTGGTACTGGAAGCGGCGAAGAGGCTATGGGAATTAAAGGTTGAGGAGTTAGATGAGAAGTAGGTTTGATGATGGGTGGGAATGGAATCTTCGACGCGCGGAACCTGGCAGAAGTGTCGGTGTCGAAAGGCGGGGGATGAAGGGTGTGTCATTAGACTTGCTGCATGTCGGGGAGTGCAAGTCTTTTCAAGCCTCATGGTAGAGTGGGCTCTTCGGTGTCGCCTTGCTACCCTCCGCGAAGTGGGAGATACTCCAAAGCCGGTTCATGTTCATGGAATTAGTTAACAACCGTCCATGCAAGTACAAATGAGAATCTCTTATTGGTTGGAACACCTCTTTTTCTGGTCGAATAGCGCCCGGTGAACTGAGCCAAAAATCGCAAGATAAACTTTGTAGCGTTGATATGATTTCTCTGCACATGAATGCCGGGTAGCGACAAAGTGAGAAAAGGAGACGTTCTAGAGTACACAATGAAAGCGTCATCAGCAGGCTGAAGTGCTTTCTTTTTAGACAGTTCTAATGCGCTACTTCTACTGGCTACCGTCTAGGTGGTAGTCACTGCGATGACAAAGAAGTATTGTTGCAGTGATGGTTAGGGAAACTGATGCAAGTTGTCGATGTTTTGTAGAGCTAAGTTTCCGTGCTTTCTTTCTCTTCTTTTTAACTGCTTGGGTGCCAATAAAGAAGTATTTATTATCCATTTGAGTCCTGGTCAGCTAACGATCGATGACTCAGAGCTGCTTGCCCCCTTCTTAGTATACTTCGTGCGGCATGGCATGCATTGGCAAATAGAGTCAACCACGGTTGAGCTGCCTGAGCCCAGGACCGTTAGTACAGCTTAACTAGCATGATGGAAGCCGCCACGTATGCGTGAAAGTAATCCCCGGAACTCTGAATAAGCTGTTGTCGCTGGCCTTGAGCTCGTCGGATGCCGTCTCTCATCCATGGAAGACCTTTCAACCCCGGAAAGTTGGAAAGCCAAGTCGCACACAAAGAAGCAAACAACAATTATGTACATAGCAAACCATTGAAATGTCCGTAAAAGGCCACTAGGTACCATTCAATTAGTATGACAATCCGATTTATCATATTCAATTCAACGCAACCACGCATGCTGACCTTCTTATCAACGCAAACCTTTTCGCCCAAGCCTCGCGTTATGACGGTTACCATGTAGGTAGTGGAGCGCTTTGCCTATTTTGCACCCAGGTGACGTCGCAGGTCTTGGGTTTGTCGCAGGCCGTTTCCCAACCAATATATTACAACCCTGGACGCCTCTGCGAGGGCAACGCAACAACGCCTGCTTAACCTCTTTTCCAAATCATATTCTTCCGCGCACACATCGCATCACGGCGGTATTCGAGGCAGTGAATTGTTTCGCTAGGCCTTGCTAGCCATCACCAAGCACGGGAGCGGCCGCCGCGGACTGCTTTCCGGCCCGCTGCAGTGGACACAAACACTCTGACCAGCTTCCAACAGCACCAACTTGGACCGCTACTTGAGATTCCTCACCCTAACCTTTTTAAAGCCGGCAACCCCAGTGGGTTTCATCTAATCGGTTCGACAACTTTTGCTTGCAAGATGGCTGAGTCTAGCACTTCTGATCCGTATGACCCGGCCGAACATTCAGAGACTGGACCTAATCCCGACGACAGAATTTCGGCACCTGATGAGATGCATAGTTCCACAGATACTCAAACCGCACTAACAGTACAACCAAAAATGTTCGAGCAGTCTCGTGTAGGTTTGGATATTGAAATGAATTACCTTTGGAATCGCCTCAAGAACATTATCATTACGAAGGGCATTTTGAATGCGGAAGAGGTCACTGGAAATCAATACGACAAGAAAGAACGAATTCCTGAAGGGCTCCATGCCTCATGGTCTCCAGAGTTGATATCCCAAAGGGTCAAATGGGTGAGTATGGCTGATGGTCTTTGATAAAAAGAACAACACGAAGCTGATCATTTTACGTCTTCATTTTAGCGTATGCGAACGATAACATGGTCTAAGTTTTATCCATTTAGATCAGAAGAGGACTGGCTAGTTCGAGTAGATCACTTCTACTACCAAGGATGGTATGTAACTTATCAATTGGGAATTCCTGAGGCTAACAACAAGACAGTTCGGCTGATCATGAGTTAATCGTGCTATTCGCCGTGAAGAAGAATGTCATAAAATTCTACCAATACGACATGAAAGCTTCCCAAATTACTGAGGTTAATTAGACCCACGGGTATGTCAATATGATCATACAAAACCTTGCTCGAGTACCTATGCAAGTTACAACCAGCCCCGAAAATGTTGCCATGGTTTTCAATTCAGACCTTGAATATATCGAGTGGGCGAAAACGATGCTTATCAAAACCAGAAAGAATGACTCCGAGTCAGACCAGTCAGATATATGTGTTCTCGGCAATTTTCTCAGAGGAATCTCCCTCGGATATATCAACGACCAGGTACCTGGTAAGAGCACATACCCTGTTTTGGACCATTCCGAGGATAGATGAAGGGGCTCTGAAGCTCTACAAGACGCAGTTCACATTAATGATCAGCAAACCTCTTCAAGGCCTGAGGACACAGCACCTGCCGTAGCCAGAGATAAGAGCGACTTATCAAACGAGATTTCCGGATCTCAGGATGTGCCTGTGTCTCCGTCGTCAAAGGAGCAAAAGTCATCTGAGAGACAACTTCATTCTGAGTGGCAGACTCCGCCTGAGGAACAGCTTCCCCCGCCACCACCTAGTCCAGCAAGCAGGAAAAGGACGCACCACTAAAGCACTCCCAGCCTGAGAACATTAAGTCGGGAAACCAGAATGACAGAGCATATGACATCAAGTCCAGCAAGAATTCTCAGTATTATTTGGGCCACGACCCTTCTGACGATGAGTCTGAATATGGAAATCCAGAACTGAAAATGGAGGAGAAAAAACTGGATAACGAAAGAGTCATCAACGGCAACACTGATCATCGGTCCAGAAGCACAGCCTCGGAGAATCCTAGCACTGGAGAGAAGTTCAGTTTCAGTCATAGTACGGATGAGCTCAAAGATACCAAACTCAGGATCAGAAGCTTTGAAGCGACCATTCGTGTCCAACGTCATAGCATCGCTGACTCTGAAGAAATAGAGCATACCAAGGACTCCATAGTCCTCATGCTCACTGAAGAGGCTGCAACCCTTAGAGGTAACTCTAGGAAACTTGAAAAAGAAACTACAACCCTTAGAGAGAACTCTAGGAAGCTCGGAGAAGAGTTTGAGGACCTTAGGGGGAAGAAGCGGCTTTTGGAGGATGAATGCGCAGAGCTCCGTCGTGCAAAGAGGCGTCATTCCTGAGTGCCTCCTGGGAATGCCTTGAAATCAAGTAAAGCCTACAGATAAGCTTTCTCACGCAGGAAACTACTAGTCGAAAGAAATTGAAATGAAGATCGGAGGTGTTGTGTAAGCTGATCACTATGTAGACTTGGAAAGGGAATCGCCAGATTGACGGCATGGATTTCTTTTTGGTATTCTCTACCTTAATGCATAGCTTTCCTTCCCAGGCATTTGGCGAGCCTCAGAGGCTGAACTAAAACTTCCTACAAAAGTGCCAAGCGAATGTGTCAGTGATATTTGGAGTATTGCAATTTGTGGTCTCAGTACTGGCTTTGTTGGATTGTCGGGCATGCGCATAGCTCACACGCAGCCTTGCGTAGCTTGGAGGCGGTACTTAGCCCGAGCACCTTCTTGAACAGTTCTCGCTCTTTCCTGTCTGGTTGCTTAACAGAAGCCTTTCCCAAAACGGCTAGCTCCGGGCCCAGGTGTCGGCGCGGGTCTTGAGTCCTTCGCCGACCGTCTTACACCCAACACCTTTCAACTTCGGACACCGTTGCAAGGTCACCACGAACTTCTTGTCAGCGGCGCAGCACTTCTTCGTCAGTCTCGCGCTAACGCGCTCACCGAGGCAGTGACGCGTCTCGCCGAATCTTCTTCATCGTTGCCAGGTTTCACCCGAACAGTTCTCGCGTGCTGCTTCCTAGACCGCGCACCGCTTTCTAGACACCACACTACTTCCTGAGCTACGCTGCTGCAGGACTAAAGGTCTTCCTTTGCTCTCAACTACACCAGCTTAGACACGGGATCATCAGTCACTCAACCTGTCGACACCGGCATTCTAAATGGAATTCAACTAGCCGATTTGCCAGCACTGTCTCACAAGATGTCTCATCCTGGCGCATCGGCTTCGGTCGAGCCTGCCTCTGGCCCTCCCACTAGTCCACTTGTCATAAATTTGCCGGCGCATGCGACTGAGATACACCCTTTCTTCGATTTGTGGGATAAAGACAAATCCACGCTTTGCGAATGGCGTTTCACATGGGAACAGGAATCCCTTGATCGTATGGCAAAAGTCTGGGAGGATATCAAGGAAGCTGCTGTTAAAGAAGGCCTCATTGATGCAACGGAGCTTACGACATATGCCTATGGCAAGCATGAAGAAGTACCAGAACAATTACAGGGATACTGGCCTACTCAGATGGCAGTCCAACTGATAGTATGGGTGAGTGCGACGATGTACGGGAAACCCTGCATAAATTAGCTAACCTTTTGTTCCCTCTAGGAGTTTACAGTGGCTGGAAAACAGCGACTTTTCGCCTGGTTCAAGTGTTACCCTTTAAGGGTCTCAAGAGAATGGTGGAGAGTTCGCTTCGATAACTTCATTGAGTTTGAAGAGTCCGCAGAGGGACCGTAAGGATATCCATCAACTCATGTTCGTACACAACTGACAATGAAACAGGTCCTTACTCGCAGAACGCACAATGTTCGTAATGAGAAATGCAGACAACGAGCATGTTGCAGACTTTTTCACATTCGATTCAGCTACGGGTACCATTATCGAAGCCCCGGAAGACGACAAGTATGCGGCTAAAATCTACCTCGACCTTGAAAGCCGCCACCGTAAGCGTAATTCCGATTTTGGATGCATACGTGTCCGTTCAGACCATGAGATTATCGACCGGGAGAAGAGGATGCTTGCTATGCAAAAGAGGAGACAAGAGTTAACCGACCAAGAAAGTGAAGACGAAGATGAATTTTTCACTAATGACTCTGAAACGGAAAGCTCGACAGCTTCAATTGACGACCGCCTTAAGTTCACGTCCAGTGGCCATCCTATTCTCTTTTATGATTCTTCAGATTTATCCAGAAAAAACCACATCTTGTATGGTTCTCAAGATCCATCTGAGGACAAGGACCTTGAAGGTTTCGTAGTGCCGGATACTCCCTCGACATCATCTGACGAATCCTCGACATTATCTGACGGATCCTCGCGATCTGAAACCGAAGTCGGAGACTCGGTGTCTGAAAGCAAAGAATCTTTGGAGGCTTCAGAGTCCTTTTCGGGATGCTCTTCAGAAGCCGACGAGCCAATGTTCCGGGATCCCTCAATCGATCGGACTGAAACTTCGTCTGAAGTCGAATCGACTTATGATCTTTTTGGGGCAACTTATGAGCTCTATCGGGCGCTTTTGTGGATGCGTTGCCAGCCCGTAAAAGCCAGAGCCGGAGAAGACGCAGATGCAAAGTCGGCAGAACTGGAGAAACGTGTGCTCGAATTGGTTTCCAGAATCGACCCTTCCAAAGTCCATAACGGATCAATGCCGATACCGCTGCTGCCTTCGAGCGAAGGGAACCCGGAACTCAAAATGGAAGAGTTAGGGCCGAACAACGTGGAATCCACCAGAGAATATATCGATCACCGACTCAGAAGCACGACTCCTGAACCTCCAGATGTTGCTGGGGACAGCAACGACGAACTCCGCAACACAATCAAGGGATTGGAAGCGACCGTCCGCCTTCAGGGTGCTAGGATTGTAGAGCTTGAGAAAGAAAACATGAAGTTGCGAAAGAAGCACATGCTGGAGGATGAGACTGATGAGGCCCGTCGCGTCAAGAGTCGTCATTCTTGAAAGATTTCCCGAAGTGCTCTGGTTTCAACTAGTGTTTTCTGGCGTCATGCTTAACAAAAGCAGGAAGCCACTGTACGATAGAACATGAAAAAGGTATAGCTATCCTGGCAAGTTGCTCACTACACGAGCCATGCAAAGGGAATTGCTGGACGGCGGACAGCACGGTTATTTTCTTTTGTTTCTCAGCTGCTTGCTTTGCTTAACTCATAAAACTCTTTTCCATATATTTAGCTATCCCTGTAGCTCAGGCTGAGCTTAGAGCTTTCCTGCAGGTACTACTAAAAAATTCTACGGATTTCATTATACGACTGGGTTGTGGGAGATGGAATCGTGGATGTTGATGTTGACCACTTTGCCCACAAACTCTATGGCTTCCAACTTCTTCGCTCTCTACTCTCTAGCCAGCAATGTAACTTTTGACCTTTTACCCACTTGAGCCTCGCGGGAACAATGTGGCTGGGAGTAGCGATGTGTATGTCGGAAATGGAAAACTGCAAAAGTATCAAGCCGGAGCTTCAGGAGGCCACCGCTCACGACCCCGTTGCCATGCATGACAAAGTATTACCGGTCTTCAGCAGTTGCGATATAAAATGACTTTCCATGAGGAACTAAGAGAGGCCCGGATAAGGCAAAGGCTCAAAGCCACCCAATGGACCTTGCAGTCTGAGTTGTCAGAGTTGATCTTCGAGGAAGGACCTGGATGCAGTCTGCAAGAAATTCTACCCTAACGATCTCCTAGTTCGTCATGTCTCCGGCAACATCGAGTAGCGTCTGTTCAGCGAGGGATTGACCCAGAGCGCTCAGGCCTACATTGCCTCGCATCCTAAGTGTGTGGCCTTGATCTACAAGAAACACATTCAACGATGAGGTGGTCGAGGAGAAGCCAAAGCCCAAAATAAGTATGAGTGAGCAGTCGTATGGGGAGGCGGGCGCTCAGTGATGTCTGCTTTTTTACGCACGTCGATGCAGGGCCTTCTGCTGTTGCTTGCTAGCGACACTGCGCAGTGTTTGGACATGGGCGGCAGTTAGCGAATGACAGCAAAATCGCCGCGAGTCTACAGTGAAGCTCCCACGGTCCCACCTGATTCACCGAAAAAGCACTGACACGCCACAACACAACTCATTCACCCACTCACACAACGTTATGTTTAATAAGAAAGGAAAAAAGAAAGAGGAAGTATCGAACCCGTCTCCGAAGAGACCTTCCCAAACGGGATACCTAGTGATCTATGGTTGGTGGCCGGCCGCACAGTAGACCACTAGGCCAGGGTAGTATGGCCATTTACCCCGTAGAGTCCGATGATTAGGAATTGGGTTCCCTCTAATATATAGTTGAGCACTATGGCTGCAGTGTGTGCTTGAAATAGTACATGTTACAAGCTACATGCTACAAGATTTGGAGCATTTGGAGAACTTACGTATTTGAATAAGTTTAGTACACATAATTAGCTTTGATATGCATGACTATGAACCCGTCCTCATCCAACTGCGGGGTTATCCCATTTGTCGCTTCAAATGCCTCCTTATACTTACGAAAGTGAAACTTTTACGAGCCCGTACATCTCGACAATGCGTCTGATTCAGCACGTCATTGTCACAAGCCACAGCACCGGCTACAGCTACACAATAGGGCCTGACCGTTGGTAGTGGAGTCTGCACTTCTATAATACCATACCATCATAGGTATATAACTTGCTTTCATACCTATCTACATGTAGGGTTAAATGGACATAGACAGGGTAGACAAATCATCCGGAGCCAAAATCGTTTGTAGGTCACCGTGTGATACATTCCATGTTTCCATGAACCATCTTGGGGCCTTGTGATAAATAAGCAAAAACATGAGTTTGATCTCTTTGTCGCGCGTGGCAATTGTCTTTTCCAACCGCATTTGCGATTCATTGTAGTTTGCGCTTGATGTTTGCCCGCCTAGCCGCATCAGTGTTTCACTATATAAGCCACAAAGCAGCACCACTTAACTGAAGTGCAGAAGTGCAGCTTTCAGTTTGCACTTCACGGCGCCACACTGTTTGTACTTAAATATTCTTTTTCTTTCTCGCCATTATGAGAACCAACAACCACGCCTTCCAACGCGCAAGCATTTCTTCCACCGATCATACCGACAACTTTTCGCAATCATGTCTGGGCATCAATTGCGCGCGGCCAAAGAGGCTTGGACATCCCCTCAAAAGGTTACGAACAATCGCGACAACGCGAAGTTCTTAAAAATCTATAAATCAGCAGTAAAGGCTGCGGTACGCAGCGACCTTGAGATACCAAAAGACTCAAGTCAGCCCAAGGAGTTCTCCAGAAGGAGATATGTATGTTAGAAGCTTACCTGGCATTTTGTGGAATCCACCGTGGCTAACGTTCTGTACAGATGAGAGTGGAAAGATCAGGCAGCCAGGAGAAGGAGATTGCCTCGTGGTTCAGCTGTCAGCGGGACCTGAAAGATGAGTCCAGCGGTTTTTGGAAAGTCCGTTTGGATGTATTCGCCATCACCGATGTCGAAGGAAGGTAAGCTGATCATGAAGCCGTCCCGTCTGTTGCTCTTCTGTACCTGGCATGATACAGGGCTACCGCGAATATGGAGGTCTTCCTCACCGTGAGGTGGACCAAGATCCTAAAAACGAAGATGAGGTCGACAAACTTCTACGCCTACGACCAGACTCAGGATGCCATCAACGAGGTTAGGGAGCCAAAAGGCTACTCATTGCTTGGCTTGGTCTCCGAGCACATCAAGAAGTGCGACGAAGACCTCTTCTGTCCCTTCCCCACCGAGTGGAAGTGGAGCAAGGACCTCGTTGGTGGCAGTGGATCACCAACTCCCAGCCAGGAACCGACTCGGAGCCAAGCACCATCTCGGAAGAGACCCGCAACGGCCGATGATCAGGCCAGTCACAAAAGGCGGAAGACGATGTCGAAGCAAGCATGCGACGACCCCGATTCGTCCGGTGACGACTCGGAATATGGCGATCCGACGTTGAAGGTAGAAGCTTTCGACAACGACACATCCACTACCACCACTACCACCACCAACAGTGCATCCGGGGGCACCCCAAGACCCTCGTCATCAAGCAGAAACCATAAGGGCCCTGGGCGTACTGGTGCGGTACCCGGAAATATGGATGGAGCTCACGGCGAACGGGCGAATGCCAGAGACAGCTTCATTCGCCAACTTCTGGCCGAACAGGAGGCTTGGAAGGCCGAGAAGAAGGGCTGGGAGAAGAAAGCGCAAGATTGGAAGGCGGAAAAAGAGAGTCTGGAGGCTCAGAAAAGGGACGTGGAGAACGAAAAAGAACATTTGGAAGAGAAGAACGCACGTCTCGAGGAGAAGTGCGTGCGTCTGGAAGAGAAAGGCGTGAATCTTGAAGAAAAGAACGCACGCTTAAAGGAAGAGAACGAGCGTCTGGTGGAGGAGGATGAGCGTTCGAAGACCATCCACAGAGCTCTGACGAACGAGCTTATGGCCACGAACAAAAAACTCCATGAGGCCAAAGAAAGGAAGAACTCTGTGGGCTAGTGTGGGCAGAAGGGAGGCGATCAAGAAATCCGCATCTGTGTCTTACATTGACTTGGATTTCCAGAGCGTTGGAAAGTCGGGTAGCGAATTTGGCGAATGGGTGATGCTAGGTAGTTTGACAAAAGTTCTTTTCTTGATGCCTTTAGGCAGGATACTTCAGAATGATACAGAAGACCTCCAGAAATTAGATGGTGTGCGGGTGCTTGGGTTCTTGACAAACTTACGTCATTCAGCAGAAAGTGAAAGAAGCGGACGGCTTACCTAGATCACCGTCCTTCCTCAACCATCTTTCCAACACAACGACCAACACCGCTCTCCAACCTATAACGCTCCAGCCTCAACAAGCAATTACCTCTCCTGGTTGAGCCCGTTACCAAGCTGCCATGGAGGGGTGGACAGACCCTAAGGACGTCACGAACGATCGTGACTATGTCGAAATCTTGGAGATTTGGGAAGCTTGCTTAGAGGCTGCGGTCCACCACGGTATTTTCATCCCACCTCAATTCAGGAAGCTCGTAGATCTTTCTAAAAGAAAGCTTGTAAGTGAGAACGTATTCATAGCTCTGTATACCTCACCGAAGCTAACCTTATCGCAAAGTTAAGAGGCGAGACCCACGACGAAGCTCAGGCCGAAAAGCTGGCCTCATGGTTCACCTGTCACAGCGCTTCGCTGGATATAACACATTCCAACTGGAAAGTGCGCGTCGATGTCTTCATCATAAAAGACCACAACGGAAGGTAATGCTCGTCCGAAACCATCCATTTGTCGTCAAGGACCTCAGTTAACTTACAAGACATAGGCATAGGAAAGAGATCTTCCTCATTGTAAGATGCCCTTTCCCAAACAAAGCCTATCATTGGTCCCTCGACTATTTTACATGGGATCCAACACTCGGAACCATTGACGACGTTGCTCAGAATGGATCCGAATTGGTTGAGTTGGTCTCGAACGACGTCGAAAGTTTTGGTGGCCAGCTAATTGATGCATACTCCAAGAACGGGAGAAAACTATTTGACAGCAATGGGCCGCCCTCATTGAGCCAAGCGCCACGGAGCAACGCGAAGAAGATGTTCGACCGAGCCGATAGAAAGAGAAGAAGGATCATCGAAGAGGAATCTTCCGAAGACTCTGAGATGCATGACTATTCTGGAGACGATTCAGAATATGGGAACTCTGACCTGAAGCCAGAAAACCTCATGGAAACTCCGGAACCTTTATTCTCAGACGATATCCACCAAGACCATGAACAGGCTTATGCAGTACCAAGGGATGCTGATCAAGCTTTCCGAGAGCTGAAAGAAGCAAGGCAGAAGATTAGGATGTTGGAAGCCGAGAAGGACACTATGGAGACAGAGCAGAAGAGTTTGAAGACCGTAAATGAGATGCTGTCAGGAAACATTAGGGAGCTGGAAAAGAGACTTTATGAAGCTGACAGCAAAAGATGCACTCACTAGCCGAAAGTTGACAAGAGACAAGCACTAGCAAATCCGAATGTCGAGTCTCCGGTAGGCATCGTGTTGGATCCTCAAAGCTTTGGATGTGCTTGTAGATGATCTGGCGAATGGGAGATCATGAGATGCTGGGTAGTTCGACAAAAGCCTTTTTGTTAAAACCTTTTGGCAGCATACTTCTGAAGGCACGTAGTTTAGCAGACTCTGAATTGATGTGAACCACAGAAGCAAACAACTTATACATTGTAAAATACGGCGGGACATCATACAGAAATACATTGAAGAGTGAGCTGTAACCATCAAAGGTAGGCGCTGGAAAGCTCCAGTGTGTGAAAGGGCCTACTTGCTTTCTCTGAGCTAGGATACCGGAGGTCGGTTGTTCCTGCCTTGTTTGTTGAAGCTGCGGAAGATACCTCTTTCACCTCTTTACCTACGTGTCTCGCAGCTTCCTGAAGCCTCTTAACACCACACACACCAACGCAGTTACGTCATCATCTGAAACAGACTGAACAGACCTACTGAAGCAGCAGATGTCTATCTTGCTTCTGCACTTCGCGACCTTGCACCATCCATCCCCAACCAACTTTACAGCACAACCGCCAACAACGCCCTCCAAACCTCAACAAGCAAACGCCTCTCTTGGCTCGACGCATTGTCGCTCGCAGTCATGGAGAGAATAACATGGGACTGGGGGGAAGCATCGATCGACAATGAGCCGTACGACGCTGATGAACTTCGCACGTATTGGGGAGCAGCGTTAGTAGCGGCAGAGAGGCATGGTTATACGGTCCACCAACGATATATGGAGCGGCCCAGAATCCTCCGGAAATCACTGGTAAGCAAAGAAATAATTTAATACTCATCACCTGACGGGGCTGAATATAGCTAACATAATGTGAAGTTCAAGGATGTCGGACACAAAGCGAAAAAGTTTGCCTCATGGATAAGCTTTTACAGTGAGCCTGAAAATGAAAGGCTACGGAAGACAGAGCATCGATGGAAATTCCGTTTGGATGTTTTCGTTCCATGCGGCGTGGATGGGCCATTGTAAGCTCTATTTCCCCTTCAGAAGCTTCCGAAATACTAACACCATATAACTCAAAGAACCGAAGAGCAGTTAATTCTCGTTGTGAGGATTGACAACCTTGATGCACCGGAGTTCTACACTTTTGACTCAGTAGTCAACACCATCACAGATGTTAGCTATAGTCGGCCACTATTGGTCAACGTGGTTCGGGAACACGCCAAGCGTTTAACTTCATTCCCTCACAAATGGCCCTATCACCTTATTACTGAGGATCGGCGATTTATGTTTTCCAGTACCAAGCTAATGGCTCCCAATCCGCATAGCCCTGCTAGACCATCTGCCTCGGAACAAAGATCACCCCGGAGCAACACAGCAAAAACCCGTAACCAAGGGCAGAAAAAGAGAAAGATCACAGTAGTGGAAGACTCATCGGATGATGACTCCGAGTATGGGAATCCTGCACTGAAGCCGGAAAACCTCAACTTCGAGATTACGTCTGCCGCTGCAGATACTACTGTCAACAACATCTCGCAACCCTCTACGCCAAATGGTCAAGTCGGAATTTGTACCAGTACAGACCTGAGCGCCAATCCGACCGCCAACCTGACTTTGGACACTCCACAGCCCTACACTCCAAGTGGACGCGTCACTGCCACTACTTCGCGGCCTTCAAGGTCGAACAATATTCGTCATTTAGACAGAGAAAGCCTCGAATTGGAGAGTGCCAGAAAGAGAATCAAAACTTTAGAGGCTACTAACAAGGGTCTAGAGGTCTCTAAGAATGGTCTGGAGGCTTCAAGTAAGGGCCTGAAGGCTACAAACAAGGAGCTTGGAGTGAAAAACAAGGACCTAGAGACTTCGAACAAAGCCCTGGGGGCTTCGGCCAAGATCTTGGATGCTTCGAACAAGACCCTGGAGGCTTCGAACAAGGAGTTGCAGGCTGAGAAAAAGAGTTTAGGGGAGTCGAAAAAGGATTTGGTGGCTGAGAATAAGAGCTTGGAGTCTTTGAACAAGTGTTTTGAGGCTAAGAGCAACGGACTTGAGGATTCGATCAAGAGATTGGAGGATGAGAACAAGGGTTTGAAGGCTTCATACAAGAGCTTGGAGGCTTCAAACAAGGGTTTGGAGGCAGTCAACAGGATCCTGGTGTTGAATATCGTAGAGCTTCAGGAAAAGCTCAAGGATGCAGATGACAGGGTACAGGAACTAACCAGACGGTAAATTGGACATGGGTACTTACAGATTGCAATCGAGGTACAGTTCAAATACAAGCAGGTATTCCAAACGTTGCGTTACATTATGTGAAGTATGCAAGAGCGAGCCATGAATTACCTATTTGTGTAGAACATGTTAGCCAGTGTGGAGATTGCGTAGGAGGAACAAATAAGAGGTGTTTGTATAAGACAAACAAGAGGTGCTCCTATAAGCAAACGAAATTCGCCTAGAAAAGGAGCCTCTAGCTCTAGTGTAAAATAGATATGCAGAATATATTCCTTCTCCACTCCATACGGGTTAATTTCAACAACCAATGATATCCTTGCTTTCAGGGCGGCAGAAATGTCCTCTAAGCTCAAGCAGCACAACAACATTAAAGTAAACAACTGAACAACCGAACATACCGAACCTTACGACCTCACCGAAAGCAATGGCGCCTAAAAGCAGAACCCTCAGGCCCTTAGCACTCTTCCCGCAACAACCTCGCAACGATGGAAGAATGGCGCACAGAACACGTGCGCCCGCACGACCGCGAGGCGGTCGCCGAGCTGTGGAAGGCCGCTCTGCCGGCCACGCGGGCCCACGGCTTTACAGTTCCGCAGCGATTCATGGAGGTGGCGCACCTGGTCGTGAGGGCGCAGGTATGCACATCATCAGCATATACTAATGGCGTTGAACGTCGCTAACGTACCGTGAAGTACAAAGCGGGCGGCCGCAGAGAGGAAAAGGTCGCGGCGTGGACCACCGCGTACAGCGTCCCGGAGGACAGGGCGCAGCGCTTCACGCCGAAGCGGTGGAAGTTCCGGATGGACGTTTTCGAGGAGATCGGCGGGGATGGCGAGGCGTGAGTTCTTGTTCCCTGCCTACTCACAACCCCTTACAACCCTCCACACGGTTGCTGATGGACGCTACTCCCCAGTGCCAGACGAAACGTCTTCCTCGTCGCGAAGCGCCGTGCCCCGGGCAGCGAAGACACCTGGTCCCCCGCGTACTTCGGCTTCGATCCCGCGCGTAACACCCTCGCCGCCGTCGACGAGAATGCAGACCCGCTGGCGAAGAAGATCGCGCAGGAGGTGGAGGCGTGCCAGCGTCAGCGTATTGCTGCTGCTGCTGCTGCTGCGGGTCCGAATAAGCGGCAGAAGATGCCCGGTGGTGGTGGACGGGCTGCTGCTTCGAAACAAGCTTCGGCTCCGAGCAAGAAGCAGTCGACTTCCCCCGGCAAGAACCAACCGTCCGCGTCTACCCCGAGCAGCAAAGGCGCGAGCTCTGCCCAGGGCGATCGGAAGTGGAAGGCGGAGGCCATTGTCATTGACGACTCGGACGACGACGACGACGACGACGACGACGACGACGACGACGACGAAGATCCCGAGTACGGCGACCCTGAGCTCAAGATCGAAAACCGGAACGAAGCGACGGCGCCGCAGCCGCAACCCGTTGCGCGCACCACTGCGGTGCAGGCTCCTACCCAGGCTTCGCGCACTTCAGGTCACGCTACGCCGACCGAGACTCGTCAGGTCGACCGACAAGGCCTCGAGCTGGAGGAGGCCAGGGAGGAGATCAGGAGGCTGAAGGCTGACAACAAGCGCCTGGAGACCACGAACAAGGTCCTGGGAGACAACATCGTGGTGCTGGAGGAGAAGCTGCTGGAAGCGAACGAGAAATTGCGGAAGGCGAATCGGAGGCGCTGAGGTCGCAACACCAGTTTACGGCGTCGTGGATTTTTAACATGATGGGGATGGAGATTATGATGGTCGGTGATTGGCTCAGGTTTTTGCTTGGTGTGTTAGGCTCGAGTGAAGGGCGTTGCCTAGCTGGGCCAAGTGCATCTATGGATTCTCTACCTCTCACACTTTCTCCCCAAACATCTACTGGCTCGCTAAGTGGTTCTCCTTGATTGTGACACACCTAAATACAGCGACGCCTTTCAAGGGCTGCAAGCCTGCGCTGCCAGTCCGCGACAAAGGCACCACCAGTCTCCCATTGTTCTGCCTACCTACTGCCTTGTTCCCACCACTCCCACCACCACCCACCCAACAACCACTACACGTCACCCCTGTACGGCTCCCCAGCAACCCGCTCACGCCCAAAATGGAGCAGTATCCCGACATGGACATTGACTCACCGGGCCAATACGCCGACGAAGACACCGGCGACCTCAGCATCCCCAGCGACTTCCGTAAGCAAAACGTCTGGCTCTCGCGCGTGCCCACCTGGCTCTGGGAAGTCCTCTCCAACTTGCACGACGACGAGGAAGTCGAGATCGGCACACTGACGACGTGGACGGAGGGCGGCGCGCAGAAGACGAAGCTCGCGCTGCACGACCTGCCGCGCTTCACTGAGCTGCCCAAGGAGTACAAGCTCAACACGCTCAACGCGACCCCGGGCAACACGTTCGTCTTCACCGAGCAGGACCACGGCTATTACCCCGTCAAGTACGTCCACCCCGGCTGGTACAGAGCCCGGCCTAGAGCTGACAGCGCGGCCTCCGGTGGCCACCGCGGCGGCAAGCGGCCGCCTATCACGAAGAACACGGTCCTCGCCGCGCGCGCCAGCCACGACGTGTCGCTCACGCCCATCGAGACCGGAAAGGCAGACGCGTCGCTCTTCCTCCTGCGACAAACCGCCCGCGCCCAACAAGCGCGCAAGCAGCGCCTCGTCCTCGAGCCGAACATCCAAGCGCTATCGTCCATAATCGGGGGCGCCGCAAACCCAGCCACCAAAGCAGCCATCAAGACCAACATGCTCAACGCCACCAAGTCCGCCCGCTCCACCAAGACCTGCGACAAGTACGCCCGCATCCCGCAGGAGGACCTGCTCGACCTGCTCGCCGCCATGTTCGCGCAGTACCGGTACTGGTCCTTCGACGCGCTGCAGGAGCGCGCCAAGCAGCCTGAGCGCTACTTGCGCGAGACGCTGGCGCTCGTCGCTGTGCGCGTGAATGCGGGACCCTGTGCGGGGACGTGGATGTTGAAGGAGCAGGTGGAGGGCGCGAGGGAGGCGATGGCACCTGAGCCGGAGTCCGACGAGGATGAGGACACGGATTGGAGCTTTAACGAGGATGAGGATGATGAGGAATATGGTGGTGTTATGATTGATTTGAGTTGAGTTGAGTTGGAGGAAGGAGGGGTATGGTTGGCGATGGACACATTTGGAATTCGTCCACACACTTCTTCCGTGGCAGTGGCACCTTCCACGACAACAATAAAACCAGCTAGCACCTCAACTACCACCCCACGACTCTGAAAACCACTAGCTCTACAACCACGAACCCCAGCACCAAAACACCAACCCCAAAACACCCACCCACCCCACTCAACGTACTGTACACACAACCCCAGCCCACCCCCCCATTCGGCAGCGACAAAAGACAGACAGCAACCGCCCTCACCCTACCCTAACCTAGGTCCGTAGCTAAGCAACCTAGTAGCCAAGCAAGTAGCGACTCAAGTTTGATCATAGTCCCACCTTACCATCAACGAACGCCACACAACCACCATTCCCCTCGCTCTCTGCAGTGCCGTGCCCCACACCACAGCACACATGGCCAGCCTGTACATACCAGTGCCCATGAATGTCCACTCCGCTTCCTCCCCCTCCGTTGCTCTCGTCTGCGTTACGCTCTGCTTCTCCCTCTCCGGGTCTCTCCCCAGCGGTCACCCGCCCCGCCGTGACGTTTGGTCAATCAGTCACTGACTGACACAGCCACGAGGATGATTGAATGATTGATCTCCCATGCGGAAATGGCATTACTAGGCAGTTGTGCATGCATAGGTGTGAAAACAACCTCAATGGCGCTGTATGTTTGTTTGTTTGCGCGCGGGATTGCGCGGTGTGTGTATGTATGTACCTACGTAGATCGCGTGGCCGATATGAAGGCAAGACAAACGCGCTCAGGCGCTCGCTTTGGCATTTGACCATTGGTGCTAGGTCACTCATGCATGCATGCATCATACGGCATTAGTACATGCAGCACCTCCTGCACCAGTCCATCTCTTTATCCAACAAAAGACAAGACTTGTACAACACCGAACAGCCACTTCACAAGCAAGCCCGTGCACGCAAACCTTCACACACACAAAACACATGAAAGACAGAACCCCCATTATTTCAGCTACCTAGAGCAAACTAAGGTAAAGTGGAACAGCAACAGCCAGTCAGCCACAGGCACAATGCCACCCAGCAGGCCGCCCATCATCCACCGATGGATATGATGGCATCAGTAGAGAGCCTTGGACCGTCCTACGCCCCATCGTGCCAAAGGAAATGTAAAAAGTGTGGAAGAAAGTTGAAAAGGAAGGAGAAAGCAAATTGCATAAGTATCGGTTTGAATGAACTCTCATTCCATGCTCCCGCAGTATTATGTCCTTCTTTCCCGATGGAAGATGTTTGCCTCGTTATTATGAGCCGTCCCGAATGCAAGCTATCTTTGTTGCCTGTGAAAGAAGAAAAGAAATAAAAGAACAACAAGTGAATGCATTTGAGACAATGCATGCCAGCCATCGTCTCTGCCCTGTCCCAATGCTGTGGTGTAAGTTGTGATACACTGATCGTGGTAAGAGGATTTGGCCCGTTTGGGTGCAAGTGTCGTGGTGAAATAAAATGTAAAGTGAGCATTCTGGTGGGGAAGTCGGATGTATGATGCCACATTGTGGAGAATGTGGAGAAGTCGTCCGCTAAGGTTCAATGACCATACTGACTGCTTGGCTGAGGAGGCATAGTGCACCACTTAGATGCAAGTGCTGGTGTAGGTGTGGATCGACAGCTGACGAGAGTAGTGGCTTCATGGCTGAAGGAGACCAATGGCAAGGCTCGGTGCGGCGCTCCATTGATTGCTTCAGAACCTGATCGCAAAGGTCAGTATCTCAAAGTGCCAATCATCGTCACTAAATGGCAGCTGAAGCATACCTAGATCATCTTGAAGCGCTTGGCGGCCTGGTACGGCGTGATGGCGAAGCCACCGCTCTTCTTGAACTCCGCCGCGATCGCGTTCCAGCGATCATTGTCGACGTGCTGAACTGCAAGGCAAAGCTTGCGGTCGTCTTCCTCACTGAAGATAGGCATGGGTCGCTCGGCCGGGTCTCTGTCGACAGCAGGGCCAGCGTGCTTAGCGCGCTTGCGATGCTCCTGCAAGTGCATGTGGTCTTGGACGTCAAAGTCGTTCTCGCCGTTCATCTCTGCGATGAGGGGGGCATTGCGAACGAAACGACCGTAGACAGACGCAGCAGTCAGGCCTGTCTGCTGGCCGTTGGCGACACGCCGCTCGTTCAGTTGCTTGGCGATTTCATCCCACGAGAGGCGCTCATTCTGGCGGAGGTCCTTGATCATGATGTTTTCCTCGTTCTTGGCCGGACTGTTCTTGCGGCCTGCGCTGATACCGAAGCCGCCACGACCGGAAGCGAGCATGCGCTCCTTCATCTCGGCAGCGTAGCTCTTAGGCTTGGGTTTCACCAAGGTGGAAGGTGCGCTAGTCACGGAAGATGTGCGGCTGTCATCAAGAGCCGGGGTCATGAACAATGCGGACTCTTCACGGTTGTGGCGTCCCATAGTTGTGTTGTATGATGGAGGAGGAAGGCGACCAGTTCCAGGACGACGAGGGGAAGGGTCGGGAGTAGGATCGCGATGACCACCAGAAGTGTCGGACTCTTCCTCGTCGTCATCCACAACTGTAATCATGTGGCGCTTACGCTTGCCAGTACCCGTCAAAGTACGGCGTGTGACTGTGTCGTCAGAGCCATCTCCGAGGTCTGGGACCTCTGGGTACGCGTCCTTGGTGCGTGCCAACATAGTGGATTTGTTCTGGCGGTTGTTGTCGTACTCATCGCTTCCGTCATCACTCTCCATGTGGGGTTCGTTGCGACGACGCAATGACAGCCTCTGACGGCGACGGTTCTCGTGAGGTGCTTCGATATCAAGAGCGTTGATGGAATCAACTTCAGGATGCTTGTGAGCGCGACGGTTCACGCGGGGCGTTTCGACGTCGAGGGCGTTGAAGGTGTCAGTATCAAGACGCTTGTAGGCGTGACGGTTCTCGCGGGTCATTGAGGCTTCGGGGGTGGGGGAGATTGATTCAGGGGTCGCCTGCGTGAAGTTCACAAACTTGGACATGACGTGTGCGTCGTCGCTGTTGGGGAAATGTTAGCAGCCTCGATCATTGTAGAGGTGTGTTATGAGCCAAGGTGAGGCTGTTGAAGGAACATGTAAGCAGAAAGCATACGAGGGAAGAACTTGCCTGCTGCGCAACACCATGATGCCTGTTTACTGGCGCGGAATGTCGGTTGACGTGAGAGGCTTGGTCCGCGGCTGCAGATGTGGTTGGCAGGTGATCGGTGTGATGCAGTCTTGTCAAGAAGGTTGTCAAAGAGAGATCAGGAAGCAGTAGGTAAGAGAGTTGAGGGAGCAGCAGGGAGTGAGGGCTTAAGGGTCGCTCCTGTGGTGGTGGTGGGCAGCAATGAGCGGTCAGTGCTGGTCCGCTTGACGCGCTGGTGATTGTTCCGGAGTTGTTCGGCAAGGTTGTGTCCAAAGTTCCTGCAGAATTGGAGTGGTCGGTCGGAGTTTAAGAAGGAACGAAGGATTTGACACTGACTATTGACGTCAGAATCCTATTGTTCTTACCATCAGTTTCAGTGCGAGGAAGGCGTCGCACGGCTCGCATGCCGGGTGAAGGAGCTCCGGGCAGGCCGTCGCTCCAGGCCATCAATAACAGCGAACAATGATGATGTGCAACAATAGCAATGAGACTGACAGTGAAAGATGTCCCTTGGTTCTTGCGCGACACAAAAGAAATCGCAGCTAGCAAATAAAGTAGCAAATTGTACAAGGAAGTAACAACTTCAGCGCGCCTTCCACAAAAATTTCCTGCTCCTAACCACACTTAGATCTCATTACATCCGTCTCTCCCTTCCATTCCCTACCCTTCTACCTCAAACTCCCATGCACAGCCCTTGCCTCTGCTCTTACTGCCTTCTCCTCTCTCTTCTTGCCCTCATTGTCCTTCGGCTTCTGCGAGAACACGCGCTTCAGCAGTGTTGTGACGGTGCTGGTGGTGGAGGTGCTCTTCGTCGAAGATGCGGATGTGGTTTTGACGCTTGCGGATGTAGAGTCTGCGGACATTTTGATGGATTGTTGGTGGTGGTAGTTTGATTGTTGTGGGTTGGAATTGCAAGACTAACGGATGGCGCTTCAAGAGGGAGGGCGGTTGGTAGAGATGTTGACCAAGGGCTGGGATAAGCTTTTTCTGACGAATCGTGTAGGAGATATGATTTGCGGTGTATCGAAGATCGCAGTGGACAAGAAAGCTTGACTTGGAGATGATGTGGATGCAGGCCTGTGTTCTGGTCATTTCCATCACGGTCCTCAAACTCAATTTATACTTCCTCACACCTCAGACACTTCGACTCACACACCCTCCCACCAACACGCTCTACGCGCCATCATCAAAGCCTGCAGCACCGCCCGCAGCCCCACCAGCATCGCAGCGTCACACTCCGCGCCTTACGCATGCCACTCGTCCTATCCAGGTCCAGAACAACACCACGAACGTCAGGCATCACACCGCCAAATCAATAGGTATCGTCGACGCGTACACCCAGGTGCCCAATCCAGACACCGCACGCAGCGTGACGTTGGATTTGGGTTGCGGCGGCGCGGTGCCCGGAAGCGGATTGGCGGCCGCAAGCTGTGCGTTTGGTAACCCCCGCATTCTTGCTGACCAATTTTCAATATGACTCTTGCCATCGTACGACCGGTATTCGAAGTGGGTGTTGAAGGGCGCGTCGTGCTGCGTCGCTACAGTGTGTGATTAGGTAAGCCCCGCATTCCTGTTTAACCCCGCTGTCAATTCGCAACATGACTCTTGACACCGCACGACAGGTGTTCGAAGTTAACGGTGAAGCGCGTAAAGCGCGGAGTCGTACGTATACACGCGCGGGGTGCGTCGCGGGCCTGGTGAACAGTCATACGTACGTACCTCTCTCAATGGCTTTTCATTTTCTTGATTTTCTGGCTTTTGGTCTCCGCTACGGAGGACGTACGTGCCCCACTAGGTACCCCAGGCAGCTACGGCCCGCTTGGAGCGCCTTACGGTTTAGGTGTCAATGTACAACGCGCCCTACGACATGCGGACAAACACGCCCTATAAATGCGCCCTGCACAGTACAGACACGCCCTATGTGCTGAAACCACATCGCGCACACTAGAAACGCCAGGTATGCGCTTGACAAGCCCAATCTACGTCAGTGTCACATCCATGCATGGAATTCTCCGCGCTTGCAAGCGTCAAGGGAAAAAAGGATATCAAAGAGTCATATTTTGACGACTTCTCATCTACAAACAACGTGGGCCCTTACATTTGGCACGTCGGCGTTAATTGTCTTCCATTGTCCACGTTACAAGCCAAATCAGAGAAATAACCGTGGCCATCATTGCCGTCATTTTCCTTTTTAAAAGAGCCGCCGTGGGATAGTATACACTGGTCGCCGACCTTATCACTTTCTCTTACGAACTCATGCATGAGCAGCATTTAGCACTTGCCAGCCTGCCAGCCAGCCACGACGACGACGACATGACGACACCACAATCAACAACAGTACCCAGATAAGCACCCACTTAAATACAAGCCCAAGCGCAGCTTCAAAGCTACCGACAACCACATCCGACCAGGTTCGGTTGCGTGTTCCTCAACGAGCCCATAAGATGAGTCAACTGGGGGGTTGCGGCCACAAACACTGGACCGAAATTTCTCGGGACCTTCTACTGCAGCCTGAGCGACAGGCGAGTCTGCTCGTCCAACGTTCAACGACATAACACTACGGCGCCGAACACCACCACCGCCCAGCGCAGGTGTAGAGCACCATTCCGCTATGCGTGCGGCAAGCACCTTTAACGGATGCAGCATTTCGTGTAAAGAAGAGCGATTCGTTTCCTATCGAACTTGATGCAACGGTAAACAGTAAGCGGCCGACCTTTGGCAAAATACCTTATCTCGTGTGTTTCTGATGTACTCGGTGGCCTCTGTCGAGTTGTGGCTGGTAGTGAAGGTATCGCTGGAAGGCTGTAGGCTTTTAAACACAATTCGGTACTGACAAAATTGTCCAGGATGTATTACGAGGCTCTGTATCGAGTCGTTTGTTGGTAAGCTCTCAATGCTCTTGGACACTGACGAAGGCTGACATATGATTCACATAGGTACACCTAGCTAAGGCAAACTACTGCGTCGCACAAAAAGAAACATGAAAAGCATAAAGAAATAGGAACCACACAGGTACGTACATACCCCCCTCAACCACCACCTCACCACCTCAAACAAACCTCCCACCCCTCCAGCCCCTCCTGCCCCCCAAACCCAGACCCAAACCCCTCACACCAACCCCCTTCCTCCCACCCCAACGAAGAATAATGGTCGGCCCAAAACGGCCTTCCCATCCCCATCCCCATGCGCTGCACCTCCCTCGTCAATTGCCCGACATCACAGCGCAACAAGCCCGCCTGCCCCATCCCACTCCCACTTCCAACCCCATCTCTAGCCTCCCGGTTCCGGCCCCGACACGGCCGCGGCGGCGGCTTGACAGCCCGCTCGCGCTCGCCACACCCCCCGTCGCCAATCAGCTGCGCGCCGCCGCGTCGCCCTCCTCCGAGCCGCAGATGCCGGCTCCGCGAGCGCGTCCCCTCGCGCACGCAGCGCCAGCGCTCGACACGGGAGCGGGAGCGGCTGCGGCGGCGCTCGCAGTCGCCTGCGCGGCCTCTTTGCTCGTACCTGCCAGCACCGACGGCAGCGCCACCATAGCCGCCGCCGTAGCCGTAGCCGTAGCCGCCGTAGCCGTCGTCGTCGTCGTCGCCGTCGCCCAACGCCCGCATGAAAGCCCGCCACAGCCGCTGCCGCTCCGGCACGTTTGCGTGCGTGTAATACCGCTCCTCCAGCACGACGTCCGGGCGGGCGCGCACAAACTTCTGCAGAAAAGCGAGCTGCTCGCGCTCCGTCAAGTCGGAAATCGTGATGGCCCAGGCCCAGAGGAGGAGCGTGCGCGCCGGCTCCGCATGCAAGATGACGTCCGCGTGGGCGGCGAAGAAGCGGGCAAGCAGGGCCGCGAGACGGGGCGAGCCAAACCGCCGCGACATGTCTGCCAGGCAGAGGAACGTCGCGAACGTCTCTTGACGACGCACCCGCGAGCGCGTGTGGAAAGAGTCTTGCAGCGCGCATTGGTCGAGCCAGAGCGCGAGCGCGCGGTCTGTCTCTTGGCTGCCGGCGTGGTCGGCCTGCCGGAGGTGCTTCAGGAATTCTTGGGTTGTTTCCTGCACTGCGCGCTGCGTGAGGATCCCTTCGATCAGCGGCCGCGAGCTCGCGGTGTACCGGTCCATGTCCATCCAGTTGCTGTGTCCGATGACGCGCTCGGCGGCGGGGAGGTACGTTTGGATGGTGCTGATGTCGATGGTTTCGCAGCGAGAGCCGCATTGGATCGACACGTATCTGTCCCCGTCCGACATTCTGGTTGCTCGTCTGGGCATTGTGGTTGCTTGATCTGGCGACGATGGTGATGAGGGATGAGTTTTCTGGTAAAGCGATAGCGGGCTGTCTGTCTGTCTCTTGCTCTAGCAGCGTTTTCGGATCAATAAATGAGGAATCGGGATATTCCAAGGTCGAGACCCAAATAAATATTAATGATGAATGCGATACAATCGCAAGTGGTTCTTCTTTGTCAGTCCGACGGGTACCGGTCAGTTTGCTGTTCCACGGTGCGACGTTTGCCCACCGACAGTGTCAGCGCTGCTCAGCGAGCAGTAAAGCACGCGCAAGCCGCGACTCCAGCAAACACAGACCAAAAGCTTCGTTGAAGAGCTACGTCGTAAGCAAGGGATCTATAGAGTGGGGGCTCCAAGGCTTTTTAAACGCAAAGGCTCAAACAAGGCAACAAGGCAGCAGCCGCGGGCCAGAAAAACAGCCTTGCGCTGGCCTGGCTGCAGGGCGGGCAACAACCCTAGCGGCCGGCCGCAGCCATCACGCGGTTTACGCATACACGCCGGATGGCTGCGTGCAGAATTCTATCTGTCAGATGAGGCGCAGAGCTGCGCTTACATTGCGGGTATATAGGCACAGCCAAAACGAGCTGCGACGGTCGAGCTGGTCACTACAGTACCATCGGGTTGCTAGAAAGGCATCCGTCGGTATGCGCGGTTGCGGTTTGCGTGGCCTTTCGCACACCCTGGTCGCTGAAGGGATGGAATGTTTACGTGCAGTCAGTACTGAGTGAAAGACGATGCGATGGAGGCGTCTTTCGACAGCCCGAAGCGGTGGTCAGGCTGGATCGGTGGAGCCAGTTGCGACTGTGTTGAAAGCGATATCTGTGCCCGTATAGAGCAGCAATGTTAGAGCCAAAAGGCGCCATTACTCACTCCGAGCACCTTCGTTTCGAACAATAGGCGCAGCTATCCAAACTGGTTAAAGACGGTGTGGGACAAGGCTGCACGCTACCAGCTGACCGGGTCTGCGCTCTGCAAGGCTGAAAAGAAGGGCCCGGCTTGCATACACGCATGCATGAGAAAGCGTGCGCGCGGACGCGGAAGGGACAAGCTGCTTGCGCTTTCGAACGGCTTGGATGGCTTGAGGCCTGGTGTGGGATGGGGTGGGAGTTTGCGCTTTTGACAAGGTGGATGGAGGTGGAGGTGGTGGAGAGGTGAGGTGCAACATCGCAGTCCCGGCCCGCCGAACCGCTCCAAAAATAGGTAACCTAGAGTACTAAAGGTCCATCCGTGCGTGGCGGCCAACGTCAGAGGGCGTTGTCAACTCTCTCTCTATCTCTCTCGGAATCATCTCGTTCTTTCTCGAAAAGAGGGGGAGGTTAAGGCTTATGGCGCGTGCATAAATTAGGCTACTGTCCTACCGTTGCATTATGCTTGTGGCACCAGGGCTAGTTGTACAATCATGTTTTACAAAAAGTAGTAAAACCAAAATTATTTCTTCGCACACCTAGGTTGGTGGCTCGCGTCGAGAAGTGTTGCTTTTTGTCGTTCTAAGTATATTTACTTTGGAGCTCTCATTGCAATTCCCTTAAAAATCTGCAAAAAAAATGCGTTGGAAAAAGGGAAAGTGTTTAAATTATTATATCTGCAACTTCTGGTCGTAGTTCTTATAAGATTTAAATCGTGACAGCTTCTATCACTGTCGGTGGAGGGAAACCTAATACCTGGAAGATGGAAAACAATCACTGCGCAAGGAGCAAATGTATACCTAAGCATTTACCCAGAAGTCCACACCAGGCGATTGAATACCGTCATTCAATGAGCATGGCAACCCGATCTTTTACATGCAAATCTAGGCAGACGAGGGTGTGCTAGTTCTACACCTGCTATTGCTGAGGAGGCGATTGAATAAGTCTTGTGAAGCCCTGACCGTCAACACTCACTGTTTAGTATACCAAGTATGTGTTAAACCGGAAGTGAGGTGAATATCCCATACCTAAATGGAGAAGCGAGTTAACATACTCTATTAACCGCACACTGCCATACTACTTGCCCCCAAAACAAAACTTACGAAGTTCACTTCACATCGGCCGAGGCATCACCGTCTTATAGTCGACTCTCCGCGGCGGGTGCAGCAGTGACGCATCTCGAGCAGGGAAACCCGCCTACGAGTGTGAAAGGGATCCCCATCCGTCAACATCCCCAACGCGCTCCCGCGCAAACAAATCCCCGCCGCACCACCATCTCATTTCATCTCACACACTCCGCGATCCCTCCACACCAGAGCAACCACAACGACCCTCCAGCACGACCCTCCAGCACGACCCCATCCACCAACCACCATGGATGAGCAGAGCCGCTCTCCGTCCCCGCACCCCTCGGACATCGACCGCCCCTCCCCACTTCACAGGCCTCACGTACGCCCTCCCTCCGCCCCAACACAGGCGCATGGCATAGCCAAAACGCAGAACTAACCCGCAGAACAGGTCAAGCAAGAAGATGACGACTTCGAGATCATCGGCGCCCGCCCCGTGCACAGGGCCATGTCCATCGATGCCCGCCCCGCGTATGCCGAGAGTGAGGTCTCAGACACCGACAGCGTGCCTTCCACGCCCATGCGCACCCACATGCGCCGCAGGTCCGCCGCCGAGTCCCACACACTGCGCATGCCGCGCACACCGCATATGGGCGTCCTGAGCCGCTTCGCGGGGTGCACTGAGGCGGTCGACTCGGCGCGCAAGACGAAGGGCAAGGGCTCTGGCGTGCCGTCGACGCCGATGCGCCAGCGCAAGGTACGTCCTTGCTTCCCAGTCGTCCTTCGGCAGCAGCAGCAGCGCGCACGCAAGCGCACACACACACACGCACATCCATACACTTACGAAACCACGCCACCGCACGCACACGCGCTAACCCACCCTCACAGGCGCCCGCCAAGACACCGACAACTGGCACCAGGATCTCGACGAGCTTTGACGACCTCTCCGAAGAAGACTACCTGCTGATCGAGATGAAAGACTCGGGCAAAGGGTGGGAAGAGATCCGGGCGGCATGGCGCGACCTCACAGGGCAAGAGACGGCGAAGTCCACGCTGCCGAACCGTTACTCCCGTCTCAAGGCCAACTTGTCAAACCTCTCGGACCAGGACCTGCAGAATCTTGTTGACGCGAAGGCGGAGGTCGAGCTCGAGTTCGAGCAGGAGATGTGGGGGCGCATTCAGCAGCGCATGGCGGAGAAGGGCACTGTCGAGCGCCATAATGTGAGTTTTGCGGCTGTGTGTTGCTGCTGGCGGAGGAGAGGGGAGGGGGGTGCGGTGCGGTGCTGTTCTTGTTGTTGTTGTGGACATCGTGGCTAACGAGGCGTTATAGGTCGACTTCCTCAAGAAGCAGCTTAAGCGCGTGGAGGTGTTTCAGCACACCGCAGCCGGCAGGACCGCTCGAGGCATATTCGAGTCGCTGGCCGCTCTGCCCGGCGACATGGACACTGCCGAGTAGGCAGTTGTCGAGGAGGCAGCAGTCGAGGAGGCAGCAGTCGAGGAGGCAGCAGTCGAG